TTTCTTGCACCTGTCGCATGCCAAATCTTTGTGGCCTTTGTGTACTAATATTTGGTGTCTACTTAAATGACTTCGGAACTCGAATTTTTTTTCACACTTGTCACAAGCATAATCTTTCCGTCCATTGTGAAATTTGTCTCGGTGGGCTATCATGCTTAATTCTAGTGTAAATACCTCCTGGCAAATATCACAAATGTATTGTTTATCGTTGGAAACAACGATGTCAGGTTCACTGGAATCATTTTCCGAGACAACATCTTTGAATTTCTTTTCACTTGTATCCATTTTTTTACCTCAATTGAACGATTTAGTATTACAGAAAATTAGTGAGTAAAAGTTATCTTCTGGTATTGAGGCTTGTTCCATCGGGACAGACAATATTAGAACTGATTTGTTTTTACTATAAACATGATCAGTGTGCTGTTTATGATCACATTATATATCGTTTACAATCAAGTTACCGATTTAACCGTGTACATATACTAAAATTGGGACGCTTCAATTATTTTTACAACATTTGTAACTATTCAAAATTTAAACTAGATTTTAGCCTTCTAAAATTAAATACATTTCCACAATTTTCCGACAGAACAACATCGAGTCCATAAAAAAACATCGTGTAAATAAATGTTGCACATGTATAATGAAAAATTTTGTCATTAATTCCCAAAATTACCACATGTGGTGTAATGTTGATTTTTTCCAGTTATTTTTTCATTTTTCAGATAAAACATATTGTTATTACTAACCACGTTTCTTGTTTAAAAAATAATTTGTCTGTCAGCGAATTTATCTAAATTTTTCACTAGAGCGTATTTGACATCGCGATTAAATTCGGTGTTCGAATGCCTGCTCCATTCAGGGTTCCAAACAAGACGTGAAAAAACTCTTTGCTTGAGTTTCATTACAAAGATGTGATGATTGTTGGGTACTCGAATTTTAGGTAATACACAATCATATCAGCTAAATTTTTATTGAAATTTTAGAAAAACGTATGCATGAGTATCTATACATATTTTTAATTATCAATTTTCATTTCTTCTCACATTGATTATATGCATTATCGTTGCAACCTTCGTGTACTGTCTGTTGGTGTAATCTTTGCGATATTCATTTTTATGTGCAAGCGCTAATGACATTTTTGTCCGAATTTTTTTTCGCAAGAGTCGCATGCGTAACCTTTTCAACCGTCGTGTACTGTCTTCTGGTGATAGAGCAAACCATTTTGGTGTGAAAATTTTTTTTCACACATGTCACATGCGTAATCTTTCCGACCTTCGTGAACTGTCTTTAGATGGAAGAGCCAATTCCATTTTTGTCCAAATTTCTTTTCGCACTTGTCACATGCGTAATCTTTCCGAGCTTCGTGGATTGTCCTTTTATGATAGAGCAAGCCCGATTTTCGTGTAAATTTCTTTTCGCACTTGTCGCATGCGAAATCTCTGAAATTGTCATGTACGGTTCTTCGGTGTGAGAGCAAATGAGCTTTTCGTCCAAATTTCTTTTCGCATTTGTCGAATGGAAAATCTTTCCGACCGTCGTGGACTGTCTTTTGGTGGAATAACGAAATCGATTTTCTTCCAAATTTCTTATCATAGTTGTCGCATGCGTAATCTTTGCGACCTTCGTGCACTGTTTTTTGGTGGACAAGCAAATGCGATTTTTGTCCAAATTTTTTCTCGCACTTGTCGCATCCGTAATCTTTGCGGCCTTCATGAACTATCATTTGGTGTTTGTTTAAGTTATATTGATCCCCGAATTTCTTCCCACACTTGTCGCACACATAGTCTGTATGACCATCGTGTACTGTTATCTTGTGTTTTGAAAAATTTCCTCGGTCTCCAAATTTTTTCTCGCATTGGTCGCATGCGTAATTTTTACGACCTTCGTGTACGGTCTTTTGGTGGGATAGCAAAATGGTTTTTCTTCCAAATTTCTTTTCGCATTTGTTGCATGCAAAATCTTTGCGACCTTCGTGTACTATCTTTTGGTGTCTGATCAAACTTGATTTTTCTCCAAATTTCTGCTCGCATTTGTCGCATGCGAAATCTTTCCGACCTTCGTGGACAGTATTTTGATGTCTGAGCAAATTAACTTTTTGTCCAAATTTCTTCTCGCAATAATCACACGTAAAATCTTTGTGACCTACGTGGACTGTATTTTGGTGAACAAACATGTGCTGTTTATATCCAAATTTCTTTTTGCACCTGTCACATTCGTAATCTTTGCGGCCTTCGTGTACTGTCTTTTGGTGGATAAGTAAACTAGCTTTGCTTCCGAATTTCCGCTCGCATCTGCTGCACGAAAAATTTTCATGAGCTTCATGTACTGCTTTTTGGTGCTCGATCAAATGCACTTTTTGTTGAAAGTTTTTCCTGCACTGGTCGCATGTGAAATCTCTTTGACCTCCATGGACTGTTCTTATATGCGAGAGCAAACTATGTTTATTTCCGAATCTCTTGGCGCACTTTTCACATAAATAATCTTTAAAAACTTCGTGAAATATTTTGTTGTGCTTGAGTAAAGTTGATTTATTTTCAAATTTTCTGTCACACTTGTTGCATGAGTAATCGTCGCGATCCTTGTGTACTAATTTTTGGTGCATGATCAAACTCGATTTTTTCACAAATTTCTTTTCGCAATGGTCGCATGAAAAATCATTGTGGCCTTTGTGTGTCGATATTTGGTGTCTACTCAAATGACTTCGAAACTCAAATTTCTTTTCGCACTTGTCACATGAGTAATTTTTTTTCTCATTGTGGATTGTGTCTCGGTGTGTTATTAAGCTTGATTCGAGTATAAATTCTTCCTGACAAATATCACAAACGTATTTTTTGTTGTCTGAAACAACAATGTCATGTTCACTTGAATTATTTTCCAATACAATTTGCTCGGATTCCTCATCACTTTTATCCATTTTTGTGTTTAAAGTATGTGATGTTTCATCGGAAAAGACAAAATTCAAATCAATTTGTTTTTACTATAAACATGATCAGTGTGCTATTCATGATCACGTTACATTGTTTACAATCAAGGTACTGATTTATATGTTTGTACATCATCATTACAATATTTGAAACCAATTTCGAAATCTAACTTGGCGACGATTTTTTTGAAGAATCTATTTTAGCCTTCTTAAATTATACGTCCCAGCAAACTACTGACAGAACAACATCGAGTCCGTAAAAAACATCGTGTAAATAAAAATTGCAGCCCCCACACCAAGGCCTGTTCGACCTGCTTCATAAGCCGTCACTGTGTGTGCCTCCCGGCGATAGTAACTACTTGCTGAATTACGAGGACTACTTCTGGTGGTGGTGCTGGAATCGATGGATGTGCGCCATGGATACCAAGTAATGGAGCGTTGCCAGCTGCATCTGTGCGAGAAACTGTCGAGAGGATTTTTCCGGCACTGGGCCGAAATCATCGGCGGCGGCCGCGAGATCGTCCCCGAGAATTTGACCAATCGAGATTTGTATAACATTTGCTTGGCGGCTACTGCATCGTGATCGAACGGATTGAATTCCCGATTGAATCGTATCGAAGTAAACCGATTTATTGTCGATGTATTGTGGTGAAAGTAAATTTAAAAAAATTATTCTGTAAAGTCTGTGAATAAGGAATGATTTATTAAAAGAAAAAGTGGTTGGAAAAATCTGTAAAAGTTCTTTAAGGTACTCCTACGCTCATGATAACCTCTGATCATATTTATATCTTGAGTTTTTCACCGCAACAGTTCGAAAAAAAATCCTCAAAGTCGAAAATTATATATGTGCAAAGTCTCTTCGAGGTCTAAAACACGGGGAAAAATCGCATCGATCGTAAACGAAAAATTTCCTCACTTTGGGCGTTCATGGATTAATAATAGCCTAATGGTACAACTATCACGATTTAAAATCGCATATTCATTTATCTTCGCACGTTTGCTCTTGGATCACTCTTATCGATCTTTTATTTATGTGGTTAATAGAAAATTAAGTTACCGTCTGGCGGAAATCGGAAATTAGGAGTTGTTCCTGCACAGATGTCTGTGTTACAAAAAACCTGTATTGAAAGTAATTTAAGTAATCCCAAGTGGGCTTAATTATATCCAATTTTTTCATTTGTTTTTTGCATTAAAACAGATGAGGCTCATCTCTTGCAGTTTACCGTAATCGAATACGATCAAATTTTTCCCTCTAACAATCACGCACCCAGCGTGCAATTGACTGTTTCGTTTATTGAAACCCGTTCGAACGACAACTACTCGACACTGCAAATTTACACATAAACGTTGATGTGGAAGCAGAATACGAAAAAGATATTTCGTTAAAATTGTTTACAGTTTCCCTTCAATCGTTAGCAGGTCAAGAAGATTTCTACTTTGACTTATGTCTGGCACTCGTGTATGGTATGAACAATCATGGAATTTATCGCGTGCAGAGATTCGAACGATAAACAAACGTTTTAAATATTCTTTGTGATACTCAATTTGATATCGATCAATGTGTTTTATTAAACGGAGACGAAATCGGTAAAGTGCTTGTTGATTCCAGATTTTATTTACTACTTTATACCGATTTTATTAAGTATAACCATGACTCGTGCATGACTATTGTAGACAGAACAAAAAGAAAGGGTCTTAATTTTCATTATCTTCAAATGTAAAAATTCAAGGCTTTGCAGCATGCACTCAAATAAATACAATAATCTAATACTGATCATTGATAGAAAATCGTACGAGTGACCTTAAAATGTCGAACTGCGCATTACTTCTAATGATATGTTTTTTTTCGATTCATTGAAAATCAGATAAGATAATCGTGATTCGTTAAAACTATCGATAAACATTATTACATTTCGCACTTACACGAAACATTAGTCGAGATAAATTATTTTCGTCGATTGACCGCATTCGAATTCGAATCCATTATGAATTTGAAATCAGAAATTTTCTCGAGTAACTTCGGACACCGTCATTCGAATCGGTCGAAGGGTGTAAAAATCGATCTATTTTATCAGATTATCTGTTGCAAAAAAAAAAAACGACTAGCGATATATTCCAATCTTATCGTGCCGATGTATCCTTCGAATAGCATTGTTTCGTATCGGCGATAGATTAATTTCATAAGAAATCCAAGCGCCCCATTGCACTTGCTAAAATAGTTCTGCGAATCAGTTACTCAAATGCTGCAATTAAATCTAATACGTATTATTATATGATTAAGTAAAAAAAAAAAAAAAACAGAAAAAGATGTCGCGATCGGTTCGGTTTTTCAGTTCGTTCGTTATCCTCGCTTGCGTCTCGATCGTTTTGGGAGTCAAAACTTCAAACTTAAGATCGTCGAAGGCGTCTAGAAACGGTAAAAAAATACAATACACAAAGTATAATATACAAAAGTCATGAATTCTTTGCATGTCATTATATTGTAGTCATAAGAGATCTGCAAGTGAGCGACATCGACTCGACCTCCGCGAAAATATCGTGGAACGCGTCGGAAGACAAGAATCTTGACGATTTCACCATCGAAGTGTCCCGAAATGGAGAATCCGTCGCGCGCCAAACGATCGGCGACGCAACGTCGTGGCTAGCTCGAGATCTCGAGCCGTGCACCAGGTACAACGTCACGGTTACGTCGACGGGATCGACCATCGATACCGTCCACACTGAATTCGCTACTTCCTACGTCAGTGAGTACATAAACATAATAATCTTTTTCACGTAATAAATAATTTTTATCCTTTTTTTTGCCTTACAGCACCCGTGTGGTCGACGCGACACGGAGCCATCACGCAGAGGCCCTCGGGCCTGAAGCTCGTCTGGACGCCGGCCCAGCCCGAGAGCTGCGTCAAGACCTATCGGCTCGAGATCGACACGCGCGATCCCGATCTCGAGCACGCCATGATCGCCGAGACCACGGCAACTCAGTACGCGTTCGAGAATCTGTACGCGTGCGCCCGCTACTGGTACACCGTCTCTCTCGTCGATCTCCAGGGCAACGTGTTCCAGTTCGTCGAGGGTCGGTCGGTGGCGCAGTTCGCCGCGGTGCCCGAGGCCCCCGTGACGAGCCGAGACTCGGAGCCGCTGCTGACCCGCTACACGGCGACCTTCTACCTGAACGCCAGCAGTCCGAGCGGCAGCAGCAATTGCAGCCTCGAGCTGGTGCGCGCCTACTGCGAGGTGACGTCGAGCCCGGTGGCGGCCGAGCAGGGCCGACGCTACGAGCTGCAGACCCGGGTGCGACCGGGCCAGGCGCGCGACCGGATACCGATCGAGCTGGAGCGACTCGCGCCCTACACGTACTTCAGCTGTCGGGCTGCGGGAGTTAACGGAGCTGGGCCAGGGCCGTTGAGTCGGCCCATCACCTTTCGCACCTCGGAGGACTATCCGTTCCCGCCGTGGCGGCTGAGAGTCGAGGGCGACGGTGCTGCCGGTGCGGGTGGTGGGCAGCCGCGCGAGCTCGTCTGGGAGCCGCCGAGGTGGCTCGCCGGTACTCTGCTCGGTTACAGGCTGAGGCTGACCTGGAGGCCGAATTATCCGGTGCCCGCGGCTTGTCCGCCACATTCGGTATGGGGTACGAAGACGATGGAAGTCGGGTCGGGCCTGACTCGGCTGAGCCTCCTAGACGAGGCGACGTCCGCCCGTTACGTAGTGAAGATGGCCTCGAGGACTGGACTGGGATACAGCCACGAGACGGTGATCGATTACACGAGTCCGGTTCGCGGAGGTATACGCAATAAATTTTACCTACCCCAGCGGAAATTTTTTTTTAAATAAAGTACATAATAATGTTGTAAACTGTAATGAAAAGTAAAAAAGTGTAAAAAAATGTAAGATTACTAACGATTTCGGACATGTGATACGTTTTTCTACACTTTTTTACTTTTTATTACAGTTTATTACATTTGTTTACCTATAATTAGAGAGATGAAAACCCTATGAATTCAAGCTCATTAAAGTTACATGGAAAAAATAAAAAAGTGTAAAACTTATGAGTTTAAAATTCCAGTCAAGCCCGCATGTGATCGAATTGACCGCAACAAGTAATTTTCGTGAAAAAAGTGAATTCACTCTAATGCAACAGAAAGCCTTAAACATCATCATAGATGTACTGAGGAGTACTGAGATGACTGAATTTAGTTTTATATACATATCCATTAAACTTGTCTTAATTCATTCATAAAAATCAATACTTTTTTCACGAAAATCACTTGCTGCAATCGATGCAATCACGCGTGGATAGCATGTTGAAGAAAATGTAAAAAAGTGTAAAAAAGTGTAAAAAAATGTGATTTTATGCTGCCTTTTTTTAATGCATCGGCTGTATGAAATCGTTAGTAATTTTATATTTTTTTTACATTTCATTACACTTTACAATTTAATATGATGGTTTTAGTCACTACTTTAACTTTTTTTGAACGATTTCTGTCCGGTACATACAATTTACGTTGCGTATAAAATAAATCGATGACTATAATTTCTTTTACAGTGCCCGATAAAATAACCAACCTGTCGTACAACATCGTGCCCGTGTCGGCGGCGGGCAAGATCTACGACATCACCCTCAGCTGGCAACTGCCCTGCTCGCCCAAGGGCAATCTCAGGGAGTTCGAGGTCGAGGCGCGAGACGGAAGCGGCCAACTGGTCGCCGACCTGATCGTCCCGGTCCCCGAGGAGCGAGTTCAGCCGAATCAACGGTTTCGAGCCGTTCTGAGCCAGTTGGCACCCGTGGACGACGGTAGTTACGATATCGCCATTACCCCGGTGGTGCGCGACGGCCTGGAGAACGACGGCCGGGGCGAGGTCGAGCTGATCGCCATTCAAATACCTGCCTGGAAACAGCCGGTGGAGAGCTCGTGATTCCATAAAATACTTGTTTATTGTTTTAAAATAATTATTGTTTGATGTAACCATGGATAAAATTATTTAAGAATTATACACTCCATTCGTTTATTTTACCCATGAAATGGCCGTAAAAAAAGTTTTCATTATTCGCGCCCAATTCATTGCAGTCGTTGAAATACGCGAAACAGAAAACTACCTTATCGTCGTAGCGCAGAAAATTATTATGATTGTTGAAGCATTGTGTACACTTATCACAGAAAGACACGTGTGACTACAATAGTAGTGTTGTGGCATGTTTGTCATTAAATGACTATTTAGCGATTGATTCAGCAGTCGTCCACCGGATTTTTTAATTTTAACACACGTAGCTCTAGTTTTAATCATGAATACTAATCAGTAAGAAAATTTATTTTTCTTCTTGTTCTTTACGTAGATTGTCGAGGGAGAAAATAATTAATACAGGATATTTCGTTTTCAGAGTAATTTTTTCACTTCTTTTCGTACTGCCTATATTGGCAACTTCTGCTGAACACCTGGACTTGAAGCAAGTCAAATGTTTGAGTAAGATTATTGTTGACTGACTTTTGTTCAATTTAAAATGTTTTCATTGAGTTGCAAAATTATATTGCTTATTGTACACAAAAATTTAAATGATTTTGAATAATCTATTAATAATATAACTAAGTAAATGATTTTTTGAAAGAAAGCAAAAAAGTTTATGAGATTTTAACATTATAAATATAATTTTGCTTTTTCAATTATTGAATTACTTATATTTTAACTACTTTGATGCATTGATTTCAACCAATGTTTTGTTTTAAAGTTTGCAGATCAATTGTGGATGAATTTCAAAATGAGGTCAATAAAATTGATCCAACCAAAGAAATAGAAATTGGACAATATAAATTAGATGACAAAGGAAATTCTCACCAAAAAAAAGTAACATATTTTAGAATCTGATTAATTAATGCTTTACAAATTGCAAAGAGTAAATAATATATTAATCTATTACCTAGGTTCCTCTAGCAAAGTCTGAAGTACATTTATCAGATGTGCTTGATTCTATTTGTAAAAAAATGCAAGATTATGTCAGAGCAAAATATAAATCAAATGGTAAACTGACTTTACTTAAATTGATAGAAAACGGTCAGATGAATCCGTTGATGAATGAAGTAGACATTATCCAAGATGGTGATTTAAATAAGAGTCTGGAATACTTTGTAAGTTTTTAAAATCTGACTGTTTTAGTAACATCAAATCCGTTCACACTCATTTTATGTTTGTACTTTTCAGTGCGAAGAAGTTGTCAATGATTATGAAGACAGCTTGATCAAAGTAATGACCCAGGGACAAAGAAATCCTAAATTAAAAATTTGTCTAGAAGAATCAAACTATTGTAAAGGTTTTATGGATGAACACGATGATGAGAGTGAGGATGAAAGTAGCGAAAGTATTGAAAAAACCGAACTGTAATTAAGATACAATTGTACATACCAATTGAACAGAAATCTAAAGTATATTAAATTATTACTTAATTAAAAAAAAAAATAATGTTGTTGAAGAAATAAATTTTATATATTTTAAAAAAGCAAACAAAATCTTTGTAATACATGAATTTAAGATACTTAAAGAACTATTTCTGAAACTCTGAAGCAAATCTCAATACGCAATCGTACTCTCGAGCTGACCACAAAGCTTTTATAATACATCCGACAGTTGCATCTGAGGTAAAGTTTTGTTTCCAGCTGATCAATAATTGATAGACAATTTCGTCCAATCCTCGTTGCTTGTACTTGTATTCAAACTGATCAATTTCACCTTCTGAAAACTCTAGTATCTCAGCCACTTTTCTCCATCTGCTGCCAACGTGTGATTTGATAAAGAGAATATGATTCTTTGTCACCTCCAAGCTGCTCTCACTTATCTGTTGTACTTCTGCAGTCATTTCCTGTTTTTTAATCCTTTTATTATTGTCCAATTCGTGTTTTTGCTTAATGTTTATTTTTCCTGGATTATTATAATTATAAATGTGCTTGACACTGTCGCCAATCTTCACATCGGAACAATTGATGAAGTTGAAGTTGGCTTTTTCTTTGGTCGTTTTGTTCGATCTCGTGGAGTTGCTGGTCCTAGAGCTCTTGGATTTCGAGATAGCCGGCTTTTGATACTGAACTTGGTGGGAAATGGACTCGGAGTCATTTTCTCGTCTACTCCGTCGTAGCATCTTCGAGATGAAGTTCATCGTTGACACTTGTTACGCTTCGCATCGTCATATACGCTACCCGAGTAATTGCTTATCAGTTTGTATACTAGTGCACACGAGCAGACGCGCTTATTGTTTTACAAATGACCAATTGTAATCAGCCGCGGCATGAATAGATTGATAGATCATCGGTCGTGCACTGTAAAACGATCCTAAAAACAAACAACGCATTTTTTGCGATGATTTAATATTTGAAAAAGTTTATACGACGAAAAGGAATTTGCAACATTCATTTTGCGTTATTTTTAACAAATCATTATTCATCCTTCCAAGCTTAATCTTGTGGTATTTATAGTTTTTTAAATATTCAGAAATTTTCTGGAAATTGCTGTACCCAAGTTTTATATTTCAAACATCTTTTTACATAAAAATCTCATTCAAATTTACCCTAAGATGATCGGTATCGAACAAAACTCACTTGCACTGTGTATTGTAGTGGCGACTATAATAAAAAAGTTAAGTGAAAAGAAAGTTACACTTGACTTGACAAATTATCTTAGTTTAAGAAATCGAAATGCGTCGTGATACGATTCGAGATCCAAAAATCCAAAAATACAAGTCAATTATAAATCGAATAGATTGATCGACGGTTATTTTTTTAATGCCTTTACTTGAATACATTTCTCAATGAATTTTATCGAAACTCTACTTTGAAAAAAAATCAAAAAATATAATTAACTATTTTTCAAATTTCAAATCAGTTTGTCCGAAGCCATTTATTGTAAACAATAAATTTGTTTCATTCAAAAAAAGATCGTTAAGAAAAGACACGACCTTTCCCATATTTAGGCATTTCCGATCTAACGTCCTTATATCGAACTGGAAAGTGCAGCAGACGCTACGATTCCGATTATACCTACTCTCTCCTCTTTCGACACGTTTTATATTTTGCCAGTGCAAATTGTCACACACCGATCTGTCTGAGTGTCCGTGTGTGCAGTTTGCAGCAGTTCGCAATTCCCATATTGATGCGGCGCTATGAGCGCCTATATATATACATTATTGCCGCCGGAGTCGGTATATAGACTTGGCCGAGCGAAAAGAGGAGAGTAGTGTGTGCGAAAAGAGAGTCGAGAGAGAGAGAGAGAGAGAGAGAGAGACGGATAAGGCGGTTGACGCAGAAAGAGAGTGAGAGAGAGAGAGATTCATGTGTTCCTCGAGCGACAAAGCCTTGAAAATTCAAGTGTGTGCCTGGATCAGTGATCGTGTACATTACTAGTACAGCACAACCGAGCGAGATAATACAGCACCGTGTGTTGTTGTTTCCTTCTTCTTTTTTTTTGCTTTGTTTTGTTTTTGCCCATCAAATGTGACTCTATCCGTGAACTACTCTTCGCAATCCGTACGTAGTAAACGTTCGCGAAAAATAAATGTACAATAATTTTACAGTTAAATGATATCTTGTGTACAGTGGCGATGAATTTCGATGATCGCTCGCTGCTGGAATTAACCGAGAGGAAGCAAATATTTATTTGTCAACGCGCGCACGTTTAACGAGATCTCTGTACCGTTTTGATTTTTCAAATTTTACACGCTTGTAGAAAAGTATGTGAGAACAGTAACTTGTAATTTATAACGATTGTCCCGTTTTGTGTTGTAGAAGCTTTTTTATATTTATTTTTAAATAACTCGTGTGTAACTTCGCAAAGTGAACAAACGTGATAGTCTGTGGTGAATCCTAAGGGAAGAACGTAGCTGAAATTTAATCGAAAGACTCGTCCCGATCTGCAATACTAAAATTGCGAATTACATTTCTACGCTTGATATGAGAAGTAGACATTTCGATTGAGGAATAAATAAAATCTTGTGAAATGGGATTTTCTAATAGCTTACAAGGTCAACCTGCACACGAAGCTCTTCTGGGTCGGCAAGATGCAGAAATTAAACTTCTCGAGATTATGCGCAGATGTCTTACTTCCAAAATCAAGTCAGATAGAGAGTATGCCTCAAATATAACATCTCTTACTATGCAAGGGAGAAAGATAGACAAATCTGATGAACTAGCTGGCAGCTTAATTACACAGGTATTAAAATTTATTTTATGCACGTTGTCTAACTCGCTGATCGATGAAGAAAATTTTACATTATTTCAAAGAGTTGGAAAGACCTCATGGAATCAATTGAACAAATTGCCAAGTTAGTAAGACAACAAGCTGATTCGATGGAGAGTGTCGTTATCGAACAAATAACAGCTCTTTATTCTGAACGCAGAAGAGCTAGAAAACTATATCAAGAAGAACATACCTGGTTAAACAATCAGTTTCAGCAGGTATTTTTAATCATAAAAAAGTCATATCCATTTATGTTAAATTTATGTTACTAAATACCAATATATTTTAGTTAACAGATGATGTGACCAGAAAAAAATCTGAATACTTCAAAAACTTGGAAAGTTATAAACTGATGAGATCTCGTTTTGAAGAGCATTATGTAAAATGTAAAAACAACTTGATTACTTCGAACATTTAACAAATTGTAATTTTTTTCCATTTTTTGTTATCGAATTTAGCTGGCAGAGGAGGACGAAAACTTGATGAAGTCAGAGAAAAGTACCAAAAAGCATGCCGTAAATTACACCTTACGCACAACGAGTATGTACTTTTGTTGTGTGCAGCTTCAGAATGTGAACTGGATTTGAGAACGTGTTATTTACCTAGTTTATTAGAAAGACAACAAATTGTTCATCAAGAATTCATTGTTTCATGGTGAGTTCAGCAAAATTGTTTCTGCTTAGGCAGAATTTTATTAGATCATATGCGAAAAGACTTTTTTCCTGAATTCCATACAATTCACAATATATCATTTTCAAGCTTGCCATTTGTAGAACCATTTAAGATATTGAAGAAATATTTTCTATTTATTTCTTTAATTTTTTTTGCAACCCATTTGATTTTATCATCAGGAAAAACATCATGCGAGATTTTGTATCATATGCAGATTTCACAAATGAGAAATTTTTAGACGTTCATAACCGAATGCAAAATGCTGTTGATAATATTAAACCTGCCGATGAGTATAAAGATTTCATAGGAAAACACAGGTTATTGAAATAATTAACATTTTTTACACAAATTTTATGAATATCATTACTGAACTATTTTCTGTTTTTAGAAGCAGACCATTATCTCCTGTGAGATTCAGTTTTGATGATAATCTTGTTGATGATACTTCTGGAAAACTTTTACCCAATAAATTGACTGTTGATAATTTAACAATTGATTGGTTGAGAAGTCGTGTGTCTGAACTAGAAACATCTATTAAAGTGACTCAATCTCATCGCCTAGTTATTCAATCCAATATGGAAAATAATTGTGATAAAAAGTACGATTGTAATTGTAATACATTTGTCACAAGCAAATTTCAATGGAAATAAATTTTTTAGATCATATACTGATTATGCTCAAAAACAAGAAGACATGAGGCTACTCTGCCAAGAAAAAAAATTTCAAAGACAACTTGAAGTGATTCGAGGAGCTTTAAATGAGCTTGGTTGTGAAGAGGTACCTTCTGGGTGTGATTTATCTATGGAAGGATCTTTTTCTGAATCGGCTAAGGTACTGCAAAAATTTATCTTATGTAATAATATAACAATTAAGCTGTCCATAGAATATGACTAGTATAAATACATTATACAAGTTTTAACTGTAGATAATCTAATTCTACAATGATGAAAGGATATTTTATTGTTAGGAATTGGTTTAAAAATTAAAAAAGTTTAGTAAAAATGAAAAAAGTTAATTATTTCTTGTCATATTCCATATAAGCCGTCCTCACCACGAGCAACAAGTACGAATAATCAAAAAGAAAGTGGCAATAGCAGTTTAGCGGAAGAAGAATGGTTTCACGGGGTTTTGCCTCGGGAGGAAGTCGTTCGACTATTGGTTACCAAAGGTGACTTTCTTGTTCGGGAAACCACTCGAAATGATGAGAGCCAAATTGTTTTATCCGTCTGTTGGGACGGCCATAAACATTTTATTGTTCAAATTACACAAGAGGTATGATAAAAAGATTGTAATATGATTAATATGTTAAATAAAATTGAACTAAATTTACGAAAATTTTCTTAGGGGTATTTCCGATTTGAAGGTCCAGCATTTCCGTCAATACCTGAGCTTATAGCGCACCAGCTAAAATGTGGATTACCTGTAACTAGTCGTTCGGGCGCTATACTCAAAACTCCGATTACGAGAGAAAGATGGGAACTTAATAACGATGATGTAGTGCTATTAGACAAAATTGGCAAAGTAAATTATTTTTCCATTAAAAATACCTCCTAGATAACTATGATTATTTATTTGATTATTTCATTTTGTGTACAGGGAAATTTCGGAGATGTTTATCGGGCGTTATTGAAAAATAAGACTGAAGTAGCTGTAAAAACTTGTAAAATGACTTTACCCGATGAACAAAAACGTAAATTTCTTCAAGAAGGACGGATATTGAAGCAATATGATCATCCAAACATAGTAAAGCTCATTGGAATCTGTGTCCAGAAGCAGCCCATTATGATTGTCATGGAGTTGGTATCTGGTGAGTTTTTCTGTTTAGCTGAAACAATACCTGATTACAGAATACTTGAAAGTTAATAAAAAATTAATAATTAGTTTAAAACTAAAAAAAATGCAAATAAAATGTTACTTGACAATTATTTTGTTAATCGTGTGTTGACCAGTTACCACGTTTATGTAAAAACTAAATGCTCATTTGAATGCTTTAATGTTCTAGGTGGATCGCTTCTGGCATATTTGAGGAACAATCGAGCTACTATGACTCAACTACAACTATTACAAATGTGTAGAGATGCTGCTGCTGGTATGAGTTACTTGGAATCTAAATGTTGCATTCACAGAGATTTGGCAGCACGAAATTGTCTAATAAGTACGCAACAATTTATTTTAAAGTAAAACATGACTTGACCATTTTCAAAATAAATAATTATTTTACAGGTCACGAATCTACAGTTAAAATATCGGATTTTGGCATGTCAAGAGAAGAACAAGAATACATAGTTTCTGATGGCATGAAGCAAATACCAATCAAGTGGACTGCTCCAGAGGCTCTAAATTTCGGTAATGATGGAAATCAATTGTTTTTCTACAAAAGTTTTAATTTATTCGAATAATTTTATTTATATTTACAGGAAAATATACTTCATTATGCGATGTTTGGAGCTATGGTATTCTAATTTGGGAAATATTTTCGAGAGGTGGCTATCCTTACAGTGGTTTATCCAATTCCCAAGCTCGTGAAAAAATTGACGCAGGTTCGTTAGTTTTAATATTTTTAGATTCATCGAATTGAATGTAATTAATGAGTAATTAATAAAATATTTTTTGATGCAGGATATCGAATGCCACCACCAGACGGTACACCAGATGACATTTACAAGTTAATGTTACAATGCTGGGAGTATGATCCAGAAAAAAGACCGCACTTTGATATAATTTATTCTATAGTCGACAGTGTAACTCAACGACATGTATTAGCCCAACAAACATGAAAGAAAAATTGTGATAAAAAAATTAAGTGCCTTATTATCACGCATTAAGTTCAATTATCAGATTTAAATTATTGATTATATTTAAAAAGTGCAATTATACCTATATTTTTTAAATCGACTTACTGAGGACATAGCTTTTTGCGTGCTTTAACAATAATACAATGTGATATAACTTTTTAAATAGTTTTTTGAATTTTTCATTTTAAAAATCTTTTTCATTATCTAATACTTTTTAATAAAAAAAAAACTGAAGTCTTGACTTCCTTTTTAAAATGTCTACTTTACATAGAATAATAACGAATTAGCAACTCATTACATGATTTTTTTTCATTTTGTCATTTGTATAGATATTTTTAAATAAACACCTGAATAAAACATTTTCATTATTTGATTTTAAATTTAGTTTTTTGTTATATTACCTTGAATTTCAGTAATAAAAAATAGTTTTGATATGAGAAGTTAATTTCTAATTTCGTCTAAACGTAAGATTTTTTTGAATTTCTTGGTGCCAAATATAAGATTGGAATATAAGATGCTTGAAGGTCTGCTCTTGGCAAATGCAAATTGTCAACTGAACTTGTTTATGATTATCTCAAATTTTGAAATGATAATTAAGTTATCATGGGTAGTGAACTAAGTTAAATTTTAAAAATAGTGCTGCTTCAATTATATAGTTTTTATTATTCAAGATAGATTCATAGGATTTGCAAAAAAAATTTTTGCTAATTTTTTATATACAGAAATGATTGGTGTTAACACTTATCATACATAAACTTTGTACATCTGGGTCAACATTAGTAAAAAAATTTACCGCTATTACAATTAAAACTAATTTCTATTCGAAAATTGAAAACTTTACATTTATTATAAGCTACTTAATATATTAAAATAATATATTTTCAATCACAAATACAATTTTAGAAGCTCATCGGCCACAGCGGTGGGAGGAAGAATCCCAATGTCTGTGATAAAAAGATTTATTAATTCAGGCGGAGTGTAGTCAACGAGGGGATGTTGCTCTGCAGTATCTTTTTTTAACATACTATGGGTAAACTGGAATAAAAATTTAAATTAAATAACCATCTCAAAAAATTGTCTCAATAATATTTTGATTATTACCTTGTATTCAGGTTCCAAATCCCTATTATTTAGGGGAAATGTTTGTGTAAATTTGAAGGTTTCAGCCATAACTAAGAAACGTTTATTCAATGCTTTTGCACAAAGTGCCATCTGGTATGTTCCAATCTGATATAAAAAGAAGAAGATAAATAAATGCAAAAGATTATAAGTAAATAAATCAAAATGATTTAACTTACTTTGTTAATAATTCCACCACTTTGACATACTCCTTCAGCTCCGACCATGCAAAAATCTACTGATTCCATTATGTAACCCATAGCAGAATCTAGAATCATAGTGCACGGAATTCCAAGGTCCCTAAGATTTTGAACCATTTCCGCCCTAAAAAATTGCATTGTATATAATAAGCGTTTTAAGGATAAATGTTGGATCTATTTTTCAATTTTCATATCATCAAAATGTGAACTGTATCTTACCCACTGGTGTCCGGTGTTGATTGTGTAATGTACACTCTAAAACGGCATTTTTTCTCTGCTGCTCGTTTCATAGCAGCCAACACAACTCGAGACCTGGAGTGTGTCAGTATGGTCTAAAATAGAAATTAATATTAGCAAACATAAGTCATTGAAGTAATAATTAATCAAAATAAATTTATAAAATAAAGTACCTGTCCACCATATAAGTAAATTGAAGCTCTCTGAGCAATGATCTGTCTGGATTCAACAAGTCTCTCATAAAATGTGTTTCCTCTGTCAAGCATAATTTTCTTACATTCTTCAAAAGGCTGCAACAAAGATATCGTTAGCAAAAATGTAGTTATTGTCTTAAGAAATAAAGATTATCAAATTACCTGAGTGTCAAGTGCGGTTAAAGTGATGAATCTAAGAAATAGTTCAGACCCTGAATTAATAGCGGTAATAGGACAATCACATGTCCTCAGTATAGCGATTGCGTCAATCAATTGCTCTCGTAACTCTTGGATAGTCTTGGCTAAAATTAAAACAAATACACATGATAATATGCAGGTAAAATTTAACACTCACAACAAGATGAAAATATTACAATTTGACTTTTCCAGGACTTTTAACAATACCCGGATTGCCGCCATTCCAGCTGAAAGTTCCTTTTCAGTTTCCAGGATTGTTTTCATGAGTGAGTAAATTTCTGAAAATTAAAAAAAGATGATGAAATAATGACGAACGATGAAATAGTAAAAACGATGAAACGATGCGGCGGCATTTACCTCGAAGTGCATAAAAAATAAATTGAAAACATTTGATCTATTTACCTTGTTTCTCCATGATTATAAGTATAACCGAAATTGGTCGGTGAAAATTTAAAACCCAGCAGAATTTACAAGTTCACGAGGTGCTCGCACACGTTGGATTGCATTCAAAATCAAACTGTAAATACGAGAGAGGTTGAACGGTTAAGAGTCAGACACTACTCGTGATCAGTAACGACTCGAAACTTGGAACAGCGTTCGGGCATTACATTAGATGCGAGGAAGGGGGGGTATAATACCGTTCCTAAATACACTTGACTTACGGAGCTAAATTGAAACAGGGAATCTCAAAGTAAAATGACGGTTTTGATGAATTTTATCAACGTAATCATTTTCGCTATAAACATATGGAGACGAAAATAATAATCATGTAAAATACTTTCAAACAAAAAAAAAATAATAAAAAATAATAAACTTCGGAAAATCTACGTGGAAATTTTTTCTACACCATAAGAGTAAAAATAATTGATGACCTTGTGGCATTAATTCGTCAAAAACAAATACACAGCCTGTCCCAATAGCTGCGGGGGAGAGGGGGCGGGACCCAAAAACTCGCTCAGACAACTGCGGCCTCGGCCTGTATTGCCGCCCACCGGAGTTCTTGATTGGCCGCAGTTGTAATTTGCGAATAATTTGTTATCCGAGCAATTGCGATCAAAAATTTCTGTCGTCGTATACTTATATTCAATAGAATACCCTGAGTGATAGAGATTTTCCAAAATCTTTCTAAAATTACGTTTTAGCCTGTCAAATTCTGAATCTTTACAAATGTAAATTATTCATGAAAATTGTTGGTATCGATTAAAAAAATCTTGAACTTGAGTAATCTTGGCATTTAATAGGTAAATCGAAAAAGTCCCAACCAATAATGAGTGAGCCTCGTGATTCGACCACACAAAAGATCAAATTTTCGCTCTACAATAAATAAATTTCGTTGACACTGAGCATTCAAATAGTTATTTAACTAATAATTATAATTATTTATTTACTCAAATAATAGTTTATAATAAATATTATATATTTTATGAAATCTAGTCACAATTAGTGAATAAAACATTTTAAATTACTCATTAGTTCAAATCGCAATTGACAATTATAAAATTATTTAAAAATTAATCTATATTTTTTTAACTGTACTTAAAACCATAAGGTATGAAATTTGTTGTTTATATAACGCTTTATTTTACGCGAACAATAAAATAACAATTATTCTGAGATTTCCATGAGAAAAATTCGTAAAATTAAAATCATTAAAATTACGCCTTTTTCGAATAAAACATCGTACTAAATTTCACTTTTTATTGCAAATTGCGCACTATTATCAATGCCCTTTTTCTCCGTGATAACACGCTTGCGCAGAATGACAGCAAACACACATAGTGCTTCGGGAAAATTTCCGAGTTGTCAAATGATTACCGAGTCGCACGAGACTTGACCTTTTTGGAAAAATAGAAATCAAGTTTTAATACCACTTTTATAAAGTTTCGATAGTGAAAACTTGTAGCTGTAATTGCGGACTAAAGGATTTTACGTGAATATTATACAGATCGATTCAGATAGGTGGATTATAGTATGACTATAATTTCACAAACAACTGATACACTCGACTGTCACGAAGGAAATCATCCTTTCGAAAGTTTTTTAGCAGCGTAAAAACGTCAATTATATAGTCCATATCAGCGTAAACAATGAAGCTAACTAGATTTTACTCGATTTTACTCTACTTGGGCATCGTTCATACGATTTTTACCTCGACCGTCGATGCCAAGCACAAATTCGATGGCGACTTCGAGTTCGATGAAGAGGTAAGTTGACCTCAGGAAACAAACATAGTATACTTACCAATTGCACGCGAATATGCGAACTATATTTATCGTGCGTTTGTTTATTCTTAAAATAAAAGAATATTGATTGCTTTTATAAGGTAAATAAACGCATTATTATTAACGAGTTGCAAAATTAATTAAAAAGGGAGACTTTAATTCGCGTCGACTACGGTGCAGAATAACAACCCCGTTAATGAATATAGCAAAGCATATAGTGAATAATATAGTAAATAAATATAATAATTAAGACAGTAAATAAATAAAGATTACTCTTTAAGGCTATTCGGGGAAATTCGCGCATTACCATAAATATGATAAAATCGAAACCACAATTCTAAAAGTTAACCACATAAATTATAAAAATATTGAATTAGAACGTAAAATCAATGAATAACTATATTTCGAGTATAATTATATTAAATGAAAAAATGTAAATAGTTAAAATTTGGTAAATTGATCTTTCTAAAAAATATTAATCCTCAAGGATATTTTTCATTAAAAAAAAAGTCGATTATACTTACGACTCAATATTTGACGAAATCATATAATTTTTTACCTAAATTTATTTTCATATAATGCGTACTTATTCATATTTAATTGATTAAATAACAAATTTATACAGTTTTTGTACAGCAAATTTCGCTAAAAAATAAGTAAAAATTTCATTAACACTTTTGAGATTTGAATTATTTTTTTCGATATTTTTCATATTTGTTACACATTTAAATATTATTGAAATATCTTCTAAATTACTACATAAACTGTAACTTATTCTTCCGTATCTTTGACCTACGAATTATCTTTGCATTTCGTGCGTGATGGGTTAGGCCTATTTGAAAATTTGAGCAAATGAAATAGTCTTTTATAAACTATTTTGTAACATTAACATTAATTTATTTGATTTAATTATTAACTTTTACCATCAATTTAAATCTCTGATAAAACTTCGCATAAAAAGTAAAATTTATTTAGAAAGTTTTAACGACATAGTTGTATTTCATTCTCGCGTTTTACAACTTTTCAGGCTCAAAATGTAATGAAGACGTATGATAATTATTTCTTAACTCGATGATAACATTTAAGAATAAATAAATGATATGACTGTATATTGTATATTACAGGATAATTCAAAAGCAAATAAAAAATTGGATAAAAAGAAGTGGATTCACGACCCTGAAAGTAAGTAACTCGTTATTTAACAATGTAATTGTTTATTGGAAATGAAATAAAAGTGAAAATGAAAATATATTCTGCTGTAATCTTATGGATATTGAAATTAGACATTCAGCAGTATTAATGTTTTCAAGCGGTATTTATAGATTTTTTCATTGTATTTTTGAAATAAAACTCTGAATTAAAGACTTCATTCATACATTTTCACCCCACGCAGAACTGAAAAAAGAATCTGTAGGTCCTTGCCTAAAGTGTGACTGTTCTTATCAGCTAGATAAAGTTTCATTTCGTTCATTTCGAAAATAAAAATGAAATTTAATTTGAGCGCTTTAGTGGTGTTAGGTCCCAATCTAATTCTGTCGGCTGGAACGCCGGAATTCCTATGCTTATACACATTCCACTACTTTGTCGACCGGACAGAATTAGATTGGGTCTAGTGTATACTTTAATATCGGTTCGAACTTCATAGCATATCTGTTTCTAGTATTTTCCCGTGCGATTAAATTTTCTTCTCATTTGAAAATCCTCGTAAAACTTGATCATGGCTTTCGAAAATAAAATTCATCTAATCAAATATTACAAACAAATAAAAACCGCATCATTGCTTTATTTTATAAAGGTTTGGTAAATGACAGCTTTTTTTGAATTTTAAAACTAGAATAATTTTCTCATGAGTAATAATTTAATGATATTCGATGTTTCGATGTTCGATGTTTGATTTTAAAGGTAAAACTTTGATTACAGATGATTTATGCCAACCATTAAAATGTAAGAAGTCAGAAATTTGTCTTTTAGAAGATGCTGCTACTGCTCTTTGCGTTTCAAAAAAAGAATTTCATAAATCAAGGCAAGCTATTGTATATTATTCATACATGTAAAATTTGTTATATCGACTGCATTTTTATAACGAATTGAGTTATTAATTCTTGTAGTTATTATTTTTAGATGTAGTGGTAATGTCAGTAGTAGTAAAAGTAGTTGTAGATAGAGGTTGTAATGGTATTCATTATTGAAATAATGTAGACAATATCAGTTTTCATGATTTTATCACACCCCATCGCTTTGAGTTGGCCTGATTGTCAGAAACCAAATAATAGTTTATATTGCGTAAAAATTATCTATATTTTGTACTATTTTTCTAAAAATATTAACGTTTTATGAAAATTAAAATAAAATATGATTAAACTTTTTATTCACGTACTTATAGCTTTAACAATCGCATACTGCAAAAAAGATCAAATATTATTCCCTAAACTTTGATATTGCATTAGTGATGTTAAATAATTTCCGGTAATTATTTCAGGATCACCTCTAAATTACACTTAGATCAACCATTCCTCCAAAAAAATGATGGAAATGTTAAAAAATTCACGGACGATGCTTATTTCGATTCAGAGGATGAAGATAATGACGAAGATCAAGAAGAATTAAAGTAAGTACAGTTTAAAGATGAGAATTCAATATCAAAATTATATTCAAATGTGCATCACGCGATTTGATTCAATTTCGTATGTATCTATGTCTTTATTGAGCGTAGACTCGATCCTACAAGCTAAGAGGTCATTTAACTTTTGAAACTCCCATTCGTTTCGAAATTAGACAAGAAAAAAGACCCCTATTTTTCATAATAATAATTTCATGAATCTTAAAAACTGAACCCTGCCTTTAAATGTTGAAATTCGCGAAGAATCAATTGGAAATAATAAAATGTTGGCACTTCAAGATGCTGACTCGCGAAACACCATGCCGCTTGGCGCACTTCGACTGCACTTCACCAAACGCACTCGTATATCATGTTCTCGATCACTGTTGAAGCATCAAAACAATTCAATTTCGTAGTGTAATAATTAATGCTTTTCTGAAATATAAAATATTTTACTCCGTCTTCTCCATACTTAATAAAATTGTCCCCCCATCAAATTAATTCAATTTTTATTGCAGATGCCAAGAATGTCCAGTGCAAAAGCCAAATTTCATATGTGGCACTGATAATCGCACTTATAGCTCAATGTGTCGTCTTAAATATCACAATTGCATCCATCACATGTCCGTCCGTTTGAATTGTACTGGTTTTTGTCCTTGCAAGAGTAAGCAAAAAAAAAATAAAATTTTTACAATGTATAATTTGTTGAATGAAAATTAAGCTGTTTTTATAAAACTCATTTGAGTAGAAACTTAATGCTATCAAGAATATTTTGAAAAAATCTGTTATCTGGCTCGAAAAATAAGCTGATTTGAGCATAAATATGTTGAAAATTGCACTCAATATAATTAAATAATATGAAATCTTTAATTTCAGAGTCTTTTTCTCATGTACAATCAAAGAAAGGATCTAAAGAACTCAAGATGGTAACAAAGAAAAATCTGGATTACGATTCCAAATTGACTCCACAAGATTTCAATTTTGAAAATCATCACTATCGATATCTTCAATACTTGAGACAATCTAAGGTATATTACATGAATATTATTTTATTCGCTTTTTAATCGAATTTATCATTTACGATACAAAATATTCTGAATCCTCACAGTCCTGATTTAATATTAAATGGTAAAATAAAATTTCAGATTCAGAAGGAGCATAAAATTCGGAATAAGTTTTCCACCTCTACCAATTCCGTAGGAAAATGGAAAAAAGTACATGACGATATTGATATTAACAGCGTCAATTGTCGACCATCCTCGAATTCGATCATGGCAAATAGACTTCTCGATTGGTTTTCCGTTGTAATGGCTGAAACTTTGCAACGACGTCAACATTACAAAGCTAAGAGTGAGTAAAAATCGCTATACAATCTCCATCTAAATTACGATCTAAATTATCCAATTAATTTCATTTTCTTTCATTTGAAATAATTATAAACAAGTGTTAATAAAATTTATTGACTATGGTGCTAAAAATAATACGATGTTACAGGTGGACATTTTCCAAGTAGCTGCCAAACCGAAGTAAAGTGGATGTTTGGTCACTTAGATACTAATGGAGATGAGAGAATATCTCAAATGGAACTCTTCGGCCTAGAACATGACCAAAATGAACCGTGTTTGAAACCATTTTTGGATACGTGTGACTTGAACGAGTAAGTTTTTGTATATACCTCCATAGCTTTATTCACAATCATTTTCAATTACAAAACTGCCTGATTTTCATAGTATAATATAAAAAAATTATGTCAACCCCTATACCATTGTTATTACTGCTGGATTTTTTGAGACTTTTTCCATTTATTCTTGTTATACCATTGTGATTGTTTTAAATTGAATGAAAATTTATTTATCGCAGAGATAGCATTGTAACGGGATCAGAATGGTGCAGCTGTTTCTCCAAAGCCGAAAGACCATGCGCAGCCGTACGTCGCCGCACTTCGCCCGAAATCGCACCGAATTGCGATAGTCAAGGCTACTTCCGAAGCATACAATGCCACAAAATTCTTCAAGTCTGCTGGTGCGTCGATAAACACGGCATCGAATACGCCGGGACTCGAGTCAGAAGATCAAAGCCCAATTGCGGTAAGCTCGAGAGCTTTCAAACTATTGAAGCTTGATTTTTTATCCGCATTTAAATTTTCGCGTGCATAATCTTCGGGGTAGATGAAATCATGAGATCAATTTTGTCGTTACAGATTCAATCATCGAGAAGAGAAACTTTAACGCATTGAGGACAAATCGAGTCGATTTGCAAGACGACGAAGACGATTCGCAAATATCCGAAGGTTCGGCAGATTATTCAGCAGATTTTTAGAAACATATAATCATAATATACTAATCCAAATATAATTGCCAATGCATATTTCTGAAATCACTCATACCGTTACATAGTTAGTCAGTATTTAAGTATTAAAATTAAAGTTTAATTTTTTGTAAATCTCAGATATATACAATAAAAACCGTTCAAAATCTGAAGACTTTCAAATTATCCTTGTTCTCTGACATTAAATTATTTCGTGATGTAATAAATAAATTTGATCATACGACCGATCTCTAAAATTTCCTATCCGATCGGAATTGTATTCGGAGTCGCATCAGAAAACAACTCATAAATATGGAGCTTGCGAACCTAGAAGATTCATGAAATTTTACTAGTTGAAAAAAGCTCTATGAGCTTCAAATTGATATTTCTTCGTGAGCGATGTAGACCATACTAAAATTAAAACTTCATTTTTCTTGATTTTTGAGTGCAACACTCCACCATAATGAAGGCAATGTGTCTGCAGCAATTACGTTATTCAGAGATATAGAATACCACTGAACTAATGATAGAGCTTGCAGCGCTTCGAAATTCTTAATTTCATTTCCTTTTGATGTAGCCTCTGATTGCAGGACAAAAGAAATCTTTCAAATTACTATCGACACTTTAATCCACAACTTTCCAATCTGTCAGACAATTTATTTTTTATTGATAAGCTTTATTATGCGCTTATAAGTATTTAAAATTTACATTATTACGCGAGATAATGTATATGCGGTATAAAAAATGCAAAATACATATTATATTTAACTCTGACAACTTTAGGAATAAATTAATAGACAAGAAATAAGCGATGTCTAGCATTGAAAACATAAAACTCAATTGACTCTTGAAAAAATTTATTTTTTTTTGTTAAATTTTCAAATTACATTGTTAAACTTTAGTCTCTATATAATATAATATAAGTGAATAAAAATAATAACAAAGGACCACGAGTATAGAAGAATTTTATTAAATGTAAATTAAACAGTAAAAATTTGCTGAAGTACTGCTGTATACGAAGTACATGTTTTTGCCTCTAAATATTATGTGAATCTACTCTTTATTTAATAAGTATCGAACATATGGTACTTCAACATCATTACCCTCTTCGTCGTTACAACATAACTCAAAAACAAGAGCACGAACATGAGGTTCAATTTTCTTTTTAGAAACTTTTTTCACAACTTCGGACATGGAAAGATGCATTCTCTCTTGACATTTTGGCTTGGCCATAAAGAATGAATACAGCATGCAAACTCCTTGAGAAAGCATTGTTACTTCTAACTTATGTTGCTCTTTGAAATAATCCAAGAATTCCTTAAGGGTCATTTCACCTTGAACTTCAAACCTATCCCACAATGTCCATTCAATATCATAATATTTCAATTTAGGCGCACTTATAGGTTCAGAAAAGCCGAAAAATGGTAAAGCAAGATTGACAAATCCGTTCTTATAATACGAAAGATCTTTGAAGCCTTGTGTTAATTTTATCAACTCCAAACCAACTAAGCCAGCGACAACGCTAGTAGTAGTAGCGATGGCTGGAATGATTTTTCCAGCGATCAATTTACTTGTATGCCGATCGGCAAGTTGAATTTTGTAATTTGAAGCTCGGAGGTTTGATGAAGCTACAATGAAGTCCATATGATAATTGAAATCATCGTCTTTTTCAAATTCCTGAGGATGCATACTGAGTCCTGAAAACAAAATAGAAATCGTTACATATCAATAAAGAGTTTATATTGGCCAATTTAATTTGTTTATGTAAAATTTATTTATTAGAAAACGAATTATAATTTAATTGAGCAATTTAAGAATTCAACAAGCATCTCATTTAGAATATTTCCTCAAATATTTTCGCGTAATTATTATAATATTTTGAACGTTGTAATAACATATAGTAATAACACGGTCAAAGCAAATTTAAGGAAGTGAAAGATTTCGTATCTAGTTAGCGAATCGCGATACGTGTAGAAATGAATTCATAGACGGAATGATATTCAATTACGAGTATAAGCGTAAATAAAAATAACTCGTGATTCAACAGTAAAATAAATTAGTTTAAGAAATCATGATAATAACTTCTTTCTATCTTATTCATCCACACGTGATAAGCGATGATGATGTGTTATTTTTAACGTATTATTTGCACTAATATTTTATCGCCTACCGCGTATTGATGCTGAATTCATATTCAAAAGGGTCGAAACTGTAATAACAGTACAGTAATAAAGATGTTATCAATTTGAAGTTGCATACCTTTTAATTCTTCTGCGGTTGGCAGGGCAGCCTGTAATGTAGTTAATCTTTCGTGATCAAGATTACCATTGCCATTGGATACTTGAAGCTGTGAATCATTCTCAGCAATAGTCACTCCTGATTTCGGTGTGAATTCTGGCACTTGTATGGTGTTGACGAAGCTTGCTATTTCTTCGCGATTATTGGATCCCTTTATGCCGTATACCGCAGCTTTCAAATTGGCTGCCGCGACAATGTAATCGAGGTGCAGACTGTTTGACGCATCAAACGTCAATGGAATCGGGCAGCGTTTTGGTCCGGACCAGAACAGTTGACCACTGGACGTTACTTGATCAGGAGGGAAGTTAAAGAGTAACTGACGTATTTGGTTGTTGAATTGATCTTGCCAATGGTTTCGTGCCCAAACAACGCAGTCGTTGAAGTTTTTCGGTCTTTCGTCAACTAGAGCTCTTTTGACAGACTCCAGAACTTCCAATGGTTGGACACCTGGTAGTTTCAAGGTGCGCTCAACGAAGTGAGGATCGCATATGTATAGAGCTGCATTTTCAGCTCCTTGTTTAAATAGACCTTCGAAACTATCTCTAGCCCATTGGAGAGTATGTTCTATTGCATTAGGGAAGTTTTTCAAAGTACAAATGGGTATGCTTTTTTCTGGAGGATCTTGAGAAGAACTGTAGGATTCTGTCATAAATGGTACAACTACTTGAGTGTTTCCTTTTGTTCCCAATGTTCCAGATTCGAGTAATGGTTTGCGATAGAAGACGCATCTTCGATCCACGTAGATTCTTGCATCGACGTTGTCGAGAGCATTCGCCACGCCGTCCAACTGTTTGAAGAAATCGTCGTTGTAGACGTTTTCTGTTTCAGGACCGACTCGATTTTCATGAGCAACAATGTTTATTTGAGAATTCATCTTTTTAATGGCTTTGGCAGCCGTCGATGATTTTGACTTTTGAACGTCGGAAGGTCTGAAGAGGAACTGGCGATTGAGATTTGATTTTTCAATGTAGTCATTGTCAGTGACGACGATGTGTCCGTTTCCTGAACCGACTCCGAGCATGGCGAAATTTTTGAGTAATTCGCAGCCAATAGCGCCAGCACCCACTATGAAATACTTTGTATCTGCCAACTTGTCGAGCATCGACTTTCCAAAGACGTTGATGAATCGATCGTAACGAGATCCAACTGAAGCGACATTTTCTGGATTGTTTTTCAATACGTCTTTTGGCAAACACTCAATGGCATCGAAATAGAGCCATTGATATATAGGATGGAATTTGCCGGAGCAAGCTTTCATCACTTCTTGAGCGACAATTCCACCCACGACGGCGTTCATTGGACTTACTTCACCTGCTGCGGTTTTACAGAATATACTCATGAATTCCTCCTGAATATCGTAATTCAAGTTATATTCCTTATTCATTGTGTGAGCGATACTCAAGAACTCTTGGTAGTCTGTGTCATTCCAAGTCTTAGGTAGATGATTGAATTTCTCAACGAAAGAATGCAAAGCGATAAATGCCAAATGTTGCTGCTGCACTTGCTCAAATTTAGCAAAATCGCTGATAATGATTTCTGGAGCTTCCAGTGCCTTATTCAGAGGTAAAAACTTCAATATTTTGGGCATCTTCACCTGCTTCACGATACCTCCTTGACGATACTCCGACAGGCCGGACGTGTCGCCGATACTGAAGGTATAGGGTCCGAGAACTTTGATTTTTTTGGGCTCGCAATTGTTGAGCTCCACCATTCCCTGGACCTCGGAGAATGTAACGAAGTCGCCGTCCTCTAGGCCGTGACGAGCGTCGTCCAGGCAAGTGACGACTCCCTGCGCGTCGTGCGAAACGCTTGCTACCATCGAACTCAGGGCGGGTTCGCCGGTGGCGTCAATTACGGTGAACTCGTCACCGAAGTCACAGAATACTTGCGAGAACAGGCCACGAGTGTCGGCGACGATGAAAGCGATTTTGTTTTTGCGGGCCAGTTCCGATAACCTTAACTGTTCCTTCAATGGAGTTTCTGTGATAACTATGACACTAAATTTTTTTAAATACTCCTCGGTCAATGGGCCGGAATAGAATTGTGTTGGTACGTAGTTGTTCAATTCTGATAGTCTTGGATGGCATGCTTCAGCACGATTTCTTCCTGTAAAATCAAGCGAAATTCAATTTAGTATTTTACAACTTTTCATAGGCACAATAAATAAATAAAATGTTCGAATTAATGTGCTTTTTAGCATACGATTTTTCATTTTTCTTTAGGTTTCTCACTGATAAAATTAAGTATTTTTGGGTATTTTGTGTGCTTGAAAGTAACCAAAGGGAAAGTTCGAGAGTGCGATTTATGTCTCGAAAAAGGGAACGTAATTATAAACTCAGTATACGAAGCCCATTGGGTCCGAAACTATGCCGTGTCGAAAGCCCTTTTTTTACCCGTACATTGAAAATTACAATAAGGATTCGATTGCCGAAACAAGTACAATGGGACAGGGCACAATTCAAGACCCGAGCAAGGCCAGAATTTCAGCTTACCAAGGCCGACACAATAGTACGACTTTAAATTTTTCTCATAAGAAAATATGATTTTGCTACTCCGTACTTGAAGCTTCTAGTACAAATCATACATTATAGGCAAAATATTTAAAATTCACTCTACTGCGTCGGTTGCTGCATAAGCACTTTATGGACTGGAGCTGTCAGATTGTCATCCAGAAATGACAATTTCCCAAATTATTATATTGATAAATCCTCTCCAGGTTCAAAAATTAGTTCTTAGAGATATTCGATGTATTAAAGTACATTGAAAATATAGAAGTATCGTGTTTTAAACGAAAAAAGGAAATCTGAATTAATACAATGTACGGGGCCTTCTTTAAACTTTAAACGAAAGTTTTATTAGGATCTAAAGTGAGAATGTGGAGGGTGTAAATACGGTCGTTTTAAGTGCTCAACTATGATACTAAAAGCATTGTATTGGCTATTAAAACGGTCATTAAATATACCACACATAGTCAGTTTAGGTCCCGATTAACGACTTCACGAGAATCTGTGCGTCTTGGTTGTCAACGAAAAGGCGGGGGCTGAGTTTTTTAAGTTTTTATAAAAACACCATATTGAACGCGTGGATAAAAAATTATCAGTGCTTTGAATGCACTCAAGATGCCATATCGCTTTTCTATATCGTTCAAACAAATAAAATTCAGTGAATCAAAACGATTCGCGATTAAATTGGCAGTGAAGGTATTAAAAATTCCAATTAAACTATTAAAAAATTAAAAGGGAAAACTCACGAAGTCAGTTTTTACCATGAAAAGGGGTGCCATAGAAAGACTTATAAACACCTGTTCAATGAAGTAATTTAAACTATTCCATCGAAATTTATACGGCAAAATAGCATAAGGATAAAAGTTTTTCCAAGCAAGTTCTTACGAATTATTTTGAGAAAATATTTATGAAATAAAATGTTTATATTTTTATGTACCGCATAACATGTACCGTCATAACATTATTGAAATAATTACTCATTTTTTTTCAGTTTTTTTTCAAAGATAAGCTGAAAAATGCGTCGCGTGGAATGTTTGTATTCGTGAAAAAATTCTGACGTTGCTTTCACGTATACGTATTTCCGTTTTTAGGTTAAATTGTAAATCATTTTTCAAACGTCCGATTTATTTCAATTATTTAAACAATTTTAAGTATAAAAACTCAATTTGATTACATAGGCAATCATTTCATAAATTTATGTATCAGTTTATTAATTCATGTTGAATAGTTCAATATATTATTTATTTTGAGTGAAAAATAAACATATGCCATAGAAATTAAAATTCTCATTGAATTATTTTCAAAATCTTCTAGTAGTAAACATTGGCTATTATACTTTTCATAATATTCAAGTAACGAAGTAATAATTATTAATTCAGTATATGATCTTTCATGAAATTTATTTAAATCTAAATATGTCATGAATAGCCAGAAGACGATTAGAGGGAGAACAAAACAATGGAGATCATTAAGCTTTGAGGAGAGAGTTGATGAATTTTGAAAAGTATTTTTAGATATTAAGAAGCATAGCTTTTAAAATCCTAAAAATAAACTGATCTTTTCTGTAACCATCATAATATTATGAATAATCAGTATAACCTGCATGAAATTACTTTAAAAAAGATCATCTTGTAGATTTGTAAAAAAATAAGATTTTTTTGTATCAACATTCTATATGACCAACAACAAAATAAAAATTTTAATCATTTGCAATGTTCATCAACTAATAGATACTAAAATAATACCAAAAAATAGTATATTAAGAGGTACTCAGCTATAAAAAAACTACCCTGTAAAGAGTTGGGGTTATCGTCTTTCAAACTAATATTTTGAAAACATGTTCATAAAATTAAGTACTTGGCAAATTAAATTATTAAACTATTGTTATCATTATCATTGATAAAATAAAAATAGATAGTAAGTAATAAAAATGCTCACCAATATCTTCGTTGGTTAAATAAAATTGCGAACACAAATCTTCTATTCCGCATGCTACGGTATCATGTAAAGTTACAGACTTGACTCCACCAAGGATAACATTTTTAGCTATTTCAACGCCAAGTCCACCAAGACCTGAAATAAGCACATCTGAACTAGCCATTCTACGCATAGCATCGTGGCCCAAAACGTAGAGTTGACGAGAGTAAAGTCCTTCATCTATATCTCCTTGCATATCAGACTCAGAGCCATTTTTAGCCATGTTTACAGCTTTTAGAAGGTTTTCTGCACCTCCTAGAGTATCAGCAACTTTTCGCTTTTTACTTGGAGGATCAACAGAATTTTCTACCACTTCAGCACTAGACATCGGACTTTACAGACCTGGGTATAATGCTTTTGATGAAAGCTGATGAATTTCAACAAGAATTTTCAGTCAATTGGAAACTTCGAAAAAAATTATACCGACAATTTTTAGTAGTCCTGTAAACAAAATATCATGAATTTATTAAAGTAAACTAAACAAAATGATCAACTTGAAACTATCGTGAATTTGAAAAATGAACTATACAACACACTATTATCTCGAAGTTATTGAGAGTTTGTCATGAGAAACAGTAGAATTCCGCCAATGACGAATACTACTACCAACAGAATTTTTTTTTTGGTTCGGAACTACAGTACTCTTTTGATCGTCTCAATAATAATCGCGGACCGTGTACTTTATTTGATAAAATTGATACCTTTAACGTTGAGCCTAGCTCAATCATCACCACATTATAAGATTAGCAAACTTTTACAAGAAGGCCACAATGATAATCAAACTAATTTTTGCTATACCCATTAAAGTGCCAACTTTGGTTCAACGCTGTAACACAATCTGCACAAGGAATTGCAAATTTTAATCAGCGAGCGACGGTTTCGGCAATTTCTACAGTTAAAACCGACGTTTAACGCGGTGTTTCGCGCTTGTGACGTGTAGGGGGGCACGACGCGACACGTTTGCCAATTGCCATACCGTTTGAATTCGTTTCGTTCAAAAATTCATAGTTTGCTAAATTTAGAATAATGAGTACCTAAAAAATTATCTAAGTATTATAATTATGAATGATGAAAATCTCACTCTTTAAATTGGAACAGATTGAATGGCGCGCTTTTGACTGTATTTTTTCAAGGCGCGTTGAAAATAATATGAGAGCCTCTGAAAATCTGTAACATATATTATTCTAAAAGGAAAATAATTTTGGTTTCGATCTTTGAAAATTTCAAAGTTTCAATTTTATTGATATTTTTATTTTTATCTCGTAGGATATAGTTTGTAGGGGGGAGGGGAGCTTTGCTTGCGATGAAGCTCTCGACGCTGCTTGTGGTATGATCTGTCACGGACTTGGCAATTTGCTGCGTACTAAACCGGTATTCCATTTCAGGCTTTATCGCAGACGCGTACCGCCTTAATTTTTTAAAGTTTGAACTCGGCTCCGTTTCATAATAATCGAGCCCTTTGTTATTGACGAGTTGTATTACGCACAATAAGCAACGCTTTTTTATTTGTTTCGTCTCCATTGCTGTATACAGAGCTAAAACCAAACCAGTAAAAGTAAGTTTGACACATGATTATACATAAATTATCTTTTATTTTGAGGGTGCAATGCTGTAACTTTAGCTGCATATTTACTTTTATAGCAATTTTTTTCAATCTCACGGTTTTTAACAAAACGAAGGAATTTTAATTAATAGAGTATAAAAAGGCCCTTGGCTGCCACATCAACATAAATCGTATAGGGTACACGTCACGTGTTATCAGCTCGGCTTTGCCTCGACCGACGTACATACATCATTTATTTTGAGCCCTGTAGTATTTTGTTTACATTGAAAAACTTTTCTCGCAACTAACGGTTCCATTACTTTGCTTATTTCCATTCATGGTTCAATTTAGTCCGTTATTTATAAAGTTTTTCAACTTTGGTTAAAAATAAAAACGGCATGACGGGTAAATTTAAGTACCCATCTCTATACGTACTTCTTTATCTCGTTGTTGACTTGTGGCATGTTACGTACTTATGATTATTCTTTAATATGAAACATTTTTCGGTCCGAAAATGACTGAATGTAATACGAAAGCACGATTAAAAAAGACTAATCAAATATATTTTATAGTCTTATTTTTATCTGAAAACCAATTTGAATACATTTATTTTGTCGCTTTTCTACACTTGTTTAAAGTTTCTTAAAATATATTTCAAATAAATGTCTTAAAATGTGTGTGAACATTTACATACCTACTCTATCATTATTTTTTCTGAAATCTCATTAAACTTTTGGAATTTCATAAGCCCCTAAATAAAATCTAAAATCAATGTTTTTCTTGAACAACAATCAGAATAAACTAACTATAAGATCTAGAAATTTTTTAATTTTTTGCCATCAGTAGAAATAAGGCATGATATTCTACTTATAGTTTAATGTATCTAATTCTATAAAATATTATTTAGATAATATTATAATGTATTTAATCTTGTATCTAAATCAATTACAGATGAAAACTATAAAATTGGAATCTGCTGACGGAAAAAAGTTTGAGGTCGATATAGAAGTAGCTAAATGTTCAATAACAATCAAAACGATGCTTGATCTACACGCCGCTTTAGTAGATATTGATAACGAAGCAATTCCTCTTCCCAATGTTAACGGTGATATTTTAAAACTTTTTATTGAGTGGGCCACCCATCATGTAAAAGAGGAAGAAGATGCTGTAAAAATTACCCCTTGGGAACAGAAATTTCTAAAGGTATTTTAAATATATCAAGGTTATACATTCTTACTGTCAACACATACAATTTACTACAAAATACTTAGAAAAAGATAATTTTGTTCGCTCCACCTAATGGTGACTTTAATACACTGAGGCTAATATTAAAGAACTTGATTTATAAAAATTTTCTACTTCAATCACAAATTATAATCTTACAATCCAATTTTTTTTTTAACTAAAGTTATGTATTTTTTTAAAGATCTCAATAATATTCTAATTTTTTTAATAATATTACAGGATCATGACTCACAACTGAGAGAACTCATTATGGCTGCAAATTATTTAGATGTTAAAAGGTTATTAGATATAACATGTTTTGCAGTAGCCCAACAAATAAAAGGAAAATCTCCAGACAAAATTAAGAAAAGATTGGAAGCATTGGTAGATGTTGAAGATTAAAAAGTAAAATGTTACAAGGAAAAAACAATTCCTTTTTTATGTTAAATTTTAAAAATACTTCATTAAACTTCATTTTTTATATCATATAAGTGAATAAATATATTAAAATTGTAAATAAAACCTACAAGAGAAAACAATATCCTGAAGTACTGTTTCTCATTTTTTTAACTTAATCTATTATTGTTTTAATTGATAAGCACTTATAACTGATGAAGATGTTCTGAAAATGCTAAATTGAAAATTGTATATATGGCTAATTTCACTCATGGGTATTTGACCACTTAAAAAGCGTCCTTTTTACCAAACTTTTTTCCAAGACTTGCAATTTTTTAAATATTATTCAAAGAAAATGGAAATTGAAAAACTCATTATTCAAGGAAACCGCTAGTTTTCATAGCCAATTTGAAAAACTCAGTTAACATGTCGTTCGATCTAACATGTTTAAGAAATAAATCCAAGTTACTAAAATTATAATTACCGACTCAATGATACGCAGAATTTTCAAAGAAAGTCGTCCATTTATCAATATTTTCTATTTTCTCCTTTATCTCAATATGGTTTTCAAATTTAATAGATTCTCATTCGAGGTTGCATAAAATGAATCAAGACTAAGTTTTACACTTTACGTCGACGGGAATTCCGTGCACGTTGGATTTTTGTGTACCTATTCAACTGATCAACGGAATTTCCAAGAGTTTTTATATTTTATCTTTGTTGTTGAAAAAATTACCAATATACGAGTGATCAATGCTAAGTGAAAATTCTGGACATCCGACAAGTAATTCAAAATATTCTGAATCAATTTTCACATTTCCATATTGCGTGAAAAGTGAAAGATTCTCTCATTTTCCTCTTGGTTAAGTACCCGCGTCTTTTAACGGAAATAGTTTTTAAATCATCGTCATCGTGTTAACGCTAAGTTTTACAATAAAGTTCGATTTTGACGTTGTAATAATATACAAACCGACAGCCGAAATCGAGCCTTCGTCGTACTCGCTTAGTTCTCGGATTCTCAGAAGCGAGAAAAATTTGAAAGTGCCCGACAGCTGCCCCCCTCTACTTCCAGAACGATCATTACAGATCGTGTATATACTAGCGTGGAACAAAAGCCGTCACGGCGCGCTTTGTAGACGTCGCTTCACTTCCAGCCCAGCTCTCGGCCAAGCAACACCACACGACACTTGCGAGTCGCAACTGGTATTTCATTCCTCTTCAGAGTGTGCACGCATAACCGCCTTAATATTTGGCTTTATTGTAATAATTCAGCGTTTTGGTATTAACAAGTTGTCTTGCTCGCAATAAGCAACGCAATTATTTCTAGTTCATCTTGATTACGACTGTTACAACAAAACCCAGTGAAAGTAAGTTTGATTTTCATTACCCGTAATTCGTCCTTTATTTTAACCTCTTCGATTCGATAGCAACTGTTTCGCGCAAATCCAAGACTCAAAAGCTATTTTCTTGTTTTTTTTTGGGGGATGCTGAAAATGATACTCGTTAACATATTAATCAATGACTCATTAAAACATACAAGTAGATTATTTCCCGCTTGATATTTCAACAAAATGAGGTCGTGCAACTGTTTTGTGTAAATCTTACTTAACTAAACAAAGAGTAACATGAAAATTTCGTGGCTTCATTAAAAATAAACTCATTAAAATTCAGCTGGTTTATTGAATTTTACAGTCTATGTATTAGTACAGTGTATCACTGTAACTTAGAATCTAATAGTATGCTTCTTGTATACATTTGAAAGTACTTGACCAATAATATTTTGATTGTGCCCTCTGTATACACTTGGTCAAAATATATTCTCATGAAACAACAATCTTACCATTTCTAACGATACACTATACTTGGTTATATTCAAAATCTATAAAGACTGTTGATCAACAAACATTTTCAATAACTATCAGTTTCTCATCTAATTACAACTACAATAACTCATACTGTTTCTAATCTAATTACAGATGCCAAATATCAAATTGCAAAGTTCTGATGGAGAGGTGTTCGAGGTGGATGTGGCGATAGCTAAATGCTCAATTACCATCAAAACTATGCTCGAAGATCTAGGCATGGATGAAGATGAAGAGGAAGTTGTTCCTCTACCCAATGTCAATTCAGCTATTTTAAGAAAAGTTATTCAGTGGGCCACGTACCACAAAGATGACCCTCCAGTACCAGAGGAGGATGAAACCAAAGAAAAAAGGACCGATGATATTACTTCGTGGGATGCTGATTTTTTGAAGGTAATTGAGCTAAATTATTGTTTAATACTCTTCGTGTCGCAACACACAATCTTTTTCTATGTAACATGCTGAAAAGTTAAAAATTTTAAATCAAACTTTGAACTAAGACTTGCATTTGAATACTTGATTTTTCAAAAATTAGCTACTATAAATAAAACATCCTAAGCTCGGAATCTAATTATTATGTTCAAAAACTATGCTTTTTTTTGAGATCTTGACAATATTCTCATAAATTTTTATTTTATTTTACAGGTTGACCAAGGAACTTTGTTCGAGCTTATCTTAGCTGCTAATTATTTAGATATTAAAGGCTTGTTAGATGTCACATGTAAAACAGTAGCCAACATGATCAAAGGAAAAACTCCTGAAGAAATAAGAAAAACTTTTAATATCAAGAACGATTTTACTGCTTCTGAAGAGGAGCAAGTACGTAAAGAAAACGAGTGGTGTGAAGAAAAGTAAATTACTCAAAATCTTCTTAATATCAAAATAAATATTTCAATACATTTAATTTTTTTTCTTATAAGTAATAAACACTAATTATCGGTAGCTAAAAGTATAACTTAAAAACGACAAATCTAATTTTACTTAGAGTGACCAGGTTGCTACTTCGCTATTAAGCGTGAGCGTAATGCTGATAGTTAATATCATTTTTAAAGTATAACTAAAAAATCTTTATTTTATTTGAACGTTACTATTAATAAAATTCAAAATTTTGTCGTGATATGTAAATTAGTCTCCTCGTTTACATTTTACAAATTAGCATGATTGTATTAATAGTGCAGTTACTAGTATCATTAAAAATTCATTTTCTCTGTTTAAACACTGTTAAATTGTATTAATCTAATGCATTATTATTAAAAAATAAAAACATTAGAGAGATGAAATTATTTTTGTACTTATTAACCCCAAACAAACATGTATTTTCAATTTTGTAAAAAAAACTTACTTTATTCTGGATCATCAGAATTCTATTTATCGTTAAAATATATGATGCAGCTATATCTTGATTGATTTTTGGAGAAAATTGATAGGTATCATTAATGAAATAAAACTTAACTTGTAAGTCATCAGCACTTAGTTTTAAAATTATTTTATTTACAGAAGTAACTTATGTGTAAAATTTAAATTGATCACAATTCATTACAAGTTAAACTTAAGCTAAAGTAATCAAACCTTGGCAATATAATTGTTTTCTCATTTACATAATGATCGTTTACTATTGCTCCTCACTTTGAAACTTGAATCAATAATTGTTTTTACTCAAACTAGTCTGGATGAGCAAAATTTGAACTCCCATAAAAAATATATTATCAAAAATACTTTAACACAACTTACTACAACGTGAGCTTTTCGCTACTTGCTACTTGCTCTCCATTTGCTGGAAAAAACATGGGTATCCTTGTCAAAATATGTGCTATATTGGCAGATAGAAACAAACGTCGTTGTTTCTTCAATTGAAAACCTTATACTATCTGTACAATGTGATATTTGATCAGTCGATTGTTACACTCGAATGCAACATTAACTCACTCGTAATGCACAATATTAAGTGAATTATTTGATATCTGTACATCGTTAACAATTATTGAATGACTTCATTAACAATCAATGATAAAACGTTAACATAAGAATTATATCTCACGCACTTGATTGCGGATATTATTGCATTCGTTTTGATTCTTATTGGCAATCGAAGTCACTTTCGAAAGTCGATCACAGTTTGAATTGCATCGCGTTGAAAAGTTTAAACTAATATGCGATATTTTCAATCCATTTGGTTAAATCTATGCGTTCTATGGCGTCGAAGTTTTGGCAAGATTGCAGTTCGTTTCTACAAAAGAGGAGAGAAATTTTCATCAAACATTTTCATCTCTATTTAACATTTAGATAGTGTATTAAAAATTTAACTTACCCCACTTGCGGCTTGAGAAAGACGTTGGACTGCATTTTGGCGATATTGTCCCCGTTGTCGCAGAATATTCTGGCTAGAGTGGCTTTCTTCAGTTCAGCCATTTGATCTGCAAAGATTTCAAACGATTAAAATAATCACTCGATCACAGACACATAGTTATAATAAAAAATTCCCACTCACTGGTCGTGAACGGCTTGGGCTGCCTAGTGGAATCGTAGAAAAATCGATCGGCTCTTCTGGTCCTCAAGAATTGCGCTGCTATGAGACACCTAAAAGTCGGACCGATCGCCGCGTCCTCGATCGATCTCTCGGCCAAGCCTCCGACCAGCAGATCCACATCTCCGGGTGTCTTGTAGAGTTTTCGCAGCAACTTGACGCTCTCCCCGGGCACGTGATCCAAGAAATCGTCGAAGCTCTTGGCCTGACGCAGACCGCACAGGTGTCGATAGTCGTTGTAATCGGCCAATCCGTGATCTCGTCCGCGCTGAATGTCGAAGCTCAGCCGATCCAGGCCCGCCGCCGACTCGTTGGTCTTGTACAGCCGGCTCCCCAAGTCAGCCGCCAGGGTAAAATCGAGCTTTCGCGAGCTCTGCCGGGCGAATCCGCGCACCAGTCCGTCCAACGTCTCCCCGGCCTCGAGTAATCTCGGCTCGTAGAAACTCGCTGCGAGCTCGAGACTTTCGTTGGATTTGTGCGCGTCGTAATCGTCCTCGGACACCAGACTCAAGCTGGCCTGCCTCAGGGAGTGGGCGAAAGTCAGCGCGGAGGTGGCCACCTCGTTGTAGACCCCCGGCTCGCTGTTCACGTTGTACAAGCCGTCGTCGTCCGACCGATTCCGAGGCGAGCGATCGGCGATCGTACGGGCGTAGCGTTTACCGATCAGCAGCGGCAGCCACTCGTGGTAGGTGACGTGCTGTATCTCCGCGACGACGATTCGCCTCGCCTCCTGGAAGATCGTCTCGTCGGACCAGTGGGGATTCAGCTTGGCCAGGGCACGGGCCAGTCGATTGTGCTCGCGCAGCCACAGCGTCTGCATCGCCGCGGCTTGGACGTCGCCGTTGATCCGCTGGTCACCCGATACGTAGGAATCGTCGTCGTGAGGCAGGTAGTCGCGATCGTTCTTTCTGGCGACTCGCAGCTGGCCCCCCTGGAAAGAGCGAATCTTGTGCGAGTCGGCCTGGCTCGAGCCGTAGACGTTCGAGGCGTCGAGAAAGTGGCTGGCTTGATTCATCTGCTCGGCCGGTCCCAGGCTGCAGTCGGATCTCAGCGCAGTCATGGATCGCGCGTAATCGAGACATCGGATTCGGTGCCGGGAGTAATCCGCGTCGTCGTCGGGCACGCGGATGGCTTGGCAGTCAGGGTGCACGTAACGCGGCGCCGGCCAGCTGCCGTCCGGCTCGCAGCATCTTATCGGCGCCTTGGTCCAAACTATGCGGTACGATAAAGTAACGATTTATAATAATCAACCGATTTTTTTTTTTTTTTTTCGATCGAATCACATACCCATCTTTCTCGTCGGCGTGAAGGACAGATCGTGGCTGACGAAGCGGGACCACTGCATGAAGGCCAGCGTCTTGTCCCCCTCCTGTCGGTCCGTACGACGACTGCTCAGGGTGGCGCTGACCAGTCGCGGATTCGGCAGCGCGTGAACTCCGAACTCTTTTTTGGGACTTTGAATGCCTGTCGTTGTACAATACAAAAATACTATATTATCGTCGAGGAAAAGTAAACAATCGCTATATGCGTACGTAAACATCGATTTTCTTCGCGAGTACATCAAGCTCGCCTACGTATATATTTGTAAGTACCCCAATACTAAAATCTAAGTTGGCTAAACGTTTTCCGAACGATTATGAGAATGAGATGTATTTTCGAATGAGCTACTTCTCGAATGGTTGTCACGAATTTGTATATTTAAATTAGTGAATCGTTAGTAATGTGATGTACCGAAAATGAGCCCCTCTAATCGTAAATCATAGAAATCTCAACAATTTTCTTTTCAACTTAATCTTTCACTAAAACACTAACACAGCGATAACGAATTAATGGTAATTTTCAAACAAGCACCTCCAATTTCGCCTCTCACATTCACTTAGATACAAACAAAGATATAAACAATAATTAATATATGAATATCCGAATGATTTACATACACATGCGCTATTTCCTGGACAGAGTCGGTCGCAGACTTTTTTTTTTTATAAATAATTGCGTTCGCTGCTACCGATGATTATACACTATAAATCACGTATCAATTATCCTCATTACGCCGTGCTCAATTACGCTCAAAATAACTGTAATACAAATCGTTATAATATAGCATATTTAATAGAATTAGTTGTTTCTTATTTTTTGTTTTGTTTTTGAATTGATTAATAAAATATTATCGATGATTGCTTTTACAAAAATCTCATAAGATTTTCAATCTCGAATAATTGGCTGCTGTCGGTACTTTCGAGAGTACGACTTCGATAATCACTCGCATCTCGTTGATGAAATAAAATTAGTTCATTAGTTCACCCCATGTATCGTTATAATTTAAAAAAAAAAATTAGCCATGTTTTCAGACCTCGAAGCAGTAATTGTCCCAAAAAAAAAACGAGAGATCTTACCGTCCGTATACTCAGGCAGCAGAATCCTGTCGTAAGCGGTAAAGGCGCTACCCCACTGGGGATTTTCCAGATTGTTGCAGCTGCCGTCGACGCTTCGGTACTTGGCCGAGGGATCGCAGAGAATGTGCTGCTGGCTGCCGGAGCACGGCCGATCCAGCCTCAGGGTGGAAACGTAGCGCGAGCACTCGGCGGCGCTCAGGCCGAACCTGAATCGCATATACATAGAGTTAATTTCGTTGTTGTATGGTCAAGACGGTAACGCTAAATTAATATAAAAAAAATCATCCAATAATAACCTCAGACAGTGGACCTGAGTGAGCTGCATCGACGCGCCGATCGCCACTAGCGAGTCGTAATTCTTGTCCAGAGCCTGGTCGTTGGTCGGCCGATCGTGCGCGTACTGGCCGTAGGCGGGCGTGCCGGGCCGCGGTGCAATTTCCGCGTTAACCAGATTACTCTCCAGCCTCCTCTGCAGCGACAGCCTAAATTTGGAAAAATCGATCGAGTCGTTGAGGCCCTGGTTCATCGATTTCAGTACGCGTTTTTTGGCGTGAGCGAAGGTGCTGACGCTCGAAGGTGATTCGTCGCCTGTAGCGGGTCTCAACTGCAGCGATCCTCCTGTCGTCGTCGGGTTATTTTAGAATAATTTCGTTTGAGACATTCGAGTGAATTATCGAGAGATGATTTACCATCGTGGAAGTAATTGTGCGAGCGATGGGGCAGTTCGAAGGCTCGATTATTGTTCTGGGATTGTCCGAATAGTTGGCCGGTTTGGAAAAATACCCATAGAATGGCTATGGTCGCTATGGAGCCCGCCATGCCTCCTCTAACTGAAATGCAACGTTCGTTTATTTAGCCTTGATCGCTTACGATATTTTCCAAAGTAATGTGCTCAATGGTAAGATTTGTATTTACATCAATGATTTTTAAATAATTTCATAATAAATCATATCTAATTAATTTAAAACAAAAAGTAGTAAGAATGAATTTTAAATTTAAATGTGGTATTTTCATTTTAAATTAGATATAACGCACATCATCTGTTTGTTCTATAAACATTCAAAAATTAGCCTTTATTCGTCATAAAACTATCAGTCAACATCGATTTCGAATTAATCAGCGTTACATTATTTTAATATAAATATATCTATATGGGCCGCACTGCGCGCCGCGCATCGCCGCAGTGAGTCCAACGAATGTATTCTGGAAATTTCCAGAGCGTAGGCGTACCAATGTGAGTTTGCCACCGCCCCAGTAGCCTGGCAAGAATCATATTCGTTACAACGAGTGATAGTATAGGGTCATTTACCAAAATAAAAATCCGCGGACTTGCTCGATCCTTTGAACATTTTTTTCGTTCTCGTTACAGTTTTGCAGCAGTGTCACTTTTGATAATGTATTGGGATGTAATAATAATATACTGTTTTACCGGCAGTCTTGTTTACATGCTATAAACACTCGCGAAATAAAAACATATCCACTTCGTATCAATAAAGATATTTTACACCGTGAACTCCGTTTAGCTAAGGCAGTGTTTATCATAGTTCGGTCTTGAAGCACTTCACTCCATTACGTATACCGACTTCTAATTATTCATATTTTTGTAAATAAATAGAGTCATCGGTGCCGCTCCAATTAGTCAATGTCAACGATACCGACAACAATCGCGTGGACGGCGTTCTCCATCAAAGATTATTATATATTTCAGGCGATGCAAGTGTCAAAGAGAATCTTCTTCGCGATTAAATAATGTGTTCTATCTACACGCGTGACAGCTGCAGCGGAGGTGGGAACGAGCGACTGCGCGACTGCGACGTTCGAGATTCTTCAGCGAACCAAAACAATACTGAAATACATACGGCACAGAGGCCCCTCCACTGTACACTCTTGCCGTATCGCGCCGTCCTTTTCTCGCGCGTATACGTCGAAGCGCACGGCACAATACACGAAATACGAGCGAAAAATAATCACTCGTTCGACACGTGCTCGTTTAGCCGGTTTTATTGATGTTTTTACGCGTGTTTTGATGCGCTCGCTCGTTGCTGCTGCTGCTTTTCGATATAAATTTTTATCTAATTGTTGTTTAAAAGTGCACCGAGGTTGCAGTGAAAAATTTCCAGATTTTATATTACTTTGTGTTGTATACGCTGCGTGCTTTGTAACGAGAAAAAAATTTTCAAATACATCTAACTCTTTCAAATACTTAAAAGTCAGCTTTCAATTTGATACATTTAAATTCTATGCGTGCTATTTCCTATTCTTTTTACAAAATTATAAATAAAAATATGTCTATCTGACGAAAATTGTTGTACAATTTAAATCATATCAGTTCGTCATACTGCACGGATTACCTCAAAAGTTTAAAATAATTAAACTCGTAACTCGTCTGTAAAATAATTGTATTCACTTACATGAAATGGTTCAATCACCGCAGAAAATGTATTTTTAAACACTGAATTTACGAAAAAAAATGTACCGAAATAAATCTTTATCACGTGCTCGTAACAATACGTCACGTTGCAATGAATGAAAAATTACCTCGATTGTTTATTCTTGACTCAACCGAAGGCTCACACTTTTAAAACTTCAAATTTGTTCAAATCACTATTGAATATTGTCGAAAAGTGTAGCAGCGAATCTTGAGTCGAAGTTTAATATATATAAGATTTTTTCCTCGGCCGACCGAGAATCAGGCGGAACGAGAAGCCTTAAATTCCCCGGAGCAACTGACCTTTCGATCGACTCACTGATGCTTATATCAGCTATGAAGTGATACACAATCTTTTATCGGCTCCTATTTCCGTTGGTTTTCATTTCTCGTGCCTCCGCGTCGAATCTCTCGCCTGCGAACTCGAGAGAGAGAACTCGGATGTGTGTAAGTATGTATTTGCCAGTGAGCGATGTGCGTTACTCATCTGTTATTTTTTGAAAATTATTTGTTCTTGAATTTATAAATCATCGGCCGTTTGATTAGAGCTCGGCAGGCAAAGTCAATATGTAAAAACCCCCTGTGAATAATGAAGCGTAATTTTTTGGAGCAACTATTTTGGGGAAAAATCGGTTTGTTAAGATTTCGTATATGAAATGGGGAAAAAATTTCTTTCAATCGTGCCTGATACAAAAAAACAACAGTCTATCGAAAACAATCGATCGTTATAAATTCTTCTGTTCCTGGTATTAATTATTCCACATTGTAAAAACCTTGATTTTATTTCTGCAAGACCATGAATTATTCTTATCGTTTTTCTCGGATCTTCTTTTAAAATGTCTCGAGCGCGCGATTATCGTTTAATTTTTCGTTAGAAATAGAACGGAAATCAATTCAGTACGCAAAAGAGTAGTAGTTTTTTTTTGAGTAAAAAAGTAATATATATTTTATACTGTTTTTCATCAGTTAACAGAGAACTTAAGCGATATTATAAATTTTATAAACTTATAAAATACGAATTAACAAACTAGAGATTCGCACATCATCAACAACAACAACAACGACACAAACTCTTCTTTTTTTTTAAATATATAAAATCTATATAAATGCTCATATGTACAAACAAGAACTTTCGCGACTATAAATATCGATCATTATTTACAGCTGAGAAAACTCATTAAAATTAATAAAAAGTATCTAATACACGATAATTTGTTTAAATTCGAAATACAATTATTTGTCCTAGGATGAAATTTAATAACACAATCGACTAACAAGTAAATCTTTGAAAACTTAACGATAAAATAAAGCTATGTAGATTAATATCATTCGTTTATACACATACATGCCGAAACGTCATCGGCAAATTTCTTTGATAAACCTATTATTTATTAATTATTATGTATTTGTTCATGACGACGTTCTCTTTTTGGGCAGAACCAGTACCAGAGCTGCGCAAGCTGTAAAAAGAAGAAGAAAGATAAAAATTGGGAAAAAGTTTTGTTTTTTCGTTTCAATGAAATATATAATAATTACCAAAGCACACGGCGCCGATCATCATGAACGGTCCGAGGCAGTCCAAACTGAGCAGCACCGGAAAGAGGACGTTACCGACGACCGCGCCCAAGCGACCGATGACCATCGTCACGCTGAGTGCCATCGTTCTGCAAAACAAAATGAAGAAAAGAAATTAATAAATAATCAATAAATCATCGATCATTCTATTTGGAAAGCGAGATGATTTACCTGAGAGACGTGGGGAACATGTCCACGACGACGTTGTTGACTATCGTGCCGCCTATGCTCGTCAGAGCGACGAATACCGACGATATGCCGAGGATGCTCCTGGAGTCCTCGCCCCAGTACAACGCGAAGCAGCAGGTCGCGGCTCCGAGGAAGCAGATAACTGCGAGACAAAATTTTTCGAATAGTTACAAAAAACTTTTATGGAATGTGTAAAAAAAAGATTAACTTACTCATGAGTATCCTTTTGCTGACGTAATTGACGAGAGTTTTGGCCACCATGTAACCGATAACGGAAGCCACCGAGATGACGATCGAGTTTATGTAAACGGTAGCGTCGACGGTAGCCTGCGAAGATAACGAAAAAAAATTTTTTTCTCATGTAGATAAAAGTCAAAGAGCGTGCAATTTCGAAGCACTTTTTCGAGAGAACCGATCTATAATTATCGCAATTTCTCGTATACAGGGAAAAACTAGAGCAAAGCCGATAATTATCTTTTATTGACATTTTCATCGCTATATTACGCGGGGCAAGGATTTTATCGGAACGCAAACGTTGTATTTATTATACGCGCGTGTGTATGTGCATTATCGTCGGACTTACGTCAGAGCAGCCGCCGGTGACCGTAGGCTCGGGTGGCGGCACCTCGCTGATCTTGGCGCACATCGTCTTGGACGGACCCCCGGCGTGCTTCGAGTCGTACACCGACAGCATGGCAAACAGCATCGGCATCCACAGCTTCAGCGTGTTGGATCTGAAGAACAAAAGAAACGATGATGCATTTTTTTCATCGAAATTTTATCGATATAATAATTGTATAGAATAATTACCCGATGGTGGCGCCGAACTGGATGAAGGCGGTGAGCACGAGGGTGACGACGTTGGGCGGCAGAAAGATCGGCTGTATCTGCTTCAAGCTGCCGACGACGGTCTGCTTGAACGTGACGCTCGTTATCTTCACCGTCTCCTCCTCCTCGAGGCACTTGACCGGATAAGTGTCGGGATCCTTGCCGGTGTTGAGCGAGTAGATCTTCTTGAAGACCTGCAGGGCGTCGTCGTGCCTGTGCTTGGCCATCAGAAATCTCGGACTCTCGGGGAAGAAGCAGAGCGCGACGCTGGCCACGAGGCCCGGCAGCGAGCACAGGCCCAGGAAGAGCCGCCACGAGGTCACGGGCAGATATTCACCCAGCGTCCATTTGTGCGGTATGATGAGCCATGCCAGACCTGAGCGCACACAGCAAAACAAAACAAAAAATGAATAAAATCGACGACGTTGATATTTAATTTTAATAAATTTTTTAATCGTGCTTACACGAGAGGGTGATATTTCCAAGGGCGAAGCCGACGCCCATCCACATGTAGACCTGGGCACGAAGTTGCTCGCCGTGAACCTCGGCCAGGTAGGACTGCAGCGCCGCGTACGGCCCGGATATGCTGCAAAATAGTATAGACGGAAATTTTAATTTACACGTCTCGTCCAGAAAATTATAATCGAAACACTTACATTATGCCGTCGACCAATTTGAAGACTATGAGCTGCCACGAGGCCTGACTGAAGCAGCTGCCCAGATTGCAGACGGCCGTGCAGAGGAAGCCGAACACCATGATCTTGCGCCGACCGTAGGCGTCCACGATGAAGCCCCACGCGAAGGACGTTATGATCATTCCTTCGAGCAAAAAAAAAAAAAGTATTAAATCAATAAACCAGATTTATTTTTTTTTCTTCTTATTAACGTAATAAAATCTGCATATCGATATCGTCGTGCATAACAATGACAGTGTCGTCCGGAGTTAGACGCGTGATTGTGGCATACACGCTGCTGCTTGTCTATAAATTATGCGCGTTGATGTAATTACACATGCAAGAATTTTGCGAGCCTCCGGGGCCGTCTCTCCTCTGCTTATTCTCCTTATCAATGAAATGCCGAAACGACTGACGTACATTTTTACTCAATAAAATCGAGCTATTCAAATTATTTCGGCTTAATCCGATAATATTTCATTCAATGTTTATATATGTATTATTTATCTCTCTCTCGTCACGGAGCTAGCTTGTCTGGTCGCGCGCGCGCGCGGAAGACAGGTAGGCACATTTCGCGCCGCGACAAAATGACGCGGGGCCGTTTTTTTTTTAACTACGAAAAAATGGGTATACCCCTTGATCGGATGAAAAATGCAATTCATCTTCGAAAAGGTGACAACTATTTATGTATACCTGGTTGATTGGCGGCGTGGGGGCGCCGTTCGTGTTTATAAATTATTATAAATGCGTTGCACAATAGTTATTATACGGTCGCCGCCGCCGCCTCGGAATCTCTCGTAACGTTTCAAAAGTTTTCCCTCTTTTTTTTCTCTCTCCCTCTCTTTCTCTATTTTTTTATCGCAAAATCTCTATTACCGAACTTCGGGAGAGAAATAACCGTTCGTAAATTTCGACCGATGATTAATTGCGCGGATCGTTGATAATTCTGCACTTTCGATATCGATTTACAACAAAGACCATTTATGTAATTGCTGCTTTTTCTTGGGTTTTAGAAGAAATATGCAACGACAAAAGTGTCACATTACGACTCCCGTGACGAATACATATATCTCGTTAGGATGACATACGGTCGCGAGCGGTAAATAACGGCTCTCTTGCGTAATTTTTTTTCTAAAACTTTATTAACCGGAAATGAGTTTTTTTTTGTTTGTGTACGCACGAAGCTAAAAAATTTTTTGTATTTACCTGCAAAAGACATGGAGTTGAGCAGTCCCTTGTCCACCATCGTCAGCTCCAGATCGCACTCCGCCGACGGCAGTATGTAGGACATGGACGTGGACGCGTAGACGTTCGCCCAGCACACCGGCAACATTGCCAGCAGCAGTAAGTGATTGAATTTTCCATTTCCTATAGAGAAACAGCAGCGAGGCGAATGAAATTTTAGATTGTCAAAATTCATACGGGCTATTTGTAATCATGTATCGACACGAATGTGTTACTTGGGTATATGTAAACATACATTTGTATTTTGTAGATAATAAATATTAAATGAGTTCATTGGTTGTGCAACTGCGATTAATTATTTATACGCGAGAAAAGTGCAAAAAATGTTTGCTTCGAATCAAAGGTTTTATCTCGATTACAATCAAATATTATTCAACGATTGCGCAATTTTCTTTTCTCGGCATCTCTTAATGGCAGTTCAGGACCAACGATGAGAACGAGTATAGTGTTAGACAAAAGTGTGTTAGAGAGAATGTTATTTGTTGTATATAAAAAAAATCGTGACAAAAATTTTGTATTAGTACATACTTTACCATGACTGTCAGAATCAAATCGTTAAACTGTTGCGGAAAACTCAACATATGCACGAGGCAGCCCTGATTTGAATAATCAATGACCCACATAATGCTTATCCTATTAAAATATGTAATTTTGTTGAGAATAATGACGCCCACGACATTAATTTTATTAATTGAATTTTTTTGTTTTTGTAAGGGTCGACCAGCATACAACATTTCACTGTTATTATATCGAATTGTACACGTGGGATGGGCGGGGGTATGAATGGGAAAAAAAAGAAAAGATTTCTGAATCACGGAGAGGCTGTCGGAATTTGTTAAAAAAAAGGTTGAAACCAAGTCACGCGTGCCAAAGAGAAACAAAACGTTGCGATTGTTTTCGTATATTTTGGAAAAGTGTAATTGCTCGTAAGATCAAGAGCTTTGAGCATCAGACAATCGCGATTATACTTTATGCAAATTTTGGGTTTAAAAAACAAATCCAAGATTGAACAATGAAAGACACGCAAACATTCGTTACATTACATAGAAATAAATCAATGCTAGATACATTCGTGAATGGATTTTTCACTTGGCAAAACATTGATAACAGTGTCAATACTAACGCAAGGTGCAATAAAACAATTACTTATACCGGATCCCGACTTCCTCTCGGATTTATGGTATTACAATAGTGTCAAAGTACGAAGAAATGTGTGAAAAAAATTTGGGCAAAAAATTTATGTGATAATATTTTAATAGTAACCAACATTTTTTTCACACATGTTACAAATTTTTTTTGTATGGGATTGCTTACATTTCCTCAATGCAGAATTTTCACATTTTCGCATTCTTCAAAGAAATGCATAAACAAGCGTAAAATTCGAAATATTCAAATGCGTGTTTTGTACTCATTATTTAATTTACTTTTTAAGGGTTGAAAATCTGTGAAAATATATTAAAATGTTGTTACATCCCCCATACTTTTACATTTTCAATGCCCTGCTCAGGAATTTAAATTTTCCAAGGAGAGCATAATTTTTTCAACTCCAGAATTTTACCTGCTCGACTCGGACCACGAAGTGCTGACTCCAACAAAATCGGCAGTAGGTCGTCTTTCGATATGACAAATGTAAAAACTTTAATTAATCACAAAAAACGCTTTTGAATACGTCTCGAATTTTTTGAGCACTGGCTTATGGCACTCTCTCGTACATGACAGTGTGAAAAATTTTTCCGATATTTATACTGCGAATTAAAAAAACATCGAGAAAACAAACTCAAGGAGTTTAAAAACTCATTATATATACTTGTCAAATTATTGGACCAGTTGCTTAAATTTGAATCGAATCGACGATGCTTAGCTTCCGAAACTTAAGCATTACACATGGTATATAAGTACAATATAATCGACGGCGACAAAAAACGTTCTTATCGATAAACTGTCTGTTTTCGCAGTTATTTTCATAAAAAACTTATATAATTGTTTTTTTAAGGGTAAATTTTATGTTACGACGATGCACAAAAAATCAAGTATTAATAACGTTACTCGTTAGCGATATCAAAAAAAGTCTTTGGAATAAAAGATTCTCGTTTTTAATGGTTAGATTGGGTTATAATTATTACACGCATACACACGCACTCACACTCACACACACACGCAATCGATTAAAAGAGAAGAAAGTAGCGTATCGGAAAGAAAGAAGCATAAAGAGAGAGAGATAACGGAAATATATATTGCAAAATTAGTCATAGAGAGAATTAATCATGCAACAGAGTCGAGAGAATTATACGTACGTAATAATATTTATAAATGAGTAGAATAAAAATGTGCGTTTACCTGTGAGTTCTATGGCTCGCTCGAAATCCACGGGGCCCTCGTCGACTGGCTCAGGCTTACTGTTAGCTGCAATGCACACACACACAAAAAAATCAAGTTGGCAGATTTTCGTACATTATTTTTTGCATCGCACGCGTGTGCGACGATGCTTTATATGGCTAATTTGTGCGACGCGCGCGCGGACCGACACGTGCCTCGTAATTCAACGGATTTTATACACTGGAACGTGTCAAAAAAAAAAAGGAAAAAATGGAAGAAAAAAAAGAATGCGAGTGTAAAAATTGACGCGTGCGCTACTGTGGTACTGCGGTCGATCGGCATTTAATACACATATATAATACTAGTTTTGCCTTATCGCGCTGCGCGGCTCGCGCTCCACTGAAATTCGTACGTATGCTATATATTATGCTCAATGTGTACTACTCACCTTCATGTTTCACCGGTGACTTCATCACATCACACGCAGCCGCGACGATTTTCTCAATTTCTCTCTCGCTCGTATGCGTGTGTGTGTGTGTTGGACAAAAACTGGCGGCGGTTCGACTGGCTTCAACCCCCTATGTATGCAGAGATGCTTTCGGGAAAAGATCGGCAAATGAATCGGGAGACCTTTTCCTCCGTTGGATTTGGTACAACGACACTCAACTACTCCGAAAACACTACTGATACTGCAACACTACTCTCAATTGCCGATCGATCGATGCAATGCACGAATCACAAAAAAAAAAATGAGAAAGAAATTCACTCGCGTGTTGTCGCGCACTCACGCACCGCAATCTCCGATTGTTAAGACAGATAGGGTGGGGGCTGATGCTGCTATACTGCTACTACTGCTGTATTTTATATATTGTTATTACTCAGAGAGAAACATGCAAAAAAAGTAGTCGTAGCTAGAGAAAAGTTTCGTCACATTTATATCATCGATTTTCTGGATTTATAACTGTTCGTCGTCGTCGGCGGTGGCTGTACTTTTTTTTGTTACTGTATGCACTGCTGCTTCGATACCGGTCTACACAATCGCTTCGTGGCTCGTCGTCGTCGTGCTCGGAATTGTTGTGATTCCGGTGATCGAATGAGTGGATCTTTGGGAGATCGCGCCGTTTTAAAGGCGTCGCGTCGCGTCGCGCGCGCGGCCGTTGATAGCAAATAATAATTGGGAGCGCGCTTAGTAGCAGCAGCAGCAGCAGTGGCAGCAGCGATACACATACACACACACCTGTGTGCCGCGAGATAAGAGAGTGTCTAGAGAGAGAGAGAGAACAGAGTCGCGCGCGGCTCACCTCTCGTTGGTCGCACTTACACCTCTCTCGATTTCCAAATAAACACACGTACACATAAATAGCGATGCAGCGGATAGATACAACTCTTTTCCATGCCGATCGCGTGGCCCGATCGATGCCATTTCTTTTTTTTTTCTTTTTCATACCCCACCCCCGTTGTATGTACATCGAGAGATCTTCGAGAAGGCTCTCACGGCGCATTTTTGCCCGAGATTATTTTATACCGCGTGTTTACTTTTGTGTGCAGTCGTATGTGTCGACGATAGGCATCGATGTTACAATAAAATTTCTTTTTTTTTCGCCTCGAATAGAAGAATCACGCATCGCGTCGCGCGTTGTATCCATCAAGGTGTGTTTCTCTCGTTACTCATTGATTCCGATATGTAATATTGCCGCTGTGTACATCGCGATTTCGAGTGCCTTCGGAAAATTTTCTTCGACTCGCTCGTAGTACGTATTCGAGTGTGTATAGATCCACGCATAAGAGGCTCCCCGGGAGGCTTTTCGATGTACAATTCCTATTGCGGCTTACGTTTTTTTTTCAAATTTACAAATCAATAAATTTAACAAAAAATAAATAAATAAAAATGGACTTATCTCGGCGGATACGTCGTTTTTTTTTCTCCGCACACCGTATTACTTGCAATATCACTCAAAAATTTATATTATAAATTTATCGGAATGAATTCTCGACAACAATATTCCGTTCGTCTTCTGTAAATATTCGTATTTAAATTATTTTGTAAAAGCGAAATTAGTTGAAAGCCAGAAAAAGGCAGCAGTTATCATGGGTCTCGACGAAAGGAGTCTCTCTGGCGCCTACCTACTCCCGTGTTTCTGCGCGGCGCTCAATATTCATTTGTTCTCATTATAAACCATTTTATAAATTCGTATTTGATGTATACGATTTTGAATAATCCTTTATCTTTTTTTTCTTTCGTCGCCATAAATAAATTAACTCGAATCCCAAGTTTATAGAAAATCGTTCGAATCGTCGCCGCTTGGCTCACGGTCTCGTTCAAATTTGGCGCTCGCGGACCTCTGAGTCAAAAAAAAACGTGTCTCCTCCTGGCCTGACTCACGAACTTTCCAAATATTTCGTTAAAAAAAAATTTATCATCGAAACAATTCGGCACACGCTTCACCGCGCATTCGTTGCAACGCGTGAAATCTCAGCCGCAGCGAGCAAAAAAAAAAAAAAATCTCTCGAGTACAGGTGGCAACGCGGGTACACACAAATTATTTATTCTCGTATACACGCGTCGAATCGGAAGAAAACTGGTCGACAATTTTGGGCTTTGACTCACACGTTCTCGACTTCCTCGAATTTCGCATCCTTTATTATTACTTCAACGCGGCGAATTATAGCGGTTTTCGTCACTTCAAATTCTTCGATTCGGCTGAAAATTATCGCTGCGGAAGTGACTACTAAACTATCGACCAATTGCCTAAAAAAAAAAAAATCTTTAATTGTAATTTTATGCGCAGTGACATCAATGCGTATAATTTGACACGAGCGATACAGGTATGCGTTATTATTATAGCGATCTCTCTCTCTCGAAATGCAACAAACCCGATGATGATGACGCGCTAAATTAATATAGAACGATAAGATAAAATCGAGGTGCAACACCGCAAGCCCAACAGAGAGATGCGAGTGACGATTCCGATATTGTACGTTGAATCTAGCCCAAACAGACGAATGCAGCTACACATACAGACTTTTGTAAAAGCGATATTAATCGCGCGCTTATGTATTTATGATCGTGGATGTTCGATAAAATAAAAATTGAAAAATCTCAGAGCTTATATACATTAATTACGTATCGATGAAAACACATCGACTTTTGATCGAATTATAATACACGCGCGAAACTGCTTAATTTGGTCATTCGCAGTAGGTGCTACGACGCGTTCATCTCTATAAAAAGTCGTGTGTATTATGTGTTTTCAATGAATCGCGAGAGAGTCGCGACAGTTTATATCAGACAAGTGTTTACACGAAGCGCAGAGGCAGAGCCGAGGCTCTCTCTGTGTACTTTTAATATACACGTATAATACGTATACTCTCGCGATGACGATTTACGTTGGTATTCAGAAAACGAGTAAAGCAGCAGAAAAGAGAAAAAAAACACACACACAGAAGGAAAAAAATCGTTAACTACGCGCCGCGCGCCGTATTCTATATAGGAAAATATCATAACCGCGTTCCAGATTTATTGTAATTGTCATCGTGCAGTCAAGGCGTAAAAAAGGTAAGAGCGTCAATTTCATTTTATAAATAATAAACATATATAATGTACGTAAAAAGTGATACGAGACAATAATGATGTATATAGTCACAGGCCGCGCGCGCGACTTATGCAATTAATCCTTGAAACGATTTAATTTAAAACCGCATCTGATATGTGTTTATTTGGATAAACACCCAGGAACGGACTAGTGAAAAAAATGTAGGTGTATAAACACACACGCACGAATGCTTGGCATTTTTCATAGACCCCAAAGATTATATGGATCATATGGACATATCCATTTCGGCGCCGAATCTGCAACTCCTTAACGATCAATCGTGTAAGGAATAGCAACTGTTTATCCGATACCACACCATTGTTACATACACCGAAATCGTGGGTGTAATTACCGATGCACGCGATGCGCAAACATTAGGTAATACCCCGAAAATATTTCGCGATGTTCGAGCAACAAAGAGAAAAAAAAAAATTACCGATGATTCGTCGATGTCGAGTCGAAAATGCGCGTACACGAAGCGAGAGAGTACATGGGAAAACGTCGGGGTTCGTTCAATATTGACAAAGCCATTAATTAATAAATATTAACGTTGATCATGTGCCGCGACCACACGGTCTCGTACTCTCTCTCTCTCTCCGATTGATAAACGATCCAAATTAAATTTACGAATTATATTCTATGCAGTCGATTCGACGATATGAAAAAAATAAATAAATAAAATAATATTCGAGAACAATCGTCGAATTGATTAAATCGGGCCCAGCAGCAGCTGTTGTATATTTATGTAAAAGTCGAAACGAAAAAAATCCAAGTTCCAATGGCATCGCGGGTGTCGCGACGCCACGACGATACTTAGACAGACGATGCACTCGTACACGCGCTACATTTCCGATAAACTTCTAAGCATTTTATAATTAATAATCGTGGTCTTGATCGTACCTTCGGCATTATTATTATATTTTTTTGACATTTTTTTTCAATATCTTCAATGATGGAGTGGACGCTTACTCGCGCGCGTACACGATGACTCGTAGTTCTTATCAACCCCCGCGAATTGCTTTTATTAGATACTTACCTCAATACAAATGCTGACTCGATCGTCGTCGTCGTTATAATATAATACGCGCTCGGGTTTATCTTTCTCGTAATCTGCGGTGGGTATACGTACGTTTTTGTTATTTATTTTTATTATTCTTTTTTCCTTTTTTCATTTTTTTTAATTAAATAAACAAATGATGAAATCAGTGCTGCGCGAGTAGTTATCGCCACCGTTTGAGAAAATAACTACATAGATAATCCGTATATTATAGTTTCGTCAGCTGATTATTCGCTTAATGTATAAAATTGAATAGTACCAAAGTATATCCCGAATATAATATTGCGCGTTTATTTTCAAACGCTTATCGCGAGTAGAGAAAAAATTTTCAAGTTTAGGCTATGCAAATAGTTACCGATATAGTTCAGTAGACTCAACGAGATATTATCGTCGATCGTACATACACTTGTCTCGTATTAATAATCTATCTGATTCGAGTAAAAGGTGGATTTTCCATAACACATTGTACACGATTTAATTGGGAATTATATACACGTTAGCGTATACAAAATAGTCATCATCCAGAAGAAAATAGAAATAAACACATGTTCGAGCGATGCCTTATCGAACGATACGATTCTTTTTTTTTTGTTTTTTTTTTCGTTCATCGTCGTCGAGTTGCTTAACAATCATCCATCGCACATGAATGAATCCGTACTCGTACGCGCCGATTTCAATATTAATAATATAAAGAGCGCGAAACGCGTAATAATGTTGTCGCGCGTGAATCATCGACCTTCCACATCCGATATGTAACTTTTATGAACGATACAAAATGAACAAACTGAAAAAAGTGCAGTTATAATTTTACAGCGATTTATCTGCACACATCATCGTCGTCGTCGTTCGATTGGCAATCGATACACATCGTATATGTATTGCAATTGCCTTATCGATTCAATGTTTTCACATGGAATATCTTCTCTCTCTCTCGACTCCTCTACGTTTCCGTTCCGTATATTATTATGCTTACTTAGCTTGCTTGCTTACTCGAGCGAGATAGGCAAATTTTTGGAAAAAAAAAAGAATCTGCAGGCTATGGAACTTTTTATCGGTCATCGATCGATTGTTCTTCGCCAATGACTTACATTTTATCTCTTTTCGCATTTTAGGGAGATCATCATCATCATCGGCAAATGTTTTCCTATTTACGCACATACAATATATCATCGATATACTTGTAACACGAAGTCATTATCTCAATACGAGAGAGAGAGAAAAAGGTATATATACGTAAAATCGACGGAATACCACGCGCCGCTTATCCGCGCGCTCGATGTTTGTATTGTTAGATTTCCATGTTTACACCTGTATTACGCGCGCCCGACTGTGTGCCTTGCCGCGAATGTGAGAAATAAATATAATAATAATAACAACAACAGTATAAATCGTACCGTTAAAGGAACTACGCAGTTGGGAGCTGATTCACACATATATATGATACACATTGTCAACAAAAGTCGAGGTGGACGCAGCAGCAGCAGCAGCAGTGGCATGTGACAATTAATTTACCCAGAGAGAGAGAGAGACGGATGATTTACTTTTTAATCGCAGCGGTTTATTGCACCCTCGTTATGGCGCAACTTGCAAACGGGGCCAAAATCATTGGAAACGGCAGTATAATATTATAATAACGCAAGACAGAGAGAGAGAGAGATAAAAGCGCATAGGAAATTCAGGATGGGAAAATTGGAGTAATTCCCCTCTGAGACACTTTCTCGGTATGCAGATTTCCCGAGGTTATGCGTTTTCCAGCAATTCCATTATTGTACACAGGATTGCGAACGATATTTATTATCGCTACATTTATATATAATATAGGAAAACAAGGACGAAAACGATAGATCGAATATGTATGTATCTGTTGTTGTTACGCGACGTTAAAGCGCGAATTATTTGGTTTTAATTGGTTTTCCAGCTACGTCGACGAGAGAAAAACGTGTCGCGACCCCATAATAAAAAAACTACATCACCGCTGCATAATTATATTTCTATATATTTCTTCGCGTAATAATTCCGCGCGCTACTCGACGACGACACAATAACATTAGGAGAGCACACGAGGCACACATGAACAAACAATATATCTTTGACATTGAAAAGCGTATGTAAGCGTGTATACAGAATTCGAGTATACGATTTTAAAAGATGATGATTTTTTTTTTCTTTTTTGAAACGCGCTGTCGATTACGAAATCGCGCGCCAACACCACCCGCGCTCGCGAGTCGCATCGGGTTCAAACGTGATTCCGTCAAAACACAAGAAGTCGCGAGAGTATTTAAGCGCGCGATAAAATCAGCCGCTAAACGTTTAAATGCTATTGCCTACCGAATTATCGTTTTGGGCTGTAATTGTATGTACGTGCTCGTATATGCGGATATGGAAACGATTACTCGTTCGTTTCTTTTTTTTCTTCGATTGTTATAATTATGTTTGACGTTTCGTTTCTTATCGGCACCATTATTACATCGAATCTAAGAAAGATTCATCGAGTTGGAATCGTGATTTTTAAAAGTTTTATCAATTTTAAAGAGATGCCGATCCATTTGAACATTCAAATTTCGTCACGATGACGTAAAAATTTGGAGAGCTTGTATGAATTCATACGCATTTTTGATAAAATTACTCATGCACGAATGTAGAGTAATAGTGTTTTTTTTTTTAATGTTTCGTTTAAATATATGCGCGGTCGATCGAGTCCATTATAAACAAATAAATTTTCACGAGTGGCGATTTTTGTAGTCCGATCTAAAAATACGCCTATGAATTATATTTCATTGAGTACCGGCCATGCGTCCGAGAAAAAAAATCAATCAAGTGACTCATATATCGAACGCGGAGACGGACAAAAATGTTTGAATACCGCAAATATGCATCGATCCATCGGCCGCATTCTAACCTCGTACATTCACATTACTGCTTCTCGGATCGCGAGATGTTGTTGTTGTTGTTATTATTATTACTGTGAGCATCTTCAAAGTGCCCCAGACTGTACACCATAACAAATAAATGCATACAGTTGGTATATATGCACATAACGTTCGTGCAGTTTATATACGTTGCATCGAGTCCTCTCTCGTGAAAGTTTCGAGTCATCTACATATATACGATCGTCGTACACGCGAATGTGAGAAATTTTCATTTCGATTCTCTCTCGCGCATAATTGCTCGTTTAATCATCATCGTATACCGCGTGTATACATTTTATTGTAATTTCTTTGCCCGATAAAACAATTGGGTCTCGCGAGCAGTAGCAGCGCAATTTATACTTATATTAGCGCCGAACCGCGAGAAATATTTGTACACACGAAAATATGCGCGAGAGCTGGTCTCTTCTTCTTCGCTCGAGTAAGATACGGCCTCGCGCATAATATAATTTCACCTGCTGCCCCGCCGCCACGGGCAATGCTGCATGCGTCGACACAGTCTGAACTCCGAGTTGTCAGTTTATTCTTTACATAAAGCGCTTACTACTGCTACTGCTACTACCAAGCCAATTAGTAATTCGGATTAATACGTTGTGTAGACAAAAAAAAAAAATTGAAACGCGTGTGTGCCTCGCGATATAATATACGCACGCCACACAACGGAGTCATTGTCGCATCCGCGCGAAAAACGAGAGCTCGTGCGAGTAATATCATAGTGTAGTATATAGTAGTAGTATTCGACGACAACGTCAATGTGCCTTGGGGATCAGCTGCGTCATTTTTAGTGCGTGGTGAACTCATCCTGCTGTGTGTGTGTGTGCATGCCAAGCTAGCAACGGTCGTCTCAGCTCTGCTGCGACTGCTTCGTACGCAGTCATCGTTGGAGAAAACAGCAGCAGCGAGAATATACGCGTGTGTCCGTGCCAGGCAAACGTCAAAATGGAGTCGACTCGCCAGCGTTTGAACAATGTCAGTGTGCAGCAGCAGTGATAAGGTGATCTCCGAGTGATCTTCGTCCCATTATACGTACGCGACTGTCTTTCGTGAATAATTTTGCCAATTATGAGATCGTAATCGAGGTCTCTAACGCGAGTGTCGTCGAGCAGTGTGTCAAAGTTAATAACGAATTTTGGTCCGCGGTGTCATGCGTGCAGCGAGATTCGTAGCTTGCTGCAGTTGAGAGCAGAGTCGCAAGCATGAACATCGTCGACGACACCGACGGCCCGTTGGACCCTCGGATTCAGGTAAAAATCCAGTAGCAGCAGCTCTATTTTATACATTGCTCCCACACACACACACGCACACGTTGACACGCCTACTCGCCTCGGCGATATACGAGCTATTTTTATCTTTGTCTCTCCTAAGCATTGACATAATTAGTGATAAGAGGAGGTATGACCTTTTTTTCTGTCAGGTACGAAAGTGGAGGTGGGAGTAATAGACAGTTATAGAGGATGTCAAAAGTTTCTTTGGCTTTATTTACATATTCGCTTGATTATCGATAGAGACATGCGTTGATATTTTGTTCAACAACAAACTGATATACTGTACATCAGTTTTGACAGTTCTGCAATTTTGACCAACAGTTCTATCTCAATTCAGATTCTTTTTTGCTAATGCGCATGATTATATTTTCAGATCGAATTGGAAAAACTGAACAATGCAACGGATGACATAAATAAACTTGAGATTGAGCTCGATGTAAGAAATGTTATTTTTTCAATAATTTCATGTAATTTTTACTGAAATTGGTTATTTATTTGATGCATTTATTGAAATTCAGGAAGCTACTACTGCCTACAATCGACTACTTTTTGAAAATAATAACCGCTTGAAAGAATGTATAAACAAATTGGGAAGCAGTGTCATTGATAAAGCAAGGATTTATCATGACGTACAAAAAATTGCCAATGAAGCCAATGTGAGAATGTCACTTCAATCAAACGATTTTTACCTTTCCAATTGATGTGAAATTAATCTTTCATTTTTTTTATAGCTTAAGTGCCAAGAACAAGCTCACCTTTTTCAAAAAGCCTATGTTGAACATAAAGTTGCCAGGGAAACAGTTGCCGTAGCTGAGAAAAATTTCATGTCTCATCAACATGAGTGGAAATTTGACCAAGCTTGGCAAGATGCAATGAATCGGGCAACCCTTCAGGTATATCGATCATTGAAAGAGTCTATTAGTAATTCATAGGTCAATTTGAAATGCTCTCAGTATTAAACATAGCACTATTTTTTATTTGATAGGTTACAGAGACTGAAAAACTGAAAACAAAATACGACAGAGAATATCTCAAGTATCGTAATTTATTTGAAGATGCTGTTAAAAAAGTACAACAATTGGAAGAAAAGTATCGCAAATCAATAATAAAAGCAGAACCATATTTTAGTCTCGAAGCTCAATATGAACAAAAATTAATGATACAAAAAGAAGTTGTAGAATGTTTAAGAAAAGCAGTAAAAGATGCCAAGTGCGCTTATGCAGCAAGCCTCAATGCTTTAGAAGAAATAAGTAATCAAATTCATGAAAGAAGAGGTAAATATATATTATGGTAATCAAAACTACTTTCAAATTGTTAACTTTTGAAATTTTTTATTTTAGAAATGATAACAAAAGGTCCCCGTGAACCTGGTGTTGGCGCAGAACTTGAAACCTTTGAAGATAATTCATACTATACAGAAGATTTGAACAAAGTACATTTGAATAAAGATGAAACTGAAGATATTGAGGTAAGAATTGAAAAGTTTAATTCAATGGATGATAAAAACTTATAAGTAAATTATTTTTTAGGATGTCAGAAACTTGAGAGAACAACTAGATAATTTAGAAACTAGATCTGTTGATGGCAGTGAATCAAATTCTAATCAGTGGGAAGGAGAGTTACAAGCTGGTATAGAAAATTTGAACAATTCATCTATTAATGTTTGTGAAAATATTAAAACTGATAACACCAGTTCTTTGAATGACTTTGATTTAAAAGCTCCACAAGAATCTAGATTTGAAAAACCTTCTCAAAATGAAGCAAAAGAAAGTACAACTTCGAAAAATAGTAATATGCAGCTACCACCACCAAGTCCTTTAAATTCTATTATTAATAGATCAAAAATTGCTTTTATGAATAGTTTTTCAAAATCATTAACAAATAGTTCAATGAATATTGGGTCATTTTCTTTTGGTAAGTCTAAAAGTTTAGATTCCAAAGGGGAAGAAGATCAATCTCATCAAGTGAAAGAAAATATAAAAAGATCTGAAAGTCTAGATGACTCTACCAAAGAAAATCATCAAAATTATCAGAATTGTAAACCTACTTATTCTGAAATTCATTCCGTGCTTACTCAACATCATGATTTGCAAAATATATCAAAGTCAAAAGATCTGAACAAAGTAACTCATAGTTTGGATTCTACACCTGTCAGGAACAGAAGTAAATCCACACCATGGACTCTTTCTTCAATCAATGTTTTAAGTACTGAGACAGAGAAAGATATAAGTAAGCAGTCGGTTTCATCTTCTCTAAAAACCAAAGAGTTTCCACTACTATCTTTCTTTCAAAAATCAACGAATCTGATGCCACAAAAAAACACAAGCAGCAGCATGATAAATTTAAATGAAAAGCAACATTTGAAAACTCTGCTTGATAACTCAGCTTTGGGAAATTTACAAGCTGCTAGTGTTGAAAAATTGGCTAATGCAAGGCACAAATTGGTAGGAGAAAGTTAAATTTTTATAAAAAAAAAATAATCATTTTCTAATGATTATTACGTAACGTTGTAAATTATTTGTTAATTGGTAAAAACTCTGTACAGATGTATAAAAATTTCAAAAATATACCAAATAATTAGTTTAGCTAGATATAGGTATTGTCTTGTCTATCGACATTATGTTATTCATTTTTTACTTGACTTTATAGTTAGTGTTGTGATTTGTTTGTATTAATATTTTGTAGATTGGTTTTCACAAGATGTTATTCATCTGATGTATGAAAACCCGTTGAAATATTTGTATGCATAATTTTTTTCCTAATATTGAAAATATGATGACATTTGAATGTAGTTAAATTGAATAGGAAGTATTAAAAACCATACTCTTATAGTTGCAAAATGAGAGAGACAAAAAATGTTAAAAATTGTTGAATTGTATAAATGAATATAAAATTATTGACCTATGTTATATTGTATTTATATACAAAATAAGAAAAAATGAATTGTAAAATGATGAATGCTCTTCACACAGGAATTTTAAAATTGATAAACAATGTTGAAGAACTGTGCTTTAGTCATCCCTCTTTAGTAACGCTATGCAATTTAAAATCAAAATCAAATGTCTTACGACAGTTGCCATTGAAAAGAATGATTTTATTTCGATATATTTTAGTATGAATGAGAGTGCGTATGTAAATGTATTCTGTAAAAGCGAAAGCGATCAAAAGGAATCTCATTTTTAGGTAGAACAATTTTAGGAGTTCAAATCGCGTTCTATGTGCGAAAAATAAAAACACGAAATAATCGATTTTTGAATGTTTTTTCTGGAACTTTTATATACATACTTCGATGATATTCTACATTGTTGTACAATGTACGAAATTTATTTTACGCTGTGATTCGTGGATAATACTGTGAGTGTTCGTTGTAAAATAATCTTAGGGCTTCTTTATTGATATGATCATCACTCGACAAAAATTGTATACAATATATAATATTATATGTAAAAAATATAAACAGCTGCTTCTCGTTCGGGTGATGATGTATGTCAATGGACTCGATGCACATGACAGTCTTTTGGGCGTAAATTATATTGCGCGTTTTTTCTATCGAAAGAAAAAAGGAGTTGTAAACAAAAAATCAATCTGTTTTAAGTTTTACAAATATATTGCAAATAAAAACTTTGAAAAATACGATACATCCATAACCATTATTTATTATTCAATGTTCATTTGTTTCTCTTTCGATCATCAGAGACTTTTTTTCGACGATGATTTTACGATAATAATAAACGTCCTGATCTTTAGGTTTTTTTTTTCACAAGAAGCTTCTATTTTCTTTTTTAAAATTTCTCATTGTCAATCGTACATATACGCAAGCTATGAGCGCGCGATCAAAGTCACACGCAACGTTGGTACGTCAAGTGGTTGAAATCATCGAGTTATAGCGCGAGAAATAGATAACAGACAGATAGGGAGCAATGCAGCGGAGTGTCTCGCGAGTGCCATCGTTGAAACATTGCAGGAGGAAATTTCGGTGGGCAGATGGAACAGGAGCAGCAGCGGGTCACTCGGTTGGCTCAGCAGCAACAGCAACGTCAGAAGCAAAATCAACAGCAGCAACAGTCATGCGATTATTCGCTCTCGCAAGACGCGATCTACAAAGTCTTTACCTACTTGGTAAATAAATAATAGCAATGAATAAGTAAGCAGTTAAAAATTGGGTTAATTGTGGGTCAGAACTCGAATAGCCTCTACGCGTCCGAGGAGGGGGACTCGACCGGCGCCGCCGACAAGCTCCTCGACGATGCAGCTCGAAGCGGTAGTAGCAGTCGTAGCAGCTGCATAAGCGGCGAGAATTCCATGCTGTACGCCGAAATCGGTGCAGCCGAACACGATCGGGATGGAGACGAGGACGACGAGGACGAGGACGATGAATACGACGATCGAACACCCGACGAAGGCAAAGTACTACTGGACGACGACGATGATTACGAGGCGGAGGAGGAGGAGGAGGAGGAGAAAGAAGCCGAGCAGGAGCTAGAAACGAGATACATCCTCGAGGAGATGAAGTACTCGGACGCGCGCCGAGCCATATGCAGCGTGTGCCGCTACTCTCTCGGTCGTGCCGGCACCGGTTTGGTCGAGGACTTCGAGCGGGCCCTGCTGTGCTCCGATGGCCACCTGCTCTGCCACAGGTGCGTGCAGAAGCTGGCCGTGAAATCAGGTGACTATACATCGGTGGTGATGTTGCGGACTGTGCGTGTGATTCGTTGATTACGTAGTGTGTTTTTTTTGAGCCAGACACGAACTGCCTGTTGTGCTCGGTCGCGGAGTCTCGGGCCTCGATGTCGACCAGTGCGTCCTTGCCACCGCCCAGAAACCACAACAACAACAACAACAACGACAGCAGTAACAGTAGTAGTGGCGATTCAGGCAGATTGAGGGGTGGAACGAGCGAAACCTTGGCTAGCACGACGACGAAGCCCGTTGCTCATCGGTCCAGTAGCGGTGCACGTGCCAAAAAGGGGATCACGCCTCCGGCAGCTCGTCGTGTCGTATCGCGGGGACCGCCTCCTCAACCACAACCACAACCTCAACAGCAGCAGCAGCAGCCACAACATCGTCGAGATCAGCAGCAGAGACGAGCCGCAGGCACCAACAGCATCATCAACGCCCAGACGCTGTCCGAGTGCTCGCGCCGACCGATCCAGTGTCCGCGGCTCGACTGCGCCGTCAACGTCGCCTTCTCGGCCCTCGCGAACCACTTCATGTTCGACCATCCGGAGGTGCCGATTTTGGGCGTCGATCCGGGCGAGCGCAGCACCTTCATCTTCGACTACGACGATCTGGACGACGACTCGAGTCGCTGCCTCGCCCTGCTGCTCGTCTCCAACAAGCTGTCGTGAGTCGACGCGCGCGCCCTCGAGGATACGATCGTTTATCGAATTGATTTACGTTGTTGATTTTCTCAGGGGTCCCGCGGCCAGACAGTTCAACGGCATGCACGTGCATCCGCGATACAAGAATCGACTGCCGCTGCCACTGCTGGCGGCTCGTTTGGCCACTTGTTACGGCAGCAGCAAAAGTGATTCGGCCGAAGTTCGAAACAGCTGCGGCGTAGAAAACGAGGCGGTGGTGCATCGGTCGATCGACGACGTCGTCATAGCCTGGGTCGCCGGCCTCGATATCGGCAGCTCCGCCAACGTCACGCTTCTGCGTTACAGCGTACAGGTACTGAAGTAAATAAATCGTATCGACGCCGATCGCGAACAGATTCCATTCGGTTCTTTTCTTCAGGCCTTCGACGTCGTGGACGACAACGGCCAGGAGTGCGGCGGCGGTCGCTCGCTCACCTACACGGGCCCGATAAATTCGCTGCGCACAGCGCAGAGGCCGCGCGAGGTCTTTCTCACCGGCGACTGCGTCATTCTGCACGCGGGCTTCATCCGGCACGTGACCTCGCGCGACTGTCGCAACATCAACATCAACGTCGTCGTGCATTAAGAAAAACAAAAGAGGAGAAAAGTTTGTTTTTATTATTATTATTTTATCGTGATGAATTTTTCGAGGGTTGCACCCCGCTGCTCTCTTGGGAAACGAATTTTTTCACAAACATTTTATAAATGCTTCGTAAAGTAGAGAGAGAGAGAGAGATCGATTCGTTTGCAACTCGCCCCGCTCGAGCGCAGAGAATTGCAGAATTTATGATGATGATGATAAATGTCGAGAGATGTAAAAAGTAATAAAAGGCATGTTTTTCGATTCACGAAATTATTCTATGTTGATAACTGTCGATCGAGGTAATGTGTATTTATTATATATAAAAAATGAGGATATGTTGAAATGATTCAAAACACACAAAATTAAAATCTAAGCAAATTTTATTTTGAATTTTAATGCTAAAACACGAACATCGCAGACATCAAAAAAGTCCGCGAATACGTTCGTCGCCACCATCACAAGCACAAATACATAACTTTTAATAATTATTGCATAACGAGAGTAAAAAAAAAATCTTCGTAATCTTCAGCGAACGTAATCTTGCAGCCTTTTCGGTGCTTTCTTAGCCCTCACGGGTCTCTCGTCGTTGCGCTTTATTATTACGTTCGTCTTTACACCTTTATTATCACTGGCTCGCTCGTGACATTGGCCCAAAGCCGCGGCCACGCAGACACGCCACAAATCTTCGTTCGCGAGCTTCTCCACGATCGAATCGCAGCAGAGAATCGGCAGCCGATAACGGACCAGCTCCTGGAGACAATCCAGCGCCCATCGGCGGAAAAATCCTCTCGACAGTATCTCGCACAGTTGCGCGGTGATGATCGTACTGTCCGTATTGAGCAGGTCGACGAAATCGGACTGTCTCGCGAACTCGAAGTAGTCCGTGCACGCGAGTCGTTTCGCGGCCTCAGCGGGCCGCATTCGAAGCAGCTCGTAGAGCGTCAGGCTCGACTCGTTTATCCTCGTACTTTTCATCCTGGCGGCGAACTCCTCGTTGCCGAGCAGCAGTGCGTAGAGATCGGCCGACCTGTTCCACAGCTGGTACTTGTTGTAAAATTCCATGATCCGCAGGGCCCCGGCTCGGTTCAACTCGTAGCCTCTCTTCTCCAAACGTTCCACGACGACCAGAGCGCCCGAAGCGATTCTCAATTTAAAATTCATGAAGACCTCGCCCAAGTGCGGCCTGAATCCCGCGGCCCATTGACTGGCCGAGGGAAAAACGAAGCTCGACAGATCGGCGCCGCGATCCAGAAGAATCTCCACGGTGTCCAGTAGGAAGTTCGCCACGGCCAATTGCAGCGGTGTCCGGCCCTCGCCGTCCACCGCGTCGACCCGCACCTCCCGCTGCTTCTCGTCGCTGATCCTGAAAAGTATCTCCAATAGCTCGGACTCGTCGATGTAGTTCGTGCAGACCATGTGCAGCGGCGTCGAGCCGTCGTTCGCCGCGGCGTTCGGATCGGCCCCGCGTCTCAGCAGCAGCTCGGTCCGGTGCCTGTGACCGCGACGCAGCGACATGTGCAGCGGCGTCCAGCCCTCCCAGGCGCGGGCGTCGACCAGCACCTCGAGCCGCTTCTCATCGACCACCTTGAACAGCGACTCGACCAGAGCGTCGTTGTGAAATCCGTTGCTCTCGCAGATGACGTGCAGAGGCGTGCGACCCATGTAGTTGGCCGCGTTCGGGTCGGCCCCGCGTCTCAGCAGCAGCTCGAACACCTCCGCGCTCTGGGTCAGGTGCAGCGCGGTATTGCCCGATTCCGGCACGCGCAGCTGCGGATCCACGCCGAGCTCGAGGAATTTTGCGACGACGTCCTTGCAGCCGGCCTGGCAGGCCGCGTGAAAATGCGTCATTCCCAGCTCGTCGGCGTAGTTCACCTCGCACTTGTAGATCTTGAAGAGCTCGCGGACGTTCTCGTCGAAGAAGTTGCGTCTGGCCGCGCGATGCACCGCGGTGAAACGACGACGCCCGACGACGTCTAGCCCGGGTTCGTCCTTGTAGCCGCAGCTAACCACGAACTCGAGAAAGAGTTTTCCTGGATTGTCTTGGCGTCTGTTCGTGCAAGCCACCGCCTCCGTGAGAAGACAGTCCATCTTTTCCGTCTCGAAGATGTCTGCGAGATCCGGATAATCGCCGTTCCAGTCCGCGATCAAGGGGGCGAGCTCCTCGAGGAAATCGCGTCGCTCTCGTTTGACCTCCACGTCGACTTCCAAAAACATGTTCATCAATTTGTCTACTGGTTTTAGCTCATCGTCATCCAGATCTTCTTCGTAATAGTCGCTATCGATATCCGAACTCGCGTCGAATTCGTCCTCTTCGTAGCTGCTCTCGTCCTCCTCGTTTTCGTCGTGCGAACTTTCGTCCGATTCGTCGTTGGACCTGGACATCGTTGCGGGCACTCGCGAAACTTCTTTTTTCTTGTGAAAAACACTGGCGACAGTCGATGCGCTGCGATCTTACTCGGTTGTTTACGCTGTGGCGTCGTAACGCGTACTGACGTTTGTAGCGCGAAACAGGCACGCACGCGAGTGGCTGTGCGCGAGAATTCTATGAATTTCTATTTAATAACGCGCTCGTTCCCGCCACGATATAGAAGAAATAAATAAACAAACAAATGAAGAAGCGAAAGCCCATCATCACAGACTCGTCATGGCCGGCGGCCTGGCGTAAGCTTTGGGTATGAAGCCGTACTTGCGGGTCTTGGGCGCGTACGCCCAGAGCCAGCCGTCGACGGTCTGATTGCCGAGGTCGGCGTAGATCCAGTCGGCGCGTTTCACCGACAGGTCGTCCGGCGCCTGCGCCTTGTAATCGTAGAGCACGACGAGCTCGGTGCCGCTCTGCTGCTCGTCCCGCAGCTCCTTCTGTTGCTGCTGCTGCTGTTGCTGAAGTTGTTGTTGTTGTTGTTGCTGCTGTTGTTGATGGTGCTGCGAAGAGTCATTGCCACCACCGAGCTGGCCGTTATTGTTCGATGCTGCTGTCGATAAAAAAAAAGTGTCAAACAAAGAGTATTATTTACATTTGATTTTTATGCAGTACGTACCCGTCAGAGGATTATTATCGAGCTGAGTAGTGCCAGCGGCTGCGGCTGCCGCGTTGCTCGCGTACGAGTTGAGCGCGTGGCCGGGAAAGACGAAACCCGAGGGCACGAAGCCCTCGCTGCCGTCGCAGTAGCGCAACACCCAGAACCAGTCGGGATCGTCGCGATTGAGGACGGTGACGAACTCGCCGCGCTCGACGCTCACGTCGTTCTCGTCACGGGCCACGAACGTGTACAGCACGATGTAGCGTCCAGCCGACGGATCCTTGAAGAACGGGTGCACTTCGGGCTGCTGCTGCTGCTGCTGCTGCTGTATTATGGAGTTTTGGGAGCGCGACATCGAGCGCGACCTCGAGCGTTCGACGTTGACGTCGGCTGCCGTCGTGCAAATGTTGTTGTTATTGTTGTTGTTGTTGGTGCTGCTACGGGCGTAGCTCTCGCAGTCGGACGCCGAGCCCGGATGATCCAATTCTTGGGAACCGGTCACAGCAGCAGAGGCAGTAGACTGCAACGGACCCGCCAAGTCGTTGTCGTCCAGCGATCGCGGCAGCTTCTTCTTGACGTTGTTGACCAGCGCCAGGGTGCTCTCCGCCAGCTGCGACGTGTACGCGGCGCAGTACGAGTGCGGCACGAAGCCCTCCATGCGCGTGTCCGCCGCTATCACGTAGACCCAGTCGTTCTCGCGATACAGCACGTTGACGATCTGACGAAGTGATCATTTTCCCCCGGGGTATTAGATACGAATACGGTGATGCGAGAGATTCGAAAAATAACAACGACTCACCTGGCCACGTTTCACCTGGAGCTCGTCGTCGACGCAGGGCGTGAAGTCGTGTATGATGACCATCTTGCTGTCGGGCGACAGGCCGTTCTCCTTCTCGATGCCGACGCGCACCAGCGTCTCGATGCTCGCGCTGCCGGTTATGCGGCCGGGCGGCAGCTGGGCCCGCGACGACGAGGAGGCGGTGGCTGCGCCGCCGCCGGCCGACGAAGATAGTCCGAGACCGGAGCCCGCGAGGCTGTCCTTGTCCAGGCCAAAGTTCTGTCCTCCAGCTACGCGAGAAAGAAAAAGACTCGATAATTTCTAATCGTTTTTCTGCATACGTAATTTAATCGACTTTTTAAATACGTCAACGCGAGGAAAAGTGTTTATAAGTTGCGCAAGGCGTGATCGTGCGTATAACGTTACATACAGGATCGCGCGTTTGTATATAAAAAAAACGTATAAATCCCAGATGATGCGCGAGCTACAAGCTTATAAAAATAAAAACAAAAACCACGAACGTCACTCGCGACTGGATCGTCGCGCGGAGAGATTACGCGTTCTTGACGTTCATAGCAAGTATACACTATGAAAAAAGCCGTGTACATCTACTCACACTTGTTCTTCTTGCCTCTGCGTATGCGTACCGGGCACAGGAAAGCCATAATGGCACGAACGAAGCGAGGGCCAAGAAGCGATGTGTATCGACCAAGTTCTCCATATACGAACTCGAGGCTGTCGAGCTTACTGCTTCGCACGCGACGACGACGGCTTGGTGTTAGCTAGCTTGGATAATTGTCCCGTGGTACACGTGCGAATTACTGGAAGAGCAGCTTCGATCCAAAAATTTTATATTTGTACAAGTGATAAAAGTAATTATATATAAGCGGAGATGCAGGAAGAAGAGCCGTGGACCACCACCACTGCGCGCACGTCAGCTTGCATCGTTCCGCGAGATCGATCGATCGTTCGGAGCATCTGGTGCATGTGCTTCAAAGTCGACGATCGTCACACACACAGAAAAACTCGGAGCTTGAGGTTGACACTCGGAGGTCGCGATCTCGCCCGAAAGGTCAAAGCACTCGGCGACTCCAACGGCAGCACTATACCGAAGCCGGTATTACCAGCTAACGCGCTAATCCGTCCGCGACTCTTTTTTTTCGGCGAAAGGATGATCCCTTTGCGCTTCTCTCTCTCTCGGCGAATTATATGATATAAAGTGCACGCAGCTCGCACACACACGGGTCGTCCGCTAAAGTATCACTCGCGAACTCGCCACACACACGCACGTATACACGAAAGAGAGAGAGAGAGAGATGAAGAGAAAGAAATCGAGATCTGCCCTGCACAAGCGCGAGAGCCGCACTGCGCGTTATATACGTTATATATGTTATTAAAAACGGAGCCCGAGCGGTGCTGCAGGTCTTCGTGAGGTCCTGCCTGCCTGTATGGCAGAACCCGCAATGTCGCGCTGACCGTAGTATATAGTACACAAAACGACGGAGGAAGAGGAGGAGGAGGAGGACTGGCTAAACTCGTTTCCCTGGACTGGACGCGGCGCGCTCGACACCCGCACCGCCGCCGCCGCCACCACTGCTTCTCGATCCTTTTCTTCTTCTTATACCTATATTATACGATGAGAACTGCAGCTACATGTATCGTACAGGCGAGCAACTTGCCTATATATACACGCCGAGGAGCTATTAAGAGAATCGAGAGAGAACGAGAAGAAGAAGAGGTAGAATAAGAGAGGCCCAAAACGCGAATCGAGAGCTCGCGAGCAACATGTTATATCTTATAAGCTGGGCTTTCCTTTTCTCTCCTCTTCGTCCTCTCTCTCTACGCACTATATATAGATGAGTTTTACTCCTTTGGTTCCCATCGCGCTCGTCGTCACACACGCACGCACTCGGCTATACACCATTGTGTGCACCTGTATGCACGTTGGAGGTCACACGCACGTATGTATGCATTATGCGTACTATATGTGTGCGCGAACCGTATGATATGGCCCGCGGGCAACACACACGTGTGTATCTCTCTCTCTGGCAGCGAGATTATTATTGTGCAAAACGTCAACTGTTATAATACGAACGCGTATACAAGATGATGTCGAAGACTTGGGAGATGGAGTACGAAAAAATGACGATTGTTTTGTAAGAAAAGAAAAAATACGACACTGTATTTCGCACGAGTTTCGATTGAAATAATATATGTATCTCGTATCTCGCTCAAATGTGAATGTAGTAGTTACGATTTTTTTGTGTATCGTATTCGATAAAATTACGGATGAATTCGGTTTTACTATATTAATATCGTATCTCTCATACCGATTATTTCTATCGTCCGCTCGACTCGATTAAAAATCATCGAAATAATTGGATGAACGAGTCGAGTTAAATCGCACGAAGGTGTAAAGTAATTTACCATTCACCATTCATCCGAAAAATTATTTATTAATACGTAACCGATAAGATATCATTTTGTCTCGAAATATAATTCGAAAATCGGCAAAATCGCTCTTCGTGACGTTAAAAGTCGATCGGATTACTGAGAATAATTTTGACGCGCGCGAACGACGCGCAGAGCGAGATTTTCAAAATATCAAATATGAATTAGAGAGCAAAGATTAAATGCTCATCAAAGTTATTTATAATTGAGGTAAAGTGAACAAACCATACGCGTTAAATAATAGATAAAGTTTACAAAATTTATTTTTGTACATTTAAGTACTTTTTTTCTCTCGGTATAAAAACAAAATGAAAAATATGATTTCATCTAATGTTTACTTACAACGGTACATTTTTGATTTCCTAATACTACTCGAATATTTGAGTAATTAAATATTTTTATAATGGATTCTATTCAAATTCACTCTATTCTTCGTTTTTTCTTCACCTGCTCCATGAGCTCTAACGCCTCTTTTCTAAGAACGTTTAATTCTTCTTTGTATTTTTCTACTTGATTTCGCATATCTTTTGTTTTTTCTGAAAATTTTTCACTTTCTTTTACTAAATCAATTACTTGTCCTTCTTCTATAATTTTTGCTTTTTCAACAATTTTGTTTTGTTCTTTAAAAAATGTATCTACTTCGTTTTCAACATTATTTGCCTTTTCTTCCAATTTGTTTGTTTCTTTTTCTATATTACTTACTTTTTCCCATAATTTTTCTACTAATTTTTGATTTTCTAAATCCATTATTTCTTCTTCTACTTTCTCTTTTTCCTCTTCAATATTATTCACTTGTACCTCTACTTTTTCTTGTTCTCTCTTTTGAATCAAAGAAAACCTTTCAAGATAAATGATTAGTTCGCAATGTTTTGTATGCGGAAACATGTCCACAGGGACAGCTTTTACAGGTACTAATGGATCTCCATGATATTGTTTTGAATTTGGTCTGGCTAAATCTACTAAATTTTTTATAGCTGCCTTAGGGTCACATGATATGTATACTAATTTATTCAGTTTTTTTGCTTTTCTGAGTGCAATCAAAGCTCTTTGATCTGAAATAAAATATATATTGTAAATAAATTAAAATTAATTTCATAACAATGATTTAAATAGTTGATTTTAATAGAGTTTGAAACTTACGCAATCCAGCTCTTGGTGGATCAACTATTGCAACTATGTTTGGCTGTGTTGTTCGATTAATCACTGGTATTAGCAAATCTTCTGCTTTACCAATAAAAAATTCACTGTTATTGATGGTATTTTGAGTGGCATTGACTTTAGCATCATGTATCGCAGTTGGAATCATTTCTATACCAAATACTTCATCACAGTGCTATCAAAAAAAATCATGAATTGAATTGTAATTTTTAAATACAAAATTTTAAATATTTAGCACTTGAAAAAGATAAACATACTTTTGCAAAAGATAATCCTATTGTTCCTGTTCCACAACAAACATCGAGCAAAGCTGTATTTTCTAATGGTTTAGCCAATTCAATAGCTGTTTTATACAATTCTTCAGCAGCCAAAGTATTGACTTGGAAAAAAGCTTCAGGAGATATTCTGAAAGTCATTCCAAGTAACTGTTCTTCTATGTAACGACTACCACTTAAATGAACTATTTCACCTCCTCCTTTTCCACCAGCTTCCCTAAAATTATTCATAAAATTGTATTTCATTAACTAATAAGAAAAAGAGTTAAAAATAATGAAGATTAAAGATATTTACTTTTTTACAATAGTTTGGAAGTACAAAGATGTGACTCCAACTTCAGCATTGCATGGTTCCTCAAAAAATTCTTTCAATTTTTTTTGCAGATTTTTTAAATCTTCTTCAGTCATTGACTGAGGATTAATTCCAATAATTAACATTAAATGATCAAGTCTAGTAGTTCTAGCAGTGACTAATTTCCAATATCCTTGATGAGTTGTTGGGTCAAAAACTGCTAAATCGGAATCACAGATAAATTTTTCTAAAATCTAAAAAACACACATATTTGATTATAAATAATGAGTAAAATTAATTAAATTTAATTAAGTTTAATTACAAATTACTTTTATGGCAGTTTTCATTTTTTGAGGGATGTGACGTAATTCATCAATTGGCCCTATAGCAACTGATCCAGAAGCATAACTAGCCAACCTAAACCCAATCATTTTTTTAGTTCCAGTGACATCCATTCCTGTAATATAAATAAATGATTATAGCTTGATATGAACTACAACAAATGTTACAATAAGAATACAATTATAATTTACCTATGGTGAATTCACATTTATTTCTGTAACCATCTGTGGTGTTAGAATGAACAATTTCACCTAATTCACATGGAAAACCTTCATGTCGCTTTCGTTGTTTGTCAAACCAGCCTTTCAGATCCTCATTAACATTTAAAATTTGCTGACACATTGTTTTCACAATACTTCCTATTTCTTTCTGCTTACTTTTCAACTAGAGAATGAGAAAAGTTTATTAAAAATTACAATTACGAAATAAGAAAAAAATAGTATGAGCTATTTACCTGATCCGCATAAGGCATATCATACAGTGGAGTGGTACTGAGCCGTACCCTGGTCTCAGGAGACATATCGACTGTAGGATCTTCTGGAGTAGGTTTGGCATTCTTTCTTTCCATTTTTCTTTTAATGAATGGATCTGGAGCAGGTTTTGCCACCTGTAATAAATGTAATGAATCAGATACATTGCGCAATCAGCACAAGTGAATTTTGCTGAAATATTTACCTGAGCCGACAGTTTGGCTTTCTTCCATTCAACCCCGTGAAGAGCTTTTATAGCGTCATCGCGACTTTTTTCACTGCGAAAACAAATGTAGGCCCATCCGCTACCTCTTTTCGGTGGCTTGATTTTGCTCGCATCCAGCTGCAGTTTTTCATTCAAAAATTTCCTAAACTCACCAAAGCCGTAAAATTTCGGCAAGCCTCTGACCTCGAGTTTGAATCTCTCCGTTGTGAAGTCGTGATCGAGGTAGGCATAAAGGTCTTTTTGGTCGGTTTCGAGTGCGACATTGTTACTTTTGGATTGCTCTTCATTCGATGTTTTGTCAACGTTTTCACTTTTGGGCTGGTCGTCGATTGCCTGGTCCACCACTTCCATCGAAATTGAAGCGTTGTCGCTCGACATTTTTTTACGATAATAAAATCTAAATAATATGAAAAGCACGACAGTAAATCTGTAACCTCAATCAATATACTAGACAAAAATACACAAACGGCGCGTGCACGTGCGGCTTTACTGCTTGACAGTAGCCGACAGAACAGACGAAAAGTTTACTATGCGGGCCCGCGTTTGCGTGCTCGGTGGCGGCAACTGTGGATAGTGCGGCCAGCAACTGAAGCTCTTGCAGGATTTGAAGGAGGTCTGTTGCAGGGTTGATCGAAATGTATGAGAAAAGATATGAATAAAAGTGTGTAAATGAGGAAATAATGTGTATCTATACAAATCAAGTCAACACTGAACAAATTTAAAAAGGGAAGATCCTGCTGGTGGTGCTGAAGATGCCGATCTTTCATGATCCAATTGATTAAGGTCAATCAAAGAAGAATAGAAAAACAAAGACTGTCCATCTTATTAAAATACAGCATCTGCAGGCTCTCAGAAAGAGTATTAAATGTTGGCTCAATAAGCTGACACATAAATTATTCACTCGATAACGAGTCATGTAAGAAAAAAAGTCTGCCCAACTATGCTACCTTTAGTTTGTGCGACAAAAAAAAAAAAAAAACTGTAAAAATGATAAAAATTGTACAAATAAACAGTCTATTATATTTTATTGAAAATAAATGGATTTTTTTTATCCTTATTCCCCTAACACAGAACATGGATCTTTTTTAAAAGGGTTAGATAATGCTTTGAGTATATTTTATCAAACAAAGTTTTAGTCATGTGTTTGATTCATTCCTGTCTAAATACCGAGTCCATTTTGACAACAGTGAGCTATGCAAGTATTAAATTTTACACAGCCAGAAAGTAAATGCAAATAGCAGCTGGGTTTGACCTGATATCGACAATGATTTTACAGTCTAAAATAGTAGTTGGCTAATTAAATTACACTTTTATAATACAATTTAAGTAAATGGTATCCAGCTTTTCTAGCTGCAGCCGGTAATGCCCGGCCGGCATATATAAGGTTTTGCACAACAACAGGTGGACCCTGCCGTTAATCCTTACTTCGCTCGATGGCAGCACTTGCTCCGCTCGTAAAATCGCAATGTTATTACAAGTTTTACAACGTACACTCTCAACCCTGCTCCGGCCTCGTCGCGCGCAGTTATTTCGCAATGGACGCACGGCACTACAAGTTCGCGCAAACTCGTCGTCTTTTGACAAATGAATCTCGATAATACTTGTGATCGTCGTCGTCGTCCGCGCGATTCACTACCTGCTACACCTCACTAGACCTGTTGCTAGTTATTTTCTACTCGCAAAAAGAAGTGACGGTGCGCGAAAAGTGTTCGTGTGCCCCCGAGCACTGTGTGTGTGTGTGTGCATTTCGTTGTGTGTAAATATACAGATGCGTAGTACGGATGCCCATGCACGCCTGCTGAATGTTTGAAATCGACTCCGAGCGGCTCATATACACGAGACAGGGAGCGAGAGGGAGACAGAGCGAGAACGAAAAAGCGCGCGATTACTTCCCTCGTCTCGTCGGCGGCAATGGATGATAATAGCAAGAAACTCGATCGCGAGCGTGCCAAACTCGACGAAAAGGAGCAGCAATGCTTGAATCGTCAGCAGCAGCAGCAGCAACAACAACAACAAGTGGTTAATGTCAAGATGATGCCGGATTTGACCGATGTGACGATTATCAGCACGCCGCAACCTCAAGCCTCCTCGACCGTTCATCGACGTTCGCTGTATGTTTGGAGATCAGATTTTTATTACTCCATAATAGTTTTCAATTAAATTTACTCGTACTTACCTTGTGAGACGTTCGATTCTTATGGAAATTGCACTAATTTATCTTCAGTTGTAATGAATCCATTCGATGGTGCATTACCGAAAATTAAAACATTTTTTTCTATTGTTGAGGATTTTTAATGTTTTAGTTGTTTGAGAATATTTATAAAAATTGTTTGATACCATTTTTTAAGTATGACTGTTATTTTTTCTCATATATTAACTCATTGTTGCAGAGTACAAAATAATATACACAAAAAACATCCAGATGGGCCACCCACCAAGCATCGTCAACTTACTTTTGATCAAAGCAATATGACAGCTGTCTCTGACGAATCATCTCTTGGAATCATACACAATATATCTTCATGTAATAAAATTTTATTGAATATTCCTGTTCTAAAAATTGTATCTATACTTTTTAATTCATATATTTTGTTAATAGTAATAGATGATAAAGGAATGACAGAGGAAACATTTCAAAAAGGAAATCCAATGAGAGAAAGGGAGCTCGCTCGTATGAGTTTAAAAAAATTCGATAATGCTCTTGAATTAATCTCAAGTAAGTGCTTTATAATTTGTCGGTCAATTATCGCAATTTTAACACCTCATTTTTTAGGGGCAAAAAATGAAAATGCTAATATTAGTACAAATTCCTCACGAAAATCTAGCATCATTAATTCATCTGCTGGTAATCAAAATACTGCAAAGTCTTCTATGTTTTGCTCAAACAATAATGAGCAAAGTAATAGTAATGTGAGTATCAAACTCTACTATAAAAATGATCAACTAAAATGGGAGAATTTTAATTATACATTGCATTTCTAGAAGCTAACATTTAATCCAGCTGAAATTACTGCACGTTCTTCAGAAGTCAAGGAAAAATTATATGAAACAACAGACTTTAATGCAATTTCAGGTATTGAAAATATAAGCTATAATTATGAATTGATGGGGCAGTTTGGAGAAGAAGAGTTTTTGTCTGGATCAAAAGCAGAGAAACAATTAATGGCAGATGAATTATCCTGGAAAAAACATGAAGACTCAATGTCTAAAAACAAAAATGAGCATTTAGAGTTTTCAGGTTTTTCTGGAATCGTCGGTGAAAATGTACAAATAAATGGTGAAATAATGCCAGTGGATGATTTTTTTAAAAATAAATGTGGCAACTTTGGAGAATTATCCTTAGTCAGTAACTCTGCTAGACCAAGTTTGGGATTTGGAGTTGTACAAAGTCCAAAAAGACAATTACGGCCATTAGCTGACCAGACACAAAATTCTCTTTCCGAAGGTAACTACAATAGAAATCATTTTATCTTTATTTTTTGTGTATTCTGTATATAGTAGTCTTTTTTTTCAGTATCCATTGATCCTTATAAAAAAGAATGTCTTAGTGCAGATATTACAAAAGATCCCAGTGTTATGAGCTACAGTGCTATTGCTCAATTTATACAAAATTATGATGGTGATTCAGAAGGAAAATCTCCAAGGTTATTAGTAGATGACGTATTAGAATATAATAAATTAAAAAAAAAAAAGTCACAAAATAAAAAACTGGAGCAAAAAACTTTTACAGTTGATATAACTGACAAATATAATGCTAAAACACTACTGAGGAATGAAACACTCATAGATGATTGTCAACTTAGTGCAAATGATTGTTATCAATTACAATCAACTAGTCAGGCAACAGATTTACAATCTACTCAGTTAGTAGAAGCTGATGAAAATAGCACGTTAACTGAAATTGACTCATCTAGTAGAAAAAGCAGTAGAAATAGATTATCAACTCAGTTTAGTTCTCATAAAGGTAAGCATAATATATATTTTTTAATTTTCATGACATTTATAAATATATTTTAACTCTTGTAGGTTCTGAAGTATCTGTGCCTCGAGCAGAACAGTCAACAAATTTATCACATAGAAAATTATCACACATGAAAGCAATTAAAAATGTTGAAAATTCTACTTCAATCAAGAATGATTCCAGTTTGATTCATGATACTAGGCCTTCTAACATACATGAACCAACTTATTCTTCTATTAATTCTTCTAAAGAAGATACATTAACTAACTCCAAGGTTCAAGACAACACTTATGAGAATAGTAAGTTGTCTAGAATAATCATTGAGCATATATTTACAAATAATCTGTTATCTTTTAAATTGTTTAATTGTATTTCTAGAACAATTTGAAGTTAGTAAACGCTCCCAAGAGCTATGCACATGTTTAATTGGCATTCCAAAAGAAGCAGATATTGAACTGCATAACGGAACTGATAGGTGGATGGTATGTGTAATAAAATTGAACCAATTTCTCGGAGATTTGAAAAACATTAATCTTAGCGTGCCAAAAGATAATATATTAATAGAACCAAATGCTCGTAAATCCTTAAAGGTGAATAGAATTATTATTCCTTCGTACTATTAATTATTGTTTTAATTTACAAATAAAAATGTATATTTTTTATAGATAGGAGTAATTATGTTTAAAGAAGCAAAATTATCATTTGCGGATTTCAGTATTTGCTGTCAGGATATGGTAACGAAATCGGAATTAAGTATTAAACATCAAATATGTTTTGTTGCTGAAAAACCAGATATCGAATTGTCTGGAATTCTTGACAATAATTTTTTAGATTTTGGAACTATTACCGAAGATATTAACAATAGTTTATCTATTACCTTAGAAAATAAAAATTCAGTGAATGTACCTGTAGTAATAAGTTTGTATGAGGTATTTATAATCTTTTCATATCATAATTTTTTTTACATTTAACAGAAATTATTGAATGTTTTATGAAATTTTAGAATTCCAAGAAATTATTTAGTATTATGGAAAATTCTAATGATTCTTCCATCACAGCCCAGTATCAGAAAGAATCAATCATTATTAACTTAAAACCTAAACATCCTTTTCAATTACACATAAATTTTGAAGGAACATCACTTGAATCCCTTGGAGGTATGAAAATGACTATAAAATTTATAAACATTATAGTAAAGCTTTTTTTGTTATAATTGCAGATTAAAATTAATTAGTGTATGCCAAAGAATTTTCAATTTTAAATTACTCTTTATAATTTTTAATTAATTCAATAAGCATTTTTATAAGAAATTGCTAATTTATTTATTTTTTCACCACTTTTCAGAAACAGCTTTACAGAAAAGTATATACCAAGTTGAAGCCAAATTAAAAGTATCTATTTGTTCAATAGACGACGAAGAATATCCAATATATGATATTAATCTTAAAGGTGGAATAGGTTCTTGTAAATTAGATTTCATGGATGTCAAGTTTCCACTTATACTTTCACCCAAGATTCTTAAAATTATAAATCTCAAGAATTCGGGTAATATGAATGTTTCAGCAAAAGTTGATATTGTTCAATCTAAAGAGAGTCAAATTGAAAGCAGAGACTTTTATATATGCCCAAATACTATTTCACTGAGAAATGGAGAAAAGCTAGCTTTACAAATTTCTTACAAACCAGAAAAAAATAAGACTGACTTGGAAAGGTATATTTTGTTATTGTTAGAAAAGTGAGATTATTGTAAAAGTGAATTGATAGTAACCTTTTTTTTTTCATTTCATAGACATGCCAATATTAGAATTACTGTTGGTAATAAAATAACTTTTTATCCAATTATTGGAGAAAAAATTAATGATGAATCACAGAATGGTGATTCTTTTCATCAACTCCAACGATCTAATACACCTCTAGGACTGAGATCTTTTGATTCATCATCATCGCCTCATAGTTTCATTGGATTCAATAAGTATGATGACTAAATTGCTAGCAAATTATGAAGAAATGATGAATGATGGCTTAATTGATTATTTTTTATGAAAATTAGGTCTCAAAATTCCGGACGAAATTCACCCGGTAGTACATTATCTGGTAATGCAGTTGCTGGAACGCCTGTTCCAATTCGTTCAACACATACTGCTCTTGTTTGGGGTAGTGTACGAACAGGAAAATCAGATATGAAACAATTTACTATACGTAATGACAGTAACAGCAAAATCAAACTTTTAGTCACAATTAAAGCAGATGGTCAAAATTTTAAAGTAATTAATTCTTTATTATTTAAGCATCAAAAAAGTCTACTTATATTAAAATTTTGTTATCTGAAATTTTAGTTTTGCAAAGATAGACAAACGGTTGCAACTTCTATGAGTCTATCGCTTCAAGGAATGGAAAGCAAAACATTGTCTGTATTATTCACCCCAAGTATTGCTAGGGCAGCAGCTGGTAAAATTATATTTACCCATTACAGTGCAATACATGGGCGACGAGAAGCTCAGGGTCTTATGAAAGTGGCAAGTAAACATTTTGATTCTAAAATCATATTCAAAATAAATTTCTGTGCTCAAATTTGAGTATTATGAATATATCAAAAAATTTATAATTAATATATTAAAATTTTAATTCATTTTTAGGTTCAGTTATATGGATATGGAGGATATGGAAAACTAATCATATCTGAAGCTGTTAAAGATACCAGTGGTGAAATGTGGCTTTCTTTAGGAAAATTAAATTCTGATGATATTCACAGAGCCAAAATTAAGCTGGATAATTTTGGAGACTTGAAATGTTTTGCAAAAGTAAAGTTGAAACGCAAAGGTAACTAATTTTAAATTAGTTTATAAAATACTTGATTAAACACAATGTTTCATGATCATTTCAGCTTTACATCCGTCTTCTTCATCAAGTTGGCAAATAAGTCCTACTGAAATTTTGCTGGATTCTCATGAAACTCAATGGATAACCCTTGAGTACCGTCCTAAACGAGATGATCTTGTGAATATTCATCAAACTGGAGTAATTCATGTTGGAACATTGGTAATAACCCATGGTGATGAACCAACTAGATTGCGTATTAGAAGGTCAGTATTAGATTCATTATTTTCATGTTATCATGTATGCCTTTATTTCCAAGTATTTGTAGCTGATTCATTTTTTTTAAATTGATTAAAAAATTAGTTGATATATCAAAATTTAATTTTATTGTAATTTTTTAGACTTTATAAAAAATTAAAAGACTCTGAGGAACTTAGTGACAAAGTTGATGAACATTCAGATGATTTTAAGGATGTTATAGATCAAATTTCAAAAGCATTTCCAGGGGAAGTACTTTTTTCAGATCTTAGATGTATTGGTGATTCCGTTGTAAGAGTTATGAATTTCTTTAAAAAATGTCTAAAAATTACAAATTTAAATCAACTTAACTGAGTAATTTTACATTCTAGCAAAATCTTGGAGATTTATGTAAAGGAATTAGTCAAAGTGAAATTAAGCTGACAATTGAATTACAGCCTGATGAAACGATTTCAATGTTGCAAGACAATATGGATGATTCACAAATATTTCACTCTTTATGCGATGATGATGAATCTCATTTAGGAGGGGAAAGTTTTATGCCTGAATAATTGTTATTATGGACTTGAATAAGTCCGATTCTGATGCACATAATTATTAAACCATGTGTGTAAAGTACAAGGATGAAATTTTGTACAAAATGAAGTATTTTTTATAGATTTATAAAGATTTAAATGAATTTTTTTATGTAAACATAGTAATAGTTTTTATACTATCTATATTTTTTTTATAATATCTAGATATAAAATACTGAATATTTTTATTTTTAGTGTCAAGTTTATTCACTGAAATCCCATTCAAGTTTTTCTGGTATTACAAATGAAGCTTTATGCTTTATAGCGAGCATTTGTATAATTCTAACCAAATTGTGTGTATCATCTATTCCACAGTGACTCCGTCCTTGAAATTCCATGTTAAAATGCCTTAACATGTCCTTCAAACTTCGAGGATAGTAATTGGTAGCAGCATAAAAAGTTCTTTTTATATCAATCCACTCTTTCATATATTCAGGTACAGGAATATTTTCCAGTTCACATTGTTGACGAAGCATGACTTTCAAATCCCAATTGCCGCAAGTAACGAAAGTACTCTCTGTTTTATCACGAAAATATTCTCCTTCGTCTAACCACTGATTAAATTTTTCAAATACTTGAGGAAAATTTTCTTCATCCTCTATCGTTTCTTGCATTATGCCGGTAAGTTCAGTGCAAAATTCAGATAATTCTGGATTGACTCGTGGCTTAACGTATTCATGAAATGCATCTTTAACTTGCCAATCTTCTGTTGAAACTACTAGGCAAGGAAATTCTATGATTTCTTGAGGTTTGAGAATTTTATTTTGTATACAAGTAGCTTCAAAATCTAAAACCAAAAGATTTTTAAACGGTTGCACTACCTTTTGGTCAATACGTGTGGGTATTTTTTTATTGAGATTCCTAAGTAATCGATGAGCCATTTTTTGAATCTATATTCGAATTCTATAATTAACAACTAAGAGCACTAATTAAATTCAAGTCGAACTGTTTTCACTTTACAGACACAATACACCAAAAGTCAATAGCAAACTTGAATCACGATGAAAACAATCACACGCGTTATCTGTCTGTCGTCTGCTACGAGCTATGAGACATCAGAATCAGACACAGTACTAAGTATGCGCGTGTTCAACAAACTACATTCAAGTCGTGTGGATTGCAGAGAAGCTGTCTATTTCATTTTTTTGAGAATTTAGCTCAACATTGGTGATTTGAGAAATTTATGATTCATGAAATGAAAATCCTAGACTACACATCAATTTTTACTTGATACAAAAACAATATAAAAATTATCTTTTTTTAAATTAAAAAAATGATGACGGTGTGAGGATAAACTCGATCAAAATTTTATGTTTCACACTATTAGAATAAGTAAACTTATTATAGTTTATGAAATTAGAACTAATTTCTGTTGATAAACGAGATATCTTCGCTAGAAACCAATAAAATTGACATTTTTTACAGCTAAATATACAAATCTTACACCAATGAATTTATTAATGCAAAAAGATAACAAAATATAGTTAACTCAAAAAAGAAAAGCTACGTTCAAAATATATGTATATATGGCTGCAATCACAATTTTTTTTCGCAATGAAAGACTGGATTTTGTAATTAGCGTTCGTTCGCGTCAAAAAACTGCGCCTCGCGCGCGCGCCGTCGACAGCCTTTCGCACGAAGAGCAGACCGAAAATTTTCAGTTTACTATTCCACAACCTCGCAATCGAGGTAAAATCAAAAGTAAGCGCTCGTAAATGGAATTCACTTGAAGAGCTTGATCGCATTTAAAATTTATAACCTTCAAAATTGCATACGATTGCGCATAATTCCTTTTTTTTTCTCGCGAAGCCGGTAAGAGTCCGCGGGCGACGTATCGGTCCGCTTGGCGTCGACGACGATGCGCTCGCGCTCTCGAGCACACGAGATGACGTAACGAATCGTGTTTTCGTTCTCTCCTCGCGTGCTAGCAGGCAGCGCATCGTCCGCAAGCAACCTACACACCAACACATACACATATACACATACGACACTCGATAACGCGTGTGCATTTATATTTCTGAAATTTTTGTGTGCAGCAAATTGATAGAACAAAAAAAAAATGGCTGGAACCACCTGGACGGAGGAAGAGGTCGGCAGAAAATGGGACCGATGCTTCGCTGACGCTGTCTTCAAATTAGGTAATCTCATTGGGGGCCAAGGACAGTAATAGCCGTGTGGTTTTTATTTCGGCGATGACAGTTCGTTGATTTTCGTTTCGTTGTGTTTTAGGTGGCGGCATTTTCATCGGCACCGTCTTTTCCCTACTTTTTGTGAGGAGTAAGTAAACATTTTATGATTTGGATCTAAATTACCAAAGTGCTTCGATGTGGTTATGATAATTGAGCTATTTTCATTCAAAGTTAATTTGCTATGTTTCATCTTTAACCTCAACTTCGGCAATCTGAAATTGATCAGCTGATTTACATTCAGTAATTACTCTAATTAAACGAATCATACTTGAGTCAAAATTCATTATTACATTTTCTATTTAATTTGAAATCAATAATCACATTACCCTTATTCTGAGTAACATTAATTCTGCATCAAATTAGATTTTCTCAATTGTAAGAAGTCACATGACTATTGGAAAATTATTAACTTAGCAAATTTGTATTGCTTTTCTATTAGGAAAGTGGCCAGTAATCACAGGAGCCGGATTTGGATTAGGGATGGCTTATTCGAACTGCGAAAATGATATTAACCAAACAATAGTTCCACAAAAAAATACAGAAACAGCCACTAAAAAATAAGTGATTCAAATTAAATTATGTACATTGTTAATGCAAAAATTAGTTGAATTTGTATTCTATAAAGATAAAATAAACACATCGTTGTAAGACAACAAAGTATCTTTGTATTGATTGTACCTGAATTCACTCAAGCTTGTATGCAGAGCACGACAAAACAAATACATTCATTAGAATTTGACAAAATATTTAAAAGTGTAGCCTGTTTCATCACTAATAATTGAACTTACAATTAATCTGTTTTTATCTTTCCATCATACTTACCGACTGGTATATTTTTTTATTTTTTTTTTAGCTCGGGTCTAATTTAAATAGTTTAACAAGCACTTCCTCAGTTGGGGTCTATCCTTTTACAAGTATCAATAACAGTCTATGTGAAGCTAAAAATAAAAGAATTAAGAACATTTTCAGCTTCAAGAACATCGTTTAAAACTAAAATGCTTCTTACGCTTGTTTCATCGTACCAGTGAAACAGCATAAATAATTTATTTTCAAATTGACTCAAAAGACTTTACTCATTTGTATTTTTACTTGCTCCACAACTTGAAGAAAAGGATCCTTGCGGCGATGAATCGACAAAAGTACAGGGCCCAATATATTGCCCAAGATCTATTTAGCACGGAAATGTACCTAGAAAAAGATAACGATTGCTTCGGGTAATTTTCCATCTTGTGCATCGACCGAGAGGCTGGCTTACGTACGCGCGCGCCTTACTTTATCGATTTTCCGGCCGCAGCTTTTGAAAGCTCCGTTTAAGGCTGCTCGCTACGAAAAAAAGAGAAAAAAACATCAACAACAACAATCGCGGGCGTAATCGATAAGACGGAGATTGACCAAAAAGGAAGTTGCATCGTTGTACAATGAAAGAAAAAAAAAAAAAAACACGTCGATTTCATTGCAATCGTTCTCCGTAAATTTGTCGAATCATCGTTCGACAACAACGGGTTTAATACAGGTATAGGAGCCGTAATAAGTCTCTCAAGAAGTTTAAAAAATTATAGACAGTGCAATTAAATATTACTGCGTCGATATACATAGCAACAATTCTCGAAGTCGCGCACGCGTGTCGTCGCCAGCGCGAGCAGCAGGACTTGTCAAAACGTGCCGTACTTATAGTACACACACACACGATATCGGTATTATAATGATATACTTGCGGTGCAATTAATGGATCTACGCGAGTGCGAATCTCCCCCTTTTTACGTCATATCGTCACGTACAGTTGCGTGTATTGTAACACTGCAACACACACACATTACCTTAAATACCTCTATATAATACATCGATTGTGCACTTGTGTGTGTGTGTGTGTGTGTGTGTGTGTGTGTGTGTGTGTGTGTGTGCGTTAATCTGTCTCAGGGTCATGACTATACGCTTATATACGCAGAGAGTTACACACGCACACAGACATACAGACAGCTCATTGCTTTCAAATCGACGCGGCTCGAAGCTGCTCTCTCTCGAGTACAGGAGAGATATTCGCATTTCTGCACGACGAGCTGCTCATGCTGATATCATAGCAGAGAGACATAGAGAGGGAACGGAGCACGCCGATACATTTCGCGTGGTAGTATTCGCAATTTCGCATCGTTGCAGCCCCGCGCGCGCGCGCGATCAGTGTCGACGCGTCCACTGCACGCGTCGCTCCGCGCTCAGCAAGTGTGTATATATATAGTATAAAATCAGACGTGTATTAATTATAATCGTTATTAATCCTCCGTCCAGTGCGCCGCTCGTGTCGTTTTTTTTTTCGTTGTTGTCGTTAATAATTAATTCACAATTATGGCTATCGAGGACTATCAAGACATCGTGGCCAACGTCGCGATGGTATCCACCATGGGCCACATGCTGTCCGGCACGTGAGTTGATGCACAATTATGTTTAAAAAGCTTTAAATGCCCGCAGGCAAACTTGAAAAATGCCAAATAATGTAAGGTTACTGGTGTCGAGAAAGAAACAAAGTCCATCGAGTAACTTCCAAGTATTTCAATTACCTTTTATAGTATAAGATAAAATGCAATTCAAACTCTGCATGCAAATCAGTCTTTATTTACACATGCACGTATGGAAAAGAAAATCTATATTCATCTCTCGTAGGTTCATCTGCCGAGACATTTACAACAAGGGCACGGCCAAAGGATGCGACCCGATGCCGTTCGTCGGCGGCATAGGAATGTAAGTCATGTTTCGTGTATTCGCAAGTATCGTCGCGGCGAGCAATAATGATCGCAACGATCAATCACATTGATTACCGCACACGTATACACACGCTTATAAATATCATCGCCATCGATCAAAGAAACCAAACGTCGATAAGGCATATGTGATTTCTTATTTTTTATTCGCTCGCAAACAGGTGCGTCTTGATGCTGCAGTACGCGCTGATACTGCGCGACCCCACCATGATCAACGTCAATCTCTTCGGCATAGCCACGAACGTCGCCTACATGGTCTTCTATTACGCTTACACGCCGGAGAAGGTGCCCCCCGACTCTATACCGTCGATATTATAATAATATACGAATGATTATCGTGCACGATAATGAATTTTTTTCTCTCGATTAAATATTTTGATAGATGTCGACGCTGACCGTACTGGCCAAGGCGACGCTCTTCGTGGCCGTGATACTGGGCTACGCTCAGCTGGAGGACAAGGAGCTGGTCGAGTTCCGTTACGGCGTGCTGACCACGGCACTCTTCTTGTTCTTGGTCGGCTCGCCCCTCATGCACATTGTAAGCCGATCTCTCTCTCTCTTTCTCTCGCGTGTACTATATCAATGACGATCCATTCATTCGTTCTCGTTATTTTTTTTGTTGTTTTTTCGCAGGGAGAAATAATCAAGACCAAGAGCACGGCTATGCTTCCGTTTCCACTAATATTCATGGGCACGATCGTGGCCTTCCAGTGGCTCGTTTACGGCTTGATAATAAACAATGCCTTCATCATAGTGAGTCTTTCAAAAAAAATTATTACGATACACACATACGGACTCCTTGAATATCCCCTTTTCTTTTTCGCAGTTCCAAAACGGAGTTGCCTTCACGCTTTCGCTGGCCCAGTTGTCGCTGTTCGCGATATACCCGTCGAAGCCGGTAGAGAGCAGCGCCGAGACCGATAAAAAGAAAGATTAAGAAGAGCTGGGAATCTTTCGCATTTTTCGACTTTCAAAGTCTTTCGATTACCATTGATTCATTTATTACGTTTAATCGTTGAATATATTATGTGCCTGTGCGCGCGCGCGTGTACTCGGGTATATCGTTTTTTTAGAGATAATTAAAGTTATATTTTTACACGTAAAGAGAAATGTAACGCAAAAAATGTTGCTATTAAATTGTATGAAAAGGTCGATATATTTACATGTACATATTTTTCTAATGTAAATAATTGTAAAAATACATTAATTACAAGATAAATGTTTATTGTATCTTCAGTTTTATCTAGCTCGACGAATTTTTATGATCGAAATTCAGACTTAATTTTTCTAGCAGTGATATGAGCTCCAGAAATGAATTGTAAGTAACTGGTTATCATCGGCAATCGATAGTACATTGTACATAACTCGAACGGGCGAAGGAAAATTGGAAAATGTCCAAAATCGTACGTAAGTTCTCCATTGCGGCAAGGACGAAAGAGGCGTCGAAAAAAACACTTTCAATTTCAAGCCAATCGGAATCTCTTTGACGATTATTGAGAATTTAACTTTTTTTAACGTTAATTTTGACGTTTGTTAGATCATAAAAGACAACAATGTTCAAACGTCTCGACAAAAAATTTTTCGCTCAGCTACAATGACAATTTCATCTAGAAATGAATTGATAAAGTACACCCGATAATTGCCGCATTTTGAGTAGATGAAGATCGTTACGGCCGATGCTCATTACTCAACAAAAGTACGCGACAATGCCGAGGAATATGCGAGCTCTCATTCCATTCGTTCATTCGAAAAATTCGATGAAAATTTCTTAGATTCCTCGAGAAAAGAACTTTGAAGTATTCAGCCTTGAGTCGAATATTTTTAAAAACAAATAAAATGCGGGTAGACAATTGTTGTAAACAGATGCTGTGATTTATTAGAAAACTTTTGCAAGACATAGTCGCAAATGCTTCATTTATGAAAAAAGTCCAGTAAATATACTTATAAAACTCTTTATTACAAATTAGCACTAAATATGCTCGTATACGCAACACGTTCGATACGCGTTCGTTAATACCATTAATTTATAACTTTTCATTGAACTTAGTTTTTCATCTGCTTAATCGTAGATCACAGAAATGAAATTATGAAAACTCAACAAAGCTTCACGTCACTTTTAATTTATTATTATTTTTAATCGTATTAGAACTTATGACAAAACCCTGGTTCTTTTTTCAATTCTTTCTTTTTACAATTAAATTCACAATTGAATGTTACAGGCTACAAGTTGAGTAAAGACACTAGACTAAAAACACTTTCGATTATTTCTATTACCACATTGTTTCATATTTATATTTCATTGTTATTCATATTTTTCCCATGTATAAAAACTTAGCAAAAGACTCAACAAGTTTTCTGAACGTAACGATAGTACCATTCAAGAATATTAAAATTAAGTATCGATTTTTTTTCCATTAGAAAAGTTTTTTCATAAAATTCGTATCAGTTGTGATCAATATGATCAGTGTATCAATTTATTATAAAAATATTTATTTCTTACGTCGCCCCAACTTTGATTTTACTAGAAGCATCAAGAGAAGAGCATCGACAATTGCAAGAAGTCACTGGACACTCCGAATGTTGCCTGCAAATGAAAAAAATAATAATTAATTTTACAGAGATGTTTGTCTTTTGAAAAAAGTAAATAAATTGACATATTCGTTTACTCACTGGAACCAGTTCCTTAAATGACTGGCGTGTCCACCGTGTCTGCAGCTTTGGCACCATGTGAACCAATCGTTGAATTCCGTGAGCTTGCCTTCCTCCTCGTTCCTATTCGAATTGGTAGGATTCATTTGCAGGCCGCTAACGGTTCCCATGTGCATGAGGCAGATGGCACAGCGTGGCAGTGGCTTTCTGCAGCTTGGACATGCTGTCATCTTTAATAGTAAATCACATTTATTAAAACGTCGTAATCATTGCAGCGTTATTGCGTATATCAAGTAAGAATAAACCTTGAGTTTATTCGAAGTACTTCCTAATCTTCCGAAGGGGCCCCTCGTTCTCGCTATGCCTTGCATGGAGGCACAGACATTTTTACCACAGTAGGTACAAGACACATACATCTGTTTGTTCACTGCAGATTTATTATCGTTAATCGAAGATTTCATGGCAATATCGAAATGAGCTCTCTGAGTCCACAGTTTCCAAGCATCTAATAGATTTCTATAGCTGAAAGAATTTTTGACAATTTATTTGATGAAAGTATGAAAAATCGATTGCAGAAATAAGTATTTGTGGCAATTTACCTTTCAATCCATACTTGAACTTGATTCTCCTCTAATAAGGTTGGAGATAAAGCTCTGATGGATATCAAACTACAGCTTTGCACATCGCCAGTGATTTCTAAATATTTGTTAAGTAGTTGAATACCTTCCAAACTAGCTCCTAATAAAAAAATATAATAAATTTTAAAAAAATACGTAATTTAATATTATTTATCTCATTTTCAGATCATTAAAAATTGGCTTTATACTAACCAGTAAGTAACATTCCTGCTAAATTACCCTGTTCACACAATTCTTTGCTCAAATTTTGCAAATAATCATATAAATTATTATCTGATAAAAACATCAGGGCAAAAGCTACCCTATCTTCTACTGCCATACCGTTTTCATTCTGAAATTTAGAAAAGCATTTTTATAGAATTCATTTTTTGCGATGGTAAAGCAAAAGTTACTTACCAGCACATTTTCGTAGGTATCATTATCCGCGGTTAAAAATGCAAAGGTAGCGCGTAAATAAGGATCGGATAATTGAGATCTTGACCTTAAACATAGTTCTCTCCACATACTATTTTTATCCTCTGAAAATCCAGATAAAGCCATTGCAACAATATTAAAGTTAGCCGATGATGACATCTTGCTAGCTCCTCTGTTTAAAATTTCTATCGCTTGTCTTAGACATAAATTGAACACAGATATTGCTGTAGCTCGAGGATAAGCTCCTTCTCTCTCTAATCTTTCTAAAAATAGATTATTATAAGGAGCATTTGTATCTTTTTCAAATCGCCATCCACATAATTGCAAAGCTTTATCACGATCAGCAGATCTATACGTTTTTGCGGTGATGTTTGAGCCAATATCAGCCCAAGGTCTATGAACAATTTCAGATTTTGTAATAAAAGTACTTGTAATTGGGTCATCCAATTTGAGAACCGTTCTAAAATAAGAAATAAATCTTTAGTAAATTTTACTAATAACCACTATGAAGACTATATAAAAATGTTAATAGCTGACCTTACTCCTGGGTGTTTATTGTCAGGACTGGGTATCGTACCATCTTCCACAAGAGAGCGACTAAGATATAACCATTGCCATACATTTTTCAAAGTATCATCTTCAGCTAATTCACCATTTTGTGGTAATTCTGGCTGAAATTTAAAGAATATTTTAATAAAAACTCATATTCTTGAAATAGACTGTACTTACCAATAAACCATATCCTGATAAGGCACGTCTATTTAATAAAATAGAAATATCATTTAAGCCTTTGTAAATATTGTCATTAGAACAAATATATTTGTAAGATTTTGAGGCGTGATTCCATACAAGATGTGACCTCGTCGACCAATTTAAAGTTATTCTTTCGTATACAGTGTAATCAGTCAAACCTAAAATAATTACTTATTTAAACCATATTCTAGAAAGAAAATTTATGGATAGTAATAATTTACCTTGTGGAGAAATAGCCAATAACCTATTTACATGTGTAGGATGCCATGAAAAACTGGTTGGAGTAGTAGTCCATGGTGGTGAAACAGTTCTTTCCAATGCTCCTGGCTCAGCATCTTCTCCAGCAACCCCATAGTGCTGAATATCATGAAGATGTAGAGTTCCTTAAAAAATGTAAAGTAAGCATCAATAAAATGTTCTAGCTAAAACGAAAATCTATGGTACTTACCAGAATCTTTTTGAAGCGATCCCAATAGATTGTGCCGAGTAGGACACCATAAGACTTTTGATACAGGTCGAGCTTGTGTTAATGTTAATACAGGTTTTTCAAAATATCGCGTGTCCCATATAGTTATTAGATTATCAATGTGAGAAACTAAATGATAATCATTGTGAGGATTGACAGCTAAACTGAATACAGATTTAGCTGCTGTTGTATTTACTATTTTTACAGGATCTAAAAAAATAGTACAAAATCATTGATAAACATGATGAATATTTTCTCATCATTCATTGAAAATTGTAGAATGATTGGCATTTACTATTACGCACCTCTAAAATCAATGATTTTTAAATGCTTATTATTTACACCAGCCACTGAACATTTTGGCTCGTTGTTGAACCAAGCTAGCGAATGGACTGTCTCAGAAATGGCAACTTCTGCTAGAGGCCTTATCGAATCCGTTTGTCCAGTATTGTAATGATGCAAGCGCTCGGTATTGGACGTCGTCCTGTGCACATCCCACAATAACAAAGACTGATCCGTCCTGTACTTGTCCAATCCACAGATCAAGAGATTGGATTCGACGGGATTCCAAGCAACGGCGTTGCACTGTCTCGCGTGCTTGGGAACTGCAAAAACAATTCGTTTCATTGATTTCGTTCGGGGGAAACAAACGTGTGTATACTCGAACGATTAATAAAAAAAACGTCATCGTACTCAGTTCTTTGCCGGTCAATCCAAGGGAGTCGTAGGCGGTGGGACCGAAGGTCGTGAGAACCACTCTCCCGTTGGCTTGGCCGACGGCCAAGAGAATATCCGGCTCAGCTATGGGATAGATGTCGATGCACTTGACGTAATTGTGGCTGGAATTGGTCGCGAGCAGATGCGCAACGGTGCTGTCCGACACCTTGATACCTGCACACACGTATTAGGATCGAGAGCTTGGTAAACACGCATCGATGGACTCGTATATCGTAACTTACAAGAGGGTCTCACTGTATCCTTGATCGGAGCGATCTCGTACAGGCATATCTCGGTGCCCCAGGTGATGAACTTGTTGGAATGTATCGGCGACCACTGTATCTCGAGCCTCGGGGTATTCATCGTTGTGCTCGCTCGTCAAAATGCATGAACATATACAAAGAGACGTCGATGTCCACACCCGGAGTACGCGTCGTTTTCGATCAAATGGGCCAACGAATCACGCGAACGTATATCAAAATCCAGAGCTACGCACAATTATTTTACATGTTTACCGAATTCAAAATCACGTTATTTCCGTGACGTTGTACCTTACGCACGCACGTATATATAACGCGAGCTGAAGCGGTGTGTGCCGCTCGAGAAAACAGCTGATCGATATAGCGCACAAACAGCAGCAGAGACACGACGACGAACATCGGCATGGAGTACGTGCACAGCTGCTTTTGTATCTCTCTGTACATTATAGAGTGATCATATAATGGTAAGGTTGCAGACGTCAATTTTGCGCGCGTCGCGCTGTATACCGCCCGTATGATACATTGATAACGTGTTAACGACTTCGCGGGGCTCATACAACGTATATGTACATACGGACACTATATCTATTAGATTACACGGTGACGCGCATATTGGGTACACCCGAGACTCGCGCGACGCGATCGTTAATAAGATCAACGCGTGGCTGGGACCATTTAACTAATTAATAATACAGAAGGTGGAAACGCGTATCAAAGTACGGTATAATTTTTCAAAAATGATAATCATGCGTGCGCATACGCGACGTTATGATAATGTAATCTGCGGAAAATCTTGTATATTACTTTTGGTAAACGCATATATCTCGCGCGTTGGTAATAATAAATATGTAGAAAATGTGTACAATGATATTGAAATTTAATGATAACACAGAATATTAAAAATGTCAAAGTTAAGCGTGTATTATAATAGTAGAGAAGCAAAATAGAGTTGTTGTTCACATATTATCGTTGTATAAAGCAGAATCACATTTTTATATTTAAATCAATTATTTAAAAACGTATAACTGTATTATTAACACGAAGCAAAACATGAGTAAAAGTAGAAAAAAAAAAAAATAAAACGAATTCAAATGACAAAAGTATAAAATATTTGCTAAATATGTAGGGATGGAAATTTTGGAGATGATGGTCATGTCAAGTGAAGAGACTTGTTTGTAATGAAGTGTTTGTAAGAATGTTTTTAATGAAGCTCCAGAGGAGACCGCTGATCGTGCAATTGATGCTTTGTTCGAACAAAATTTAAAAAGACTCGTTAACGGTCAATTCCATATCTTTGCTAGTACCTTAAATAATTCATTGTTATCGTGTAACGATTCTGTAAAACGCATAGCTCGGGTGAGTGCTCAAATTCATTGCCAGTGCTCAATTATCAGCTTCAATCAACTTTTCATTAATTGAGCACTGGCAATGAATTTGAGCACTCACCCAATGTAATAAATGTGAGTAATGGATTTATCAGATTCAAGAAAAAAACTAATTAAAGATTGATATACTTTATTATTCATTGAGATATTAAAAAAATATTTACATAAAAGATTTTCTAAAATTACTTGGCGTACACGTGTAACAGCAGACCATATCCTCCCTACTTCTCCGGACAAATTTAAAGGTTTGTCTTCTTAGATCCTTGGGGTTTTTTTCGATTATGCACTCCCTTTCTGTGCCTATTGAGATGACCATTTGATGCAAATTATTTGTGACAAATATCGCACTCAAAGGGTTTCAAACCCATGTGTACTCGATTTATGTGCAATTTGAGGTAACCATTCACTCCAAATGATTGGTGACAAATTTCACATTTAAAAGATTTGCTACCATTATGTACTGTATCTACGTGTGTTTTGAGGTGGCTTTTGGTTGCAAATGATTTGCGACAAGTGTCACATTTGAAGGGTTTGATACGATCATGTACTGAGCTTATGTGCCGTTTGAGGTGACACTTAGATGAAAATGATTTCGTACATATCTCACATTTGAAGGGCTTCTTACGATCGTGAACCGCATCTTTGTGTCTTTTGAGTTTGGTCTGTTTCAAAAATGATTTTTGACAAATGTCGCACTCAAAGTGTTGACTTCGATCATGTACTGCTAATGTGTGATATTCGAGTAGAGATTTTCGTTCTAATTTTTTGTGACAAATCTCACATTCGCTGGGTTCACTATGAACGTGTATTGAAATTATGTGTTTTTTGAGAGTTTGCTTACGACCATATGATTTATGACAAATGTCACGTTCAAAGGGTTTGATACGATCATGTACATCTTCTACATGACGTTTAAGCTCGCTTGGCCAAAGAAAAGATTTACCACACACTTTACATTTAAAGGGTTTGCTGCGATTATGAACTGAATTTAAGTGATCTTTGAGAGTACCTTTGCGATTATATGATTTGTGACAAATTTCACATTCAAAGGATTTATTACAAAGATGTACTGTACTTATGTGATATTTGAGGGAATTTTTGTATCCGAATGATTTGTGACAAATCTCACATTCGAAGGGTTTGTTACCAAAGAGCACTACACTGACGTGAGTATTTAAATCGTTATGTACCCAAAATGATGTGGGACACAGCTCACATTCTAAAGGTTTGCTCCTATCATGTATTCTGATGATGTGCATTTTCAAGGAATTTTTTTCTCCAAATGATTTGTGACAAATCTCACATTCAAAGGGTTTTATGCAAACATGCACTACTTTTATGTGTTTGTTGAGATAACTCTTGTATGCAAATGATTTATGGCAAATATCACACTCAAAAACTTTGCCCCGAATGTGTATTGAAATTATATGTCTTTTGAGGGATTGCTTAAGGTTATATGTACTATGGCAAATATCACATTCAAAAGGTCTAATGCTTTTATATATCGTACTGTTAACTGCTTTTCCACTTGCTTTTCCTCTATAAGTTTTTTGGTTCAAATTATTCTTATGCAAAAATTTAATTTGATTACTGCTTTTTACTATTTTCACCTCCCTGGATTTATCAAGATTAGACTGGAATTTTTCCGGAAATTGACAGTTATTACTGTAATCGAATTCTTTTCTTACTAAAATCAAAAGCCTTTTACCATCCAAGTAATTTTGCTGGATAGCATTTTCTATGCTTTCAACGTCTTGACAACTTTGATCCTCGGTTTTGCAGACATTTCTTGATGAAGGCGTCACTTCAGGCTTAAAATCACTGCACTCAAAATCTATGAAAATTTCTTCAGTCGTGTCATTGAACTGAGTTTGATTTGCTATTTTCACATCAGATAAGTCACTTTGATGTTCAGTTCTGGTTACTGATAGATTGTTCGGCTCAGGCTTGACTTCAGAGTACTCAAAATTTATACATACTGTTGTATGTATTGTAATGAGCCGTGTCGCCGCTAGGTGGCACGGAGTAAAAGTGCGGTTCACGCAAGTGAGATTGTTAAGTCTGGGCGTTATATAGACCCGAGAAAGACTCGTATCTTCGGAAGCCTCGAGAGAGGCGAAAGAGAGGTGGCTTAATAAACAGAGTTCTTTGAAAAGGGAATCTCATCTAATTATTTCACCTCCCTCCCATTCACCATCCCCTCCTAGCCGAGACCCGGGAGTTTCTGTAGCAGCGCAAGACGGGCGGACGACTCAGCAGCGATCCAGCGAGCAACGAGCAAGGAGATCGAGAGTCGACCCGGTGCCTCACCTACAGCAATACATTTCCATCCATGTGCTGGATAGCATTTTCTATGCTTTCAACGTCTTGACAACTTTGATCCTCGGTTTTGCAGACATTTCTTGATGAAGGAGAATTATCTTCTGGCTCTTTCTTTACCCTGAAAAATAATTCAATTTTATGGAATCGATCACTTCAAAAAATATCAGGTCATAAAAATAAGGCCGTTGCTAAAGGCACGACCACTAACGTATTTACGTTAGGTGGTCGTAAAAATGTAATAATGAGTCGCACAGAAAGTTTACTTGATGATTCTCTTCTTGAATTCACGCCAGAAAGCAGGATGGCTTGGAAATTCGCAGAAGAGGCAAAAAAACTGAATATTCGAGAATTTGCAGAAGAAAACGTAGTAAACAGAAAGAAATTCTACTCCGATGCGGAAGTTAAATCGTGGGTCGCCCGATACGAAAAGTCGGTAAACGCAAACATGTTTCGAAGGGATTCGCAATCCATAAGAAAATCGGATAAGAAGAAAACAAATGCTAATAAAAACATAACAAAACGTATAATTACATACGAATGCACAAGTGGACCCGAACGTAAGCCGAGAGGTAACGGCGAGCGAGAAGCATTGTGAGTATTATAAAAACTTGTGTTTTTTTACTTTATTATTCTTTACAGCACTAAAATACAATTTTTTCTATTTAGTACTTCAAGAATGAATTGTCAAGGTCGGATCACGTTCTCGATTTCAGAATGTAGAAAATACTACACAATTACTGATATGAAGCCACATGACAAGCATAAAGAAATAAGCAAAGTGAGAATTTTTAATTTTTTTAAAATGATATTACAATTTGATACATATATTTCAAATTTTACAGAAAGTACGTAAACTGTTGCCGCAAAATAGAAAGCTCAACGATTTACAGGTCGAAAAAATAAAAGAGTTTCACGAGATGAGAGGCGTTAAATTGTTATTGATGGATAAATTAGCAGAAATGGGTAATATACCGACTTTCAAGGATATTTCAAACATTACCCAAAAATTGAAAAAAAAAATAAGGGGAATTCATTAACTGAAGCATTGGAATTTCTAAAAAAAAGGGTTAGTAAAATGTGTTATAATAATAATTGTTTATAACTTCCTTATAAAAACTCATTTATAACTTACTTTGAATTTAGATATAAATTATGCAATCAAGTTCAACGATGAAAATGAGACGTTTGAAGCATTGTATATGTGTTCCAAAAGAATGCAGCAGGATTTTGAATCGTGGCCAGAGTATATAGCAATGACAGTACCTACAAGCTCCTATATGTAAAATATCCTGTTACCATAGTTATTGGAACCGATGGAAATGGTGCAACAAGAATTTTCAGTATTTTTATAGTGAAAAAAGAGACTAAGGAGATAATTCAATGGTGCTTCAAAAAAATGCAAGAAATGAATAAAATTGCATGTGAAAATGTCAAAGTATTTATGGGCGATAAAGACATTGTATTCAGGGAAGTTTTGCCTAAGGAAATGCCGCAAGTACCAATGACAATATGCATTTTCCATGCTCAACAAATTTTTAGGAGAATACTCAATCACAAAGATTATAACTTGAGTACGGTGATGAAGGAACGAGCTTTGAGGATTCTCAAGAAAATGCCTCATGCTAAGAGTGATTCGAATACCCATAAAAATCGTTCTTTTTCATTTACTGTAAGTATGGAAATTTTGAAAATTTTTATAAAAGTATCGTCTGCACGGCAATCGAGTTCGAGACTATTGGCCTCGAGTCTGTGACATGTAGCGCCCATGGTGTCAGGCAAATGAACTGTGAGCGGTCAATGCTCGTCTGAGTTTCCCTACAGATAATAAGCTATTTGCCTATAGAGTAACTCGCAGAAATGCTTGTTTTATCAATGTAATGTTGTATTATCAATGATTGTTTATTTATCAGTTGTTTATGGTGGGTGCCTTCGTAAATACATGCAATCGTACACATTTATAGACCTCCCCCAGTTCATGATGCCGCCACCGCGCACTTGACGCTTTAGTCGAGACTTGACTCTTGAGGCCAATACTTTCACATCTATCTACTTCGGCCATGTGTTCTTTACGCTTTCATCCGATGCATTAGTACAGTTTACGACGCCGTAGCGTGTACAGCTATTAGGTAGATCACGCCCCTTATAAAAATTTCCTATAGGATCTCGCGAAATTCCTACAGGAGTCCTATAGGATTCCAATAGGAATTTCGCGGGATCCTATTGGAAATTTTTATCAGGGGCACCATCCATTGCAACGAGTGATTTTTGGGTAAAGAGGATTCATCCTTAATTTTTTTGAATATCATAAACGATCGTGTCTGTGTGTTTTGTGCAAGTGTTTCAACGATGTACCACTGCAGCGATATCGAACAATTGAAGAGCTTACGCGAGAGCGGCTTCAATTGGGAGTCGGGAAAAGAACGCATGGCTTTTTTCAGTAAGCTCAATACTTTGATATTCAATTGGAAAGACCCGCTCCCGGATGTCCGAGAGATCTTTCGTCCCAGAGAGATCGACGAGCTCATCATCGAGTCCATGAAATGCGTGAGGAAACCCGGCCTCATCCGATGGCCGTTTATCACGGTGGTCAAATTCTTGATCAAAACCGGCTACGAGGACGAACCGGAGCTCGATGAAGACGGCGAGGTAATTTTGCTGCGGACCACACCGCTGCATTACGCGGCGAGCGACGTCCTCCTGTTCGGCTTCGCGATCGGCCATCTGTTTCGAATCTATCCCAGATTCGACGCGAACTACGCGAGCGAGTCGGGCTTGACTCACTTGCACGTGGCGTGCATGTTCAAGAGCTGCGAGCGATTCGTCAAGGAATTTCTCGACAACGGCCAAGATTCCAATCTTCCGTGGCGGGGAAAGGGCGAAACGCCTCTGCACTTGGTGGCGCAGTGGGGCGAGAAGGAGATCATTCACTTCCTGCTGATGAGAGGCGCCGATCCACAGTTGACCAACGCCGAGGGAGAGACGGCTTTGCACGACCTTTGCAAGAGAAGCCGCGACGATCTGGTAGAGATGTTCTTGAAAGTCAACAAACAATTCAGCAAGTCGATCAATATCGACGCCGTGGACGATTGGGGTCGGACACCTCTGCTGGTGGCTCTGAACCGTAGCGACAAGAAGTCGGCCTTGCTGCTGCTGAAGAAAGGTGCCAAGTCGAATGCGGCCGACGAGATGGGATCTACAGCACTGCACCTGATGTGCCGGAGAAATTACGACAGCAAATCGATCGAGGAGATTCTCGACGCCATGGCCGGCGACTGTCCGGTCAACGCCCGGGACTTGAAAGGACGAACTGCTTTGCATTACGCTTTGTATCACGCTAACGAGGACGTGATCAAGCTGTTGCTCAGACGAGGCGCGGATCCCAACACGCCCGACAACGAAGGAACCACCGCCATGCACTGCATCAGCCGGAGACGACTACCCGCCGACGACTTGGCCAAGACGCTGCTCAGAGTCTGCGGCGAAATCGATCGTGTGGTGCAGATCGACTTCAGGGACAAGAGGCTCCGTACACCGCTCGAATGGGCCGTGGCGAATCATCAGCCGCATCTGGTCGAGAGACTCCTGCAACTCGACGAAGATCTGTCCGGCTTCAGGTTCCCGAGCTACACTCACTTCGACCAGTGCTTCGAGTGGCACGCCAAGCGCCGAGTCGGACTTCACAGGCTGAAACTGGCCTCGGGCGTGCTGGCCTGCCTGGAGCGGCTGGAAAAGCACGGCTACCGATTAAAGGCCAACGATGCCAGGACGATCGCGACTTTGTTCAACCGGAACGCATTGGTTCACAGATTGTCCGCCAACGCCGCGATGCTGCACTTCGACAGCAGCACGGTCTTCGTGATAATGGCCAAGGTGACGATGGTCCGGCCGAACCTGACGCTCCACGAGCTGATGTATCTGCGACCCGAGGAGGTGGCGAAGAAACGAGTCACGTACGCGACGTACTTCAATCTGGCCGATTCGGAAAAATTGTGGCGACTCCCGACGGGGCCACTGTTCGAGGCCTGCGACAGGCATCTGTGCGAGGAGGTGGTGAAGAGATTCTACCGGCGAGTGCGGGACGAGTTCCCGGAGCTGGAGGACCTCGTGAGAGATGCCTTGACACCGAGAGCAATTAAGCCATTTTGGGAATAGGATGAAGCTGGTGGTTTTAAATGACTGCTGTTGTTGATTTTTGTACATTTTTCATGTTGTTTATTGAATAAATATATCAGTATATAAAATTTTTTTTGATTTCTGTTTTTTCCTATACTTTTCATGTCCCACATTAATATCTTATTCAATTTTTCAGAGGTCTTGCAGTCTCGACGCGCAAAATAAGATTATCATATAGACATGATTTTTATTGAGATTTTAGAAACAACTTGAACTCAAAAATCTATATAAGTTTCTATAAATATTTACATTAGCCAAGAAAAAAATTAGCCCTTGTCATAATTTCACTGATGAAATGCACACTTATCCTCCTTAGGAATGATGTAATCATGTGCCTGCAATAAGTTCCAGCTATATTCGTAAAAACTATAAATTATTCACAAAAACTTGAAATCCTTCCATCATTTATTGAAGCTGTGTTTGAATATTCAGCCTTCTCATTGAAAAATAATTATTGAATTTTATGGACTGTTTTTCAAAAATTTGTTATTCACAAAATCTTGAATTCGTTGGATAGCCAACTTTACTTTCGCAGTTTTGATGAGCTAGTGGACCATCATATGGAATGTTTTTTGGTGCCTTATCAAATTGCCTCGCACCCCAAATTTCTTTAGCACTTAATGCATTTTGAAAGCGATTTTTGGATTTCTGGATAACACCATTTTTTCAAAAATAAAATATTCTTTAAATTTCAGCCAGAATTATCACAAAATGGTGAATTAACTGAAGATGATACTTTGAAAAATGTATGGCAATGGTTATATCTTAGTCGCTCTCTTGTGGAAGATGGTACGATACGCAGTCCTGACAATAAACACCCAGGAGTAAGGAGGAAGGAGGAGAAGTGCGGAAAAGGCGCGCACAGCGTGGACGATCGATAATGACTTATTCGTTTACAATCAAAATTATGACGCCCGTGTGCAATGTGTGGTTACAGCAGCGTTTCGAGCAGCTTTCGTCCGTCGACTCTATGTATATGGCCGATTCTCTGTGAAATCGAATGGCCAAAAAATTTTTTTTTCTGCAAATATGAAAAACTTGCTGTTCCCGATGTCAGAAATGTCCCCAAATTTTATTAGAATTTTTGGGACCATCTATCACTCTTTTTCAGAGGCCCGAAGTTGGCCATTTTAGGGCTTTTTGAAATTCATGAAAAATCACAAATATTAAAATAATTTCTGGATCAGGGTAGAATGATTCAAAAGTAAAAGTGCCCAGCAACTTTTTTGTTGGAAATTGTCCAAATTTTCAGAAAAAAAATATGCCAAAGTGATTGGAGCCACCCAAAGAGAGCATAGTGGGAAAACATAAAAAGAAAACACAAAACAAGAAATCTACTCGAGTTCGAACCGGACTTTCATTTCCTAAACTATGTGAAAAGCTTCCTAAAGATGTCAACTAATGCCTGATAAAGTTTTGTAATGGGTCTTAAAGTTTAACGCAAT